TCACTCTATCGCCTGAAGTGACGTAAAGCTTTAACTCACTCACTCACTCTATCGCCTGAAGTGACGTAAAGCTTTAACTCACTCACTCACTCTATCGCCTGAAGCTTGCTTATCTTTAACCTGATTGTAAATAGTATTTATATTAGTAATGTTTGTCAGTGTAGTTTGTCACTGGGTGTATATAAAACGTGTCATTTCTCACAATGTTAGGGGGGGCGGTCGGGTAGCCTCGTGGTTAAAGCGTTAGCTCGTCACGCCGAAGACCCGGGTTCGAATCCCGACATGGGTACAATGTGTGAAGCCCATTTCTGGTGTCCCCCGCCGTGATATTGCTGGAATATTGCTAAAAGCGGCGAAAAAAACCAAACTCACTCACTCACTCACAATGTTAGGCATCCACTGCAAAGATATATTCAAGTAATCTCTGTGGTATCTTGGTGTTCCATTTAACAGCATGGGTGTTTACTTGTGAATCACAACATAAATACAGGGACGTATGGAATAGTGTAGTTTGTAATTATAAATGTTTTCAAATAAATGTGTTCGTGATGAATGTTTGAGAAGAGAGGAATATGCATTTATCATTGCATTAGGAATGAGACGGTTATGACATAAATCACGAAAAAGGATGTTTATGTGGTACTTGTGCTATTTATAGGGACTGCATATAGTTCACTAGTCCGGGGAATTTAGAGGGACTAGTTGTTTCCTCCACAATTCTAGTATGATGTTGCTGAAGACCTATTCTACCCCGGATCTTCACAGATTTCACTTGTCGTAAAGGCCAAATACCTGTGGAAATTCAGTGATGACAACAGGTGTTCGCGAAAAGGGTAAGCAGACCCCACTCATCAATTTGAAGGCGTATATAAATTGGAACCATAGAGATGCATAGGGCAATCCATCTTACACCTACGTTTTACCTTTGACAATCCTAACCTACAAAAATGTGTTGTACAGTTGCCTTTTACGCCAAGTGCACTCTGCAAATAACAGTGAATGATTATTCTCTGGTGCTGACGTATAATATGATTTAATCAAACTATTAGAGGTGCAGTGAGGTGAAATGGGGTTTAACGTCGCGTCCAAGATTATTGCACTCGTATAGCGACGTGCATGTACATGTACGTGTGTATGTTTGTGTGGCTGCTTGTACTAGTCCGGACTGATGCCGATTTATAATGCTAGCTCACTGAGATACCATGCCGCAGTTTAACATGAATACCCCACTCAGACACAGTATACTGACTCCGAGCCGACCAGTCCTTGTTTTAGCCCCTTAATGCCGAGCGCCAGACAGGGTAACAACATGTACCATCTTTTAACGTCTTTTGGTATGTTGCGGTCGGGGATCGAACCCAGGACCTTCCACTCTCCGGGCGGATGCTCTACCACTAGACCACGGAGGCGGTCCAAACTATTAGAGATAATGCCTCAAAGACCCGTGAAGATCCGGGGTAGAATAGGTCTTCAGCAACCCATGCTTGCCGTAAAAGGCGACGATGCTTGTCGTAAAAGGCGACTATCGGGATCGGGTGGTCAGGCTCGCTGACTTGGTTAATACATGTCATCGGTCCCAATTGCGTTGATCGATGCTCATGATGTCAATCACTGGATTGTCTGGTCCAGACTCCATTATTTACAGACCGCCGTCATATAGCTGGAATATTGCTGAGTGCGACGTTAAACAACAAACCAACCAACAACCAACCAATGCCTCAAATATTGATATGGCATTCATGTACAAGAAGAGATATATATGTACTCATTGCTGTTGTCGGTGTGGTCAAATCTATTTGTTGGTAGTTCTCGCGATGTTTTGGCGTGACACGATAGATGCAAGGCTATTGTATAAGGGCAGGGAGGTTGGGAAGCCCAGTGGATAAAGCGTTCATTCGTCATGCCGAAGGCCCGGGTTCGATTCCACACATTGGTTCAATCTATGCATCCTATTTCTAGTGTCGCCCGCCGTGATATTGCCAAAAGAGGCTCGATTTCTGAGAGCGTGAAATGTATAGATATACACCGATCGTTGTAAAAATATCATAGTGCATTCATAGATAAATATAAAAGACATTGCTTTGTCCTTAACTGATTTAATATTACGACGGGGTACACAAGAAATGGGCTTCACACATTGTACCCATTCAATATTGACCTGCGGCGTGACTAGCCTACACCACCGTCCGTCTGTAGTGTAAGGTGTACTTTGAGGACCAAGGTCATTTCCAGTCAAATATTAGTGAGTAAGGTTCTACACCGCTTTAAACAATATTACATAACGTTTACAGATGGGATACACCTTAAACGACTTCACACGTTGTACCATTATGGAGAATCGAACCTTGGCCGTCAACGTGACAAAAGAACCCCACCACCCTCACCCCAGTAGACCTGAAGATAAAGATATTGAACCTCGTATTGAGGGAATATTGACTAATATGAAATATTCATCGACATTATCGGAAATTGTAGATAATGAAGTGCTACCGCGGTCCTGGTTTCAAAATCAATATGTTTTGACAATGATTATTGATTACCCAACCAGCGAATCACCGTGCTGACCGGTGTTCTGATGTATCTGAAAGTCCCGACGGACATATACGGACAGTCTGTTTATTTTAATGAGTGACAATTGTCCAAGTGCCAACAGTATTCATTTTCGGAATCGATGACTATCAACGGAAATGCCCTATTGATTATATAATTGCCCTATACTTGTGGGCCTGTCATGTACTATATACAAGTTAATGGAAGTCCAAGTTGAAAGAGCACCCTTGTGACTCATATGAAGTATTTATATATGTACAACATGATTGTGTTCTGGCAATGTATAGGGGGCACGGGTGTGCAGAGTTGCGTCCCTTTGGCACGCCAGTAACCTATGATTGTGGGTTCGAATCCCGGTTCGCCCCGATTATGTTTCTAGGTTTGTCAGCACCATACCCGTGCTCGTGGGTTTCACCGAAGTGGTAAACGTCTGAGACATGCATCACTTCGGGCTTTCCTCCCACATAAAGCTGACACGCCGCGATATAACTGGAATACTGTTGAAAGCAGCGCTAAACCCAGCTCACTTACTCACTCTGGCAATGTATAGGGGGCCAAGTCTTTGTAATTATTTAAACATATTTAAGAACGTACATGCAGTTTTGTAGGGGTTGCAATTAGTATTAGTATTAGTCTCATCCTTGCCAAATCCCTACAGCTACCCTATCCCTCTTCTATTTCTACAGGTGCCGTGTCGATCTGGTGCGAGGTATTCACATACAAACGATTGGTTTCTCTGTTCCGTAAACGTTACGTGTTACTTTACCGGACAGCCACATATACGTGTTGTAATATAGATTTGAAAACTGCCTTTGTTGTGTTAGTCGGCAATATTACTTTAAAATTAAACGCCATTTGTATTAATTTAAACACCGTGATATCGGTCATCCACTTAATTCGGAGATAAACATGCTGTGTTTCAAATTTTTCCAAATTTGGAACCGAACGTGCACCGCGGGCTTTCTACGTGTACCTTCTACCATGATACAATTTAACGCCATAGCTCTTGTGTTTGCAACGACAGTGAGGGAAGCGGTATCGGTTGAGTACAATGTTTTGAGTGGTGTGGGGGTCTGAATTAAGGATGCTAGCCCAGAAACAATGTATTACACTGTACATGTTCAAACATATTTTTTGGTTTAGTATAATTATGTTTTACTTGCATCTATAACACTGACTGACTGAATTTGTTTTTACGCCGCTTTTAGCAATATTCCAGCAATATCACGGCAGGGGAAACCAGAAATGGGCTTCACACAGTGTGTACCCATGTGGGAAATCGAACCCGGGTCTTCAGCGTGACGAGCGAACGCTTTAACCACTAGGCTACCTCCAGCGCCCTGCTTATATAACAAGCTCGTCACGATATGGCTGAAATACTGCCGATGTGACGTTAAATCTTAACTCACTCACTCACTCACTATATAACAAGCAGTGTAAGTGTGTAGTATAACTACTTTCTTTGGCTTACATGAAGTTGTCACCCCTGACGAAAATGACGTCTTGCATGGTTTAAGGACCGACCATTTGATATCCCGGGGGCCGGGGAGTTTATTGGAAAAAGTAAATTGTCCAAGAAATTTCTTGAAAAAAATATTTATGCTTGAGACGGTAGAAAATAAAAATTTGACTGTCACAAAAGTTACATTGTTGCAAGATTTCTTTTCCCAACAAAATAATCAGGTTCCTTTAATTTTTCAAACTATGGTTTTGCAGATATATATGAAAAATATCTAACAGACCTATTATACCCCGCATCTTCACGGGTCGCATTCTGCCAATAACAACATCACGCACTGACTAAACCCGAGGAGACGAAATTGAAAACATGTTAGTGAATGTTGAAAAAGTGTTGTCATTATATCTGTGCATTGATCTGTACACATTCACTGATAGGTCAAAGTGGAATATCTTAGTAAAACACTCAATATTTTACCATCCTTAATTTGAATCTAATAAGAGTTTATTAGATGCTTCTCTGTTCCCGGGAAGTGCAATATGTATATTTTATAAGCATAGCCACCAATTACCATTGATTGCCGACACAACTGTAATGGGTTAGACATTGGTAGTTCTAGTCTGGTAACTTAATTACGCATATAGCCAAATCCCATGAACGGTTCTTCTTGAACAGCCATGCATACCTGATATCTTACTTTGTTATGATGCCACTCATTTTGTTGCATGATGTCAATTATCAAAACGTTTCTCTCTAATGGGATAGTCATTATTAAGTCAAACAATTATGACAAGAATTGATAAAAGCAAAGTCGAAACTACCTACCTGGACCACCAACCAGAGCAATTTTGTTTAACTAGAAGATTATAGTGTTAGCTTGATCAGACACTAGTGTTCCATACGATCTGCCGTTCGAAGATATATTTTCTTTTGTCAATGACTTTTGATGCAAAATTAATGTAATTGGGAATTTGACATCAACGGAAGTATCTCACTTAGAACTTGTGGGTCAAACGAAGGTAGTGCACCATTGGCGATCGTTAGTATATGATGAGATTCAAAATCATGATTTACCTGCTGCTGATGTTCTCAAGGATTACGTAAGTGTTTGAACATAATAAGTTACAAGGCCGGACAGGATACATTTTGGTTACTCATTAGATGTGGTTGTAATCTGTGAAGATCCGGGGTAGAATAGGTCTTCAGCAGCCCATGCTTGCCGTAAAAGGCGATTATGCTTGCCGTAAAAGGCGACTATGCTTGTCGTAAGAGGCGACTTACGGGGTCGGGTAGTCAGGCTCGCTGACTTGGTTGATGCATGTCATCGTTTCCAGATTGCGTGGATCCATGCTCAGGATATCAATCACTGGATTGTCTGGTCCAGATTCAATTATTTACAGACCGCCATCATATAGCTGGAATATTGCTGCGTGTGGCGTTAAACAACAAACAAACAAAACAAAAGGAAGCATCATGAAGCACCAACCAGGGAAGAGAACACGGATAAAACAACCAACCAACCAAATGTAATCGTCACCTGTCTTATTACTTTATAGTGCGGAAGGTCGGTGTTTCGATCCCCGGTCGCGTCATACAAAGAGCCGTGAAATATGGTACTTCCTGTTAACCTGTCAGAATACTGTGTCTGATTGAGGTATCGAGGTTAACCTGCGGCTATATATCTCAGTGGCCTGGCCTTATAAGACCGGCATTCATCCAGCCTAGGACAAGCACACACACACACACACACACACACACACACACACACACACACACGTCGCTATATAAGTGAAATAATCTTAAGCGCTAAGTTCCACGTCACCTCACTTTATTACATTACAAAGTTGATAATGACGTCGAATAACAAAGCTTGCAAATATCACATCACGTCTAGGATATTCGTTATGGGAGTGATTCGACTCTCAGAAGCAATGACAATCTTTAGGGAAGCCCATTAGCTCGTTGTATGTTCTGACCAACCTAAAAATATTATCAAAGCAAAGCACTTTTATGTTTCTGGCATGCCCCAGGGACAACAGATACAGAACATACAAACAAGTAAAGTTTTGTTTTCAATATTGTAGTACATGTATGGAATCAAGTCACAAACACGCAACTGCTACAGAAAAGCATGCATTCCATGCAAAAGTTGACTTTTATGCAAACCCCATGCATTTCACTACCCAAGAATGGGTATAAAAACATGTGGGTTAACGGGATTCCATATGCATTGTTTAGCATCCTGCTGACACTCAGAAAAACAACAAAATTACGCAATTGCAACATTGGTATGCTTGACGCAGGATCGAGTCATCGTGATGTTGCAAGACAATTTAACGTCCACAGAAACACCATTTGGTGTTTATGGCTTACGTTGGCAACAGACGAATGCAGTCAGAGACCATCCTCGGGGTGGCAGGTCACGCGTAACCAATAATCGACAAGACAACTGGATTCGAACAACACACCTACGAAATCGATACCAGCCAGCAAAAGTGGCTGCAAGAAGCATCCCTGGCCTTCGACGAATATCTTCACAAACCTTACGTCGTCGCCTCAGATGTGCAGGGATTGTCGCCAGAAGACCCGCCAAACGTCCCATTTTGACAGGAAAACGCCGTCAAACACGTCTACAGTTGTGCAAACAGCGTCTACGCTGGACGGCGATGCAGTGGGGACAAGTTCTACTCACTGGTGAGTCTCGTTTTCACCTCACCCGCAGCGATGGACGGATTCGAGTGTACCGACGTCGAGGTTAACGTAACCATTGTGTCCTAGAAGAAGATCGGTTCGGAGGCGGCAGCGTTATGGTATGGGATTACAGCAAGACAGAGGACCCGTTTGATAGTGGTAGAGGGAAATCTCAATGGACAGCGCTACCGCGACGAGATCATCGGCCCTGTTGTTCTACCGTTTTTGCGTCGTCATGGCCCAGGCATTACTTTTCAACATAACAACGCCCGGCCTCATATTGCTCGACTTGTTCAGGACTCTCTTCAACAAAACAACGTGAATGTCATCCCCTGGCCGGCTCGCTCCCCTGATCTCTCACCAATCGAGCACATGTGGGATGAGATGGATCGGCGCCTTCGACGTCAACCACGTGTTCCACGGACACTCCAGGAACTTCTAAACATGCTCCAGCAGATTTGGACAGATATCCCACAGAACTTTGTGCGACGCCTGGTCCATTCCATGAGACGACGATGTGTTGCTTGCATCGCACCTAGAGGTGGACACACACGCTATTGATTTGTAAATTGACATTTTGGCATGTTCATGTTGTTTTCTATGAAATCACACATTTTCTGAAGTCAGTATGGCAAATTATACCATTTGAACACTTACAGGAGTCTTCTATCTGTTGCAAACCGAAATTGTTTCAGATTTGGTAAAAAACATAACTTTGCATTAAATCTTATTCAGTGTCACGGGAACTTTTGTTGTTCAGTATATTAGTATTTTAGTATCGGAAGGTGATAGGGAAGTACACGTCACTTTCCGTCACGGTGGGTAAAATGAATACCTATTAAAATGTTCTTACCTGAACAAGGACGTATCATAGTTTGGACACAGATCTGACAACCACATGAACGGGCTATTCGGAAAGCAGTTTTAATACATTTAAAATGTTCACTTTGAGGAAAAGTATGGATACAAAATGTCAAACTACATGAAGGACACAATGAGGAGACGATGACAATTATATTGATTTATATATTTCTCTCAAGGGGTGGAACCAGGTCAACGTTTGAGCTGCTGACACAGCGTCACCCCGACCACTACACGCTGGTGAACCAGATGGCGACTACGCGAGCAGATACATGTGCTGTCGACTGTACACGACACCCAAGATGCTCTCTCTTCAAGTTCGACACGCATGCGTCCTTGTGCACAATCCTCGTTCCAGGCACATTCGGCGTGGCCAGCATCGGATATCGGACACAAGCAGAGAAGCACTATGCCTTCTCAAACGGTACTGTGACAATTATATGACAGAGGTATTTCTAACTATTTAATATACAACGTCAACGCTGGGGAATGGTAGTACTGCCTGATGCCAGTTCTTATTACTTATACACCAACTTGTATGACAATGCGTGACACACTTAATATTCCAACGCCACACACAAACATACTATCCTAATTTCACATCTACATTGATGTTCAAAACAAGGGAATAGGCAAAAAAAATTAACGTAAGCTACAGGTACAGCGATGATCTGATATTGTTAAAAAATGGTTTTGGGTTTGGTTTGGTTTGTTGTTTGTTGCACGCAGCAATATTCCAGCTATATGACGGCGGTCTGTAAATAATCGAGTCTGGACCAGACAATCCAGTGATTAATATCATGAGCATCGATCCGCGCAATTGGAATCGATGACATGCATCAACCAAGTCAGCGAGCCTGACTACCCGATCCCGTTAGTCGCCTTTTACGACAAGCATAGTAGCCTTATACGGCAAGCATGGGCTGCTGAAGACCTATTCTACCCCGGATCTTCACGGGTCGTTAAATAATGGCTAAATGATCGATTCCCTTCCACTGACTTACCCACCCGAACTAGTAGAAGGGACCAAGGAAACTACCTGCCATGTTTCTTATTACACCTATAAATTTGAGTGTGACAACTATCTATCCACAAGAATATATGACAATATACAGTAGACTACGGTTAAAACGAACACGCTTATAACGAACTGACGGATATAACGAACTTACTTTTTGGTCCCGACTATTTGCTGTAGTTATGCTGTATATATGCTTATAACGAACTACGGTTATAACGAACTAAAATTAGTAGTCCCTTTGAGTTCGTTATAACCGTAGTTTACTGTAGTCTCGCAGCTTCATCCCTTCGTGTCTGCATTTCACAGCGTTTTGAGGTACAATCGAGCGAGCTCGTCCGATCAAGATTTGCAAGAGTGTTCTCCGACTCTTGCTCAAACGTTGTTTGATCAGATTTAGGGGCGGTCGGGTAGCCTAGTGGTTAAAGCGTTCGCTCGTCACACCGAGGACCCGGGTTCGATTCCCGACATGGGTACAATGTGTGAAGCCCATTTCTGGTGTCCCCCGCCGTGATATTGCTGGAATATTGCTAAAAGCGGCATAAAACCATACTCACTCACTCACTTTGATCAGATTTACGGCACTGAAGGCCTCAGAAAACATTTGAAAATGTTTCATGGTAGACGTGTAGAGGACATTTCCAAATTTGACGCATCAGTGTACAAATATAATTTCCGATGCAATTCCTTATTTTAACTTGTACCATATGTTCCCGTGGTTGTTTGAGGGGTTTGACTTGCCTCTGCATGTGTTTGTGTTGGTTGATGCATGTCATCGTATCCCAATTGCGTGGATTGATGCACTCATAATATCAATCACTGGATTGTCTGGTCCAGACTCGGTTTTTTACAGACCGTGGTCATATAGCTGAATATTGCTGCGTTCGGCGTTAAAAAAGCATGTGTTTATGAAGGGTGAGGCACGATACACTCTTATAATACCTTGTATAGCGAAAATTTGGTATCACCCCTATTTGATAGTGATTCCTAAGCACATGTTTAAACCCGTGAAGATTCCGGGGTAAAATAGGTCTTCAGCAACCCATGCTTGCCGTAAAAGGCGACTATGCTTGTCGTAAAAGGCGACAACACGGGATTGGGTGGTCAGGCTCGCTAACTTGGTTGATGCATGTCATCGATCCCAATTGCGTGGATCGATGCTCATGATATCAATCACTGGATTGTCTAGTCCAGACTCGATTATTTTACAGACCGCCGTCATAAAGCTGGAATATTGCTGAGTGCGGCGTTAAACAACAAACAAACAAACAAAACACATGTTTATGATAAAAAATGGATTTTGTATGATTATTGATATGGTTTTGATGCTTATATTTACTCGAAACCTTCACAACTCATCGTCAACTTGAGGTACTGGCCGTTGGACTTTACACCTCTACTGTCTCACTGACCACACAGACACGTTCCTCACTCGTCCTGTACCTGATTTTACAGAACCTTTTCTTTGTGATTTATTTTGTTGGAAAGTAAAAGCATCACATCTGAATATATTCTTTCAGGATGGTGCCCAGTAGAATACGGATACATCTTCCTGAGAGATGTTCAGATGTGCATCTGGCTGTCCCACGAGCCGGCCACCCACGATTCCGCCGTCACTCAGTGTGGCCTCCATGGGGGCGGACTCATTGTCCTTGCTGACGCTCACAAGATGGAGGCAATATTAAAACTAGCTGCTACCGGCCCGTGTAAGTAGCAAGCCATTACTGTGTCACTATTGCCTATTAAGGCTGTGGCAGTATCTCCTAAACATGATATCTTTCAACGTACGACAATAATAATAATGATAAGTTCCATCAATGGTACGACCCGGAATATGTAGAGGGCGTCATGGATAATTATAAATACAACATTCTTTGGAATAGGCCCGTATACAGCCTCAGACATATCCAGGCAAACCTTGTCTTGTCCATTGTTCTCGGTGCCTTAGGTATGGTATCTCCCAATCTGTTGACTGACTAAGGGAGAGTACCCGGCTTTGCTACCAGGAATACAGCCCTTCCGACAATCTGGGTGATGCAAAAGGCTGCAGTTTTGGGGAAGTTTTCACATTCTCCGAAAAGTTCTGGGTGTATTTGACAAGGCAGCGCTTCCTGGGAGAAGTCCCATTCGCTGTCTGGGCTGCGTGTAGAGGGGGCAAGGGCCCTGTGCTGATGATGAGATGTGCTGACTAACGGTGCCAGGATCACCCAAATCCTCTTTGATGCATTTTTTATTTCTAATCTTTAAATAACAATAATAATAATAATAATAATAACACCCCTTACTCACCTCCTTTACATGGATGACCTTGAACACATTGCCAATGGAGGATCCACACTCAAAAATTAGATTCTCCTTGTCGAGTTTTCTAACGACATGGGCAAGTCCTTTCGACTCGACAAATACAACATTCTTCATCTGAAACGTGGGGCGGTCGGGTAGCCTAGTGGCTAAAGCGTTCGCTCGTCACGCCGATAACCCGGGTTCGATTCCCGACATGGGTACAATGTGTGAAGCCCATTTCTGGTGTCCCTCGCCGTGATATTGCTGGATTATTGCTAAAAGCGGCATAAAACCTCACTCACTCACTCATCTGAAATGTGGCAAGGTAGAAGAGGGAGGATCAGTCAGTATAGTCTCGTGAAAGGTCAGGCCTATACGTACTTAAGGATGCAGATTAGGGACAAATTCCAGAATGCCTATATCAACTTCGGGCAGAGTACAAATGTAAACTTAAGAAAATCTGGAGTTCAGGGCTGAACGCTCGCAATAAAGTAAAAGCCACAAATACTTATGCTGTACCCGTCCTTTCATATTCTTTTGGTGTTGTTGATTGGGTGAAACAAGGAATTCAGGGTATTGACACCCTCACACGAAGAATCATGTCAGACAATAGATCCCACAACCCTCGCTCTTCCCTCAATCGCTTATATTAACATAATATCAATGTCGGTGCTGATTTTTTTTATGGTTCTGTACTGATGGACGGTACAGAAATGAGTTTCAACCAAGCGAAGTGCCATATCAAGTCGGCCCAGACTCAGTTTTTCAAGGAGAGGCTATCTGAATAACCACTGCATCGAGTTTATATGCAGTGTGTTGAGAAGATCAGCAAACCTGCAGAGTCCTTCGCTTGGATGAAGTCGTCTGGACTGAAAAGTGAAACAGAAGGCTTTCTGTTTGTTGCTCAGGACCAGTCACTTCGCACTTGAAACCGTCAATGTGTCATTTTGCATCAAAATGTAAATATGAAATGTAGATTATGTAATGAATTTAATGATACTGTCCAACAAATGGTCAGTAGATGCCCAGCTTTGGCACAAACACAGTATCTTAAACGACATGATGGTGTAGCTCGATCATTTTATTACCGTCTTCGCCATTTTTGGTTTTGATACAGAGGTTCATCCATGGTACAACCCAGAATAAGTAGAGGGCGTCATGGAAAATGATAAATACAAAATAGGCCTCAGTCTCAGACGTATCCAGGCCAACAAACCTGATCTTTTCCTTTTTGATAAACACAACGAAATCATTTATATCATTGCACTTTCTGTCACTTTTGACACAAATATGATTGACCAGATTCAGGAAAAACCGGGCAAATATGCGGACCACTTTTAAGAAATCATGTCAATGTTGATTTTGTTGATGATTCTGTACTGCTGGATGGTACAGAAATGAGTGTCAACCAAGCGAAGTGCTATATCAAATCGGACCAAGGGGAGGCTATCTGAACGACCATTGAATTGGTGTATGTAAAGTGTGTTGAGAAGATCAGCAACCCTGAAGAGTCATTTGCTAAGAATGAAGTCGGCTGGCCTGAAAAGTTGGTCAGGACCAGTCACTTCCCACTCGAAACCGTCAATATGTGATTTTTGCATCACGCAATTTGGATCGATGACATGCAACAACCAAGTCAGCGAGCCTGACCACCCGATCCCGTTAGTCGCCTTTTACGACAAGCATAGTCGCCTTTTACAGCAAGCATGGGTTGCTGAAGACCTATTCTGATCTTCACGGGTCGCAATTGAGATACAATGACATTCATCAACCAAGTCAGCGGGTCTGTTGTTTTAAGAACACGGGAGTAAAGTGACCACGCGGGAGATGCTACTTTCTTGCCTCTGATATGAGACGGAAATAGAAGTATATAGCGTTTAAGCTGATACTGCGAAGGAAATATAATTGCTGCCCATGAACCCATTTGGCGAATGTATGCTAAATTTTATAATCATGGCTATTGATGTATTTTCTATTGTGTAAATGTACCCTCAACTACTTTGTATTTCTGCACCATAGGCCTGGGTCGTTTTCGGTGTCAAGAAATCAAGATTGATTGATTGAAATTTGATAACTAGTCTAAATAAAGAGGGAGACGTGGACAATTTAGTTTTGTGGATCACTAAATTTAAAGAAAGTTTGTCCAGCGAATTATCTTCATGCAGCTAACGCCATCAGTGATGATAGATGGAGGATTTATCCAAGTAACTTGGAATTCCATATCATTCATTACCCTGCTTAGGATGCCTCGCCCAACTTAATATAAAAACGTTTCGAGTAACAAAGTACGGAATTCTTTTTAACATAACAGTTGTGTATGACAACATTTCACTCTTAATTTCATTCATTCTGTTAGGTCATGACACGTTCCAAGCAAGGATAAGAGGATAACCCTTTTTCTAACAAAATATATTTGACAACACTTCGAACTTATATCCAAAACCATGTTTAACAATAGCAAAACAAAATCGTCGAAAATAAGTGTGCATGTTACAAGCAGACGGCTCAGGTGTGTCTTGAGATTGTGTCAAGTGATAATTCAAAGTGACAGGACGACGAAACCATGCATTCCCACAGACAATCTCCTGTTGGTAAATACAAGTATGTGTTATTAGCTCTAACATGAGGCGAATGGAGCTCAATGGGTAGGTAAACACTAACACGCAGCATTTGAATAGTCTATTTATTTATTTTTTGCTTTTTTTACAACTTCGGCTTCTGATATTAACATGATAAATGAAGCCCAGTCGTCTAAGGCACCGCGATTCGCTGTGCAGAGATGCGTCCCTTGGGCACGCCAGAAACCTATGATTGTGGGTTCGAATCCCGGTTCGCCCCGATTATGTTTCTAGGTTTGTCAGTACCATACCCGTGCTCGTGGGTTTCACTGAAGTGGTAAACGTCTGAGACCTACATCACTTCGGGCTTTCCTCCCACATTAAGCTGACACGCCGCGATAATAACTGGAATACTGTTAAAAGCAGCGTTAAACCCAACTCACTCACTCACTCACTAACTTTATACTAACGGTTAATATGTCAATTGCAGGGAAGAACAAACACATGTACGTTGGTGCAGATGACAAGGCTGTAGAAGGTACATTTTTGTGGGAAGACGGGCGCCTCGTAAATGACAGTAACTGGCAAGTTAATGAACCAAATGGTTCCTTGGATGAGGCCTGCGTTGGCATGGTCATCGGTACTGGGCGTCTTTTCGATTCTCCTTGTATGTGGAATCAACTGTTCATCTGCGAAATCGTTCTTTAAATTTCAAACACTTCATTATATTGTATCTGGAAATTAAAGTGTTTTATGTTTCGAGACACTTCAACACTTGTAGCATTTACATACAGCTTAACCTCAGTGAAGAAGAAATATAGAACACAGATCGGTGTTCGCTTCATAGCACATTTCGTACAACCTTGTGACTTTTCACGATACGAATAGAAGTTGCCAAAGGACATCAGGTAGCGCTTTGACTTCATGTGATACTATATGGGAAGATGAGCTGCCATGTCATTGCCTATGTTGTGGAACTTTGTGGTGAGCTTGTCCTCTATCCCCATATAGATTGTAGGCTGGCATCTTCATCACTTGTGGTTAAAGTGTTCGGTCGTCAAGGCGAAGGCCCTGGTTCGATTCCCAACATGGGTACAATGTGTGAAGCCCATTCTTGTATCCCCGCCGTGATGTATATGTGCTGGAATATTGCTAAAAGCGGCGTAAAACCATATTCACTTACTCACTCTTCATCGCTGCTATCAATTATCACCTTTTCACACTCAGTCGAGATTGAACTGCTTTGCATGCGCTCTGATACCATGTAAACCATGTTATATGTGTGTTCAATAAGGACCCAAGGTCAATACAACATATTACTGAAAGTACCATACATTTTTATCGCAATGGCAATGTTATGCACTTATTCTTGATACAATTTCATCCAGGTCTCACGATTGAATAAAGGCTACCAAAATTCTCAATAGTCCCATGAGTCCATTGTATTATACAACGATATCATAAGCAAGTATCGTATGAATCACAGAGATAAAGTGATGATAACAGGTCTTCACAAAAACGTGAGTGTATCGTGTCCCACCACTGGTACCGTTGCAAACACATGCAAAGGCTAGTCAAGTGTTGGCCTAAAGAAACATAAGAACAAAAATCAAAATAAGGATTTACATTGGACTTTACGTATCCACCATAAAACGCTGAAAAGCTTCACCGAGGCAGTGAATGCAAAAACCCTCATCAAACAACTTTTGAGCAAGAGTCGTATGACGATCTTTGAAATCTTCGCGGAAAGAGTAGGCTCGACTACACCTCAAAGGTTGTCAAATGTAGACACCAAAGGCTGGAGCTACTGGGATATTGCTCGACATAAAAAGAATGTACAGTAAAGTACGGTTATAACGAACTCAAAGGGACTACTAATTTTAGTTCGTTTTAACCGTAGTTCGTTATAAGCATATATACAGCATAACTACAGCAAATAGTCGGGACCAAAAAAGTAGTTCGTTATATCCGTCAGTTCGTTATAAGCGTGTTCGTTATAACCGTAGTTTACTGTAGAAGGGAATTGGCTACTTGACCATTGCTGAACGATTTCAGATCATCGAGGATCATCGATATTTAGTTAATCCTCTTTGCAAATTCCCATTTTATGGTAGTTTACCAATCCAAGCATAAGTTCGTATTCATATGTATAGCTGATCAGCAAGGAGGGTAGCAAAATTGGCGCCCATGGGGATGCCTACATTTGCCTAAATATCCTATCCCAAGATTATACAATCATAAAAGCCCGCGCTATCCTTTGTAAATGCATATGTACACTTGGTAAAACATTAAGCACCATTCACTGCATATATTTCCACATAAACTAACCATCGTAAAAATTGTAAACGAAACACATTTTGTTTCTGAACACAAAGGGCCAATCTCAATTCAGAAAAACCGAAATCGATTATGTAATGAAATTTTTTATAACTTTTCCATGGCAATAATTATTGGATTACTCTTTCAATTGCTTCATCTGCTTCTCTGACTCAATTCATCTGTAGGCCCAATAAGGGGTTGTGGGGAAGCTTTGATTCCCCACATGGTTACAATGTTAAAAGCTATTGCTAGTATCCGCCGCCGTGATATTGCTGGAATATTGCTAAAGCGGTCTTAAACCATACTCATTCACTGAAGGACCATACAGTGTTCTTGTATCAACATTTCACCAGCTGTCGGTGGTGTATCAGAGTGAGTGAGTGAGTGAGTGACGTTTTACGCCGCTTTTAGCAATATTCCAGCAATATCACGGCGGGGGACACCAGAAATGGGCTTCACACATTGTACCCATGTCGGGAATCGAACCCGGGTCTTCGGCGTGACGAGCGAACGCTTTAACCACGAGGCTACCCGACCGCCCCGGTGGTGTATCAGACCTGTACAACATTGGATAAAGAACATGTGTAGACATAACCTCAGTATACCGGGAAGAACGGAATATGTGGAAATAAACATGCAGCTTAGTTTTGTCCCAGATGTATGTGTTACAGTCAATGTGTAAAATGACTTGAAAATTTCACTAAGTCGATGTACAAAACGCCTAAATATTTCAGTAATATTACAATTATGTTTCCATTTTTTATAATATAAAAATGAATCATCAAGATGTGTATACTCTATTTCATCACCCAGTGATTGAAAATAGCAGGATTATAAGAAAACGTAAGTCAATGTATACAGTTTTGTGGCTGTTAATCCAAGCATATGAACTCTATTCTGATATTTTTAAGCCGTTTTAACTTCTGAGAGACTTTTAGTCAATCTCATGGACAAATAATTGCATAATGACTGAAATATTTTGGTGTTTTGTCCAGACAACCCGTGAAGATCCGGGGTAGAATAGGTCTTCACCAACCCACGCATGCCGTAAAAAGCGACTCTGCTTGTAGTAAGAGGCGACTAACGGGATCGGGTAGTCAGGCTCGCTGACTTGATTGATGTATGTCATAGCGTGGATCGATGCTCATGATGTCAGTCACTGGATTGTCTGGTCCAGACTCGATTATTTACAGACCGCCGTCACATAGCTGCAATAATCCCGAGTGCGGCGTTAAACAACAAACAAACAAATGTAAATTGTCTGAGTGACCATTTCAGTCATTTTAAACATTGATTGATTTTACACACTGACTGTTACACATATATCCCATCCACAGCAATTAATACTTTACAGCTTATCGTTGAAAACCATACAAACGCTGAAAACTAAAAGAACCTGTTCACCGTCTGGTTGAATCTGGAATACAGACTACACTACCCTGAACTTATCACATCACATCTGATTGTTCTAAATGAGCTCAATTCTGTTTTAATATCTTCAGTTTGAATAAAGCAGTATTTCCAAGAGTTTTTATGTAGTGGGAACCCTTGTTCGTTTTGTTTTCTTAATGACGTACCCGTTCTGTGGAATGAAACGTTTGTTCGTTTGTTGTTTAACGCCGCACTCCGCAATATTCCAGCTATATGAGGGCGGGTGATGAAACGTCGATGTTCAGGAAGAAAATAGATACAAATAAATATATAACAAAACTCGCTGAAAATATTCCAACTACAGTTGTAAGCAGTCAAATCAACATGTCCGGTTCTTCTGAAATTGGGGGGCACGGGTGGACCAGTCGTCTAAGGCGCCGCGAATCGCTGTGCAGAGTTGCGTCGCTTTGGCACGCCAGAAACCTATGATTGTGGGTTCGCCCCAATTATGTTTCTTGGTTTGTCAGCACCATACCCGTGCTCGTGGGTTTCACCGAAGTGGTAAACGTCTTAGACCTGCATCACTTCGGGCTTTCCTCCCACATTAAGCTGACACGCCGTGATATAACTGGAATACTGTTAAAAGCGGCGTTGAACCTAACTCACTCTTCTGAAATTGAACATCTCCATGTTGGTATATTGATATAATTCAATGGGATCTTTGTTTCTGAAATGTACATTATACGCTTGGTACTAAACACTGTTCCCTGATGTGTCAATTACATTTGTTGTATGTTAGACAAAGATGTTCATGTCGAATAACGATTATAATGATTCTCACTGTTTTTATTGCGTCATATGTGTGGTTAATTAAATTGATTATTTCGCATATAATGACGTTGTGTTTGTACAATGCATCAAAGGGAATCACTGATGTAATGCGTGAGCACTACATGGTATTCAATGTACTTCATTACACCATGTAAACAGAGACACAACGAAGGTTCCCAAAAACCCAATCCCACACTGTCAACAAAGATTAACCATCAACCGTAATGTTCTTATCGATATTCTCACAAATCACAATCTCATATTGATATGTATTACTTCGTGGTTATAATCAACAGCAATATTTTCATTGAGTCGATGAGTAAACTGCATGCTTGAAACGTTCAACATCGTAACACTGATTCACAATAAGAATTTTTTTGAAAAAACGTTTTTCAAAAGAGTGAGTGACAATAGTTAGATGTCGTTTTGTCCGGTAATACAGTCATGTTACTGCATAATGGGGGGTTGGGTGGGGGAGGGGGGGTGGGGGCTGTATACACCTAGGCCGCTGTAGTGAGTGAGTATGGTTTTACGCCGCTTTAAGCACTATTCCAGCAATAACACGGCGGGATACACCAGAAATGGGCTTTCCACACTGTACCAATGTCGGGAATCGAATCCGGGTCTTCGGCGTGACGAGCGAACGCTTTAGCCACTAGGCTACCCGACCGCCCCCTTAGGCCGCTGTATTAGTTATATAAGGTGTTAGTTCTATCTTTTTAAATTTGAGAAATTAGGAATGAGTTTACTTGTAGAGATTTCTTTTAATTGTGGAATTATTTTCTTTATTTTAAGCCGGAGAACACAATCATTCCTTTGTGTGGGGCTCTGACATACTTATTCACGAACCTTCAGTTACTTGTATGTCCTTCTTAACATAAAAAAAAGTACAAGCACACATACTGGAAAATGTTAAGTTCAGAGACATTATGATATGATCTACTCTTCCATACATACACCTTATCAATCCCACTGTTTACACACGTTAAGTGCTGCATGTGGTATCGTGAATCTTTTATTTGTCCTAAAATTGAACCAAATGTGTTTTAGAACAACAAAACATATAAAATGACAGGTCAGTATTTGTTCATCATGCCCTTAGTTGTATAATCACTTTTCATATCGGACAGAACAAATGCCAGACGTGTCAGCACAGTTCAAGGCATGCAGTATAGACATGCACAGTTCAAGACATGCAACTGAATCAATAAATGGACTTGTATATATAATATATGAGAGATCTCAATCCTACAGAATAACTGTGATGATGACGCCGTTATTCTTGATTTCTTCGACTTTAATACACATTGCAGTATCAACGTAAGTGTTGTTGAAATTATATTATGTAGCTGTGGCCATCGTGGTGTGGCTGTGATATTGCTGACTACAGGCCACCGTGGTGTAGCTGTGATATTGCTGACAACAGTCAACCGTGGTGTAGCTGTGATATTGCTGACATCGGACCGCCGTGGTGTAGCTGTAATATTGATGACTACAGGCCACCGTGGTGTAGCTGTGATATTGCTGACTACAGACCACCGTGGTGTAGCTCTGATATTGCTGACTACAGACCACCGTGGTGTTGCTGTGATACTGCTGACTACAGGCGACCGTGGTGTAGCTGTGATATTGCCGACTACAGACCGCCGTGGTGTTGCTGTGATACTGCTGACTACAGGCGACCGTGGTGTAGCTGTCATATTGCTGACTACAGACCGCCGTGGTGTAGCTGTGATATTGCTGACTACAGGCCACCGTGGTGTAGCTGTGATACTGCTGACTACAGGCCACCGTGGTGTAGCTGTGATATTGCTGACTACAGGCCACCGTGGTGTAGCTGTGATATTGCTGACTACAGACCACCGTGGTGTAGCTGTCATACTGCTGACTACAGGCGACCGTGGTGTAGCTGTGATATTGCTGACTACAGGCCACCGTGGTGTAGCTGTCATATTGCTGACTACAGGCATCCGTGGTGTAGCTGTCATATTGCTGACTACAGGCCACCGTGGTGTAGCAGTCATATTGCTGACTACAGACCACCGTGGTGTAGCTGTGATATTGCTGACTACAGGCCACCGTGGTGTAGCTGTGATATTTCTGACTACAGGCCACCGTGGTGTAGCTGTGATATTGCTGACTACAGGCCACCGTGGTGTAGCTGTCATATTGCTGACTACAGGCCACCGTGGTGTAGCTGTCATATTGCTGACTACAGGCCACCGTGGTGTAGCTGTGATATTGCTGACTACAGGCCACCGTGGTGTAGCTGTCATATTGCTGACTACAGACCGCCGTGGTTTTGCTGTTATATTGCTGACTACAGGCCACCGTGGTATAGCTGTCATATTGCTGACTACAGACCACCGTGGTTTTGCTGTTATATTGCTGACTACAGGCCACCGTGGTGTAGCTGTAATATTGATGACTGCAGGCCACCGTGGTGTAGCTGTGATACTGCTGACTACAGGCCACCGTGGTGTAGCTGTGATACTGCTGACTACAGGCCACCGTGGTGTAGCTGTCATATTGCTGACTACAGGCCACCGTGGTGTAGCTGTCATATTGATGACTACAGACCACCGTGGTGTAGCTGTGATACTGCTGACTACAGGCCACCGTGGTGTAGCTGTGATACTGCTGACTACAGGCCACCGTAGTGTAGCTGTCATATTGCTGACTACAGGCCACCGTGGTGTAGCTGTCATATTGCTGACTACAGGCCACCGTGGTGTAGCTGTCATATTGCTGACTACAGACCACCGTGGTTTTGCTGTTATATTGCTGACTACAGGCCACCGTGGTGTAGCTGTGATATAATTGCTGACTACAGGCCACCGTAGTGTAGCTGTCATATTGCTGACTACAGGCCACCGTGGTGTAGCTGTCATATTGCTGACTACAGGCCACCGTGGTGTAGCTGTTATATTGCTGACTACAGACCACCGTGGTTTTGCTGTTATATTGCTGACTAAAGGCCACCGTGGTTTAGCTGTTATATTGCTGACTACAGGCAACCGTGGTGTAGCTGTAATATTGATGACTGCAGGTGACCGTGGTGTAGCTGTGATACTGCTGACTACAGGCCACCGTGGTGTAGCTGTGATACTGCTGACTACAGGCCACCGTGGTGTAGCTGTCATATTGCTGACTACAGGCCACCGTGGTGTAGCTGTAATATTGATGACTACAGACCACCGTGGTGTAGCTGTGATACTGCTGACTACAGGCCACCGTGGTGTAGCTGTGATACTGCTGACTACAGGCCACCGTAGTGTAGCTGTCATATTGCTGACTACAGGCCACCGTGGTGTAGCTGTCATATTGCTGACTACAGGCCACCGTGGTGTAGCTGTCATATTGCTGACTACAGACCACCGTGGTTTTGCTGTTATATTGCTGACTACAGGCCACCGTGGTGTAGCTGTGATATAATTGCTGACTACAGGCCACCGTGGTGTAGCTGTCATATTGCTGACTACAGGCCACCGTGGTGTAGCTGTCATATTGCTGACTACAGGCCACCGTGGTGTAGCTGTTATATTGCTGACTACAGACCACCGTGGTTTTGCTGTTTTATTGCTGACTACAGGCCACCGTGGTTTAGCTGTTATATTGCTGACTACAGGCCACCGTGGTGTAGCTGTGATATTGCAGACCACAGGCCACCTTGGTGTAGCTGTGATATTGCTGACTACAGGCCACCGTGGTGTAGCTGTGATATTGCTGACTACAGGCCACCGTGGTGTAGCTGTCATATTGCTGACTACAGGCCACCGTGGTGTAGCTGTCATATTGCTGACTACAGGCCACCGTGGTGTAGCTGTCATATTGCTGACTACAGGCCACCGTGGTGTAGCTGTGATACTGCTGACTACAGACCACCGAGATATGTTACAGCTGTGATATTGATGGCAAGCTGGCGTCGTGTTATAGCAGTGATATTGCTGACTAATGGTCCGCTATACATATTTATCATATAATGCGTAGGTTTCTCGGCAGGATAAAGCCAACGGATAAAAACGATATCCGTTTGTGTCATATGTGGATAGAGATGCAAAAATCAAAGGTCAAGTAGGGACTACTTTCACTGTTTATATAAACAAACATGGCGTCGCCCTCGTCATTCGGCGATCGAGTCAGAATTAACCATCGGGAATCTGGATAAACTACAGGGATAATTGTTATCATTATCAAAAGAACAGTCTAATATACTGAAAATCAGTGTCTAACTGTGACGTAGCTAAGGCATTTTTTAAGATTTGGCAACTTTTGAGATATAAATTTCGAAACAATTTTGCGAGGGCACGAGGCCGAGCCAAGCGGGATCAGTAGGCATATCTGTGCTTGTAGACCTCTGCGGCTTGAAACCTCCTCCACAAATTAAAATAGTTGGATTTGGCCGAAATATGTTTGAATTGTAACCTTGTTTCGTTTTGTCGCTGTGTGTACATCTGACTACACTTCTTACGCTATGACAGGACAGACCGACTATCAACAACGTCTCATAGACTAGGGTAAGAGTAACTTCCCTTTGACAAAGGGCAGTCACTCTAGCGGACACACCGATGGATTGCCGCGAAAGGCAATTAAAAACAATAATTATTGTTTTGCGTATATGTTGCTTCGCCACTGTATAAGAAACAGATTTCAGTTGGAACTATATTGACACATCACTCACCCTGTGACGAAATAAATATTAATGCGCGCATTCCAGGAAAAGTCGCAATGTTTCGTTAATGTTTGTGAGAGAGGGAAATCAATTTTGAAGCACAGAATTAAAGTATGACATTATATGATAAAGAGGTTATCACGCTTGTCTGTTTGGGGATGGTAAATATCCTGTATTAGGAATAAACACTATGTATTTAGCTCGTCAAGGCTCGCTAAATACGATGTTTATTCCTAATGCAGGATATTTACCATCCCCAAACGCACTCGCGTGATAACCTCTATGTATGTACAAGTGATCATGTTAATGTTGATGTTACAAAACATATGTGTGTTATTGCTGTCGTAATATATTAACATTGTAACATTGCTGACTTCAACCGGCTCATTATAGCCTCCGTTAACTCGGTATTTTGCAGATGCCAAAACTACAGTGTCACATTTGAGCGACTTTTAGACTACGATGATGTAAACGTGATGAACATCAGCGTATCGCTGAATCTCATTATTGATGTGAATGAAGTCCACAAATGTGCTGACGCATGCGCATTAAGTTCCAGTTGTGCTGTATTCTACCATGACCCGGTGGCATCATGCTGCATTCTCTACCCCTTGATCGTGATCCCGAGTCCTAACACAGGAAGGTCATCCCCCGGATCTCGACACTATCAGAGACGACTGCAGCTGCCATCAGGTTTGGTTGGGTAGTGCTTGGGTAGCACATGTTTTGGTTTGATTTGGTTTGTTGTTTAACGACGCACTCAGCAATATTCCAGCTATATGACGGCGGTCTGTAAATAATCGAGTCTGGACCAGACAATCCAGTGATTAATATCATGAGCATCCATCCACGCAATTGGGATCGATGACATGCATCAACCGAGTCAGCGAGCCTGACCACCCGATCCCGTTAGTCGCCTCGTACGACAAGCATAGTCGCCTTTTACAACAAGCATAGTCACCTTTTACGGCAAGCATGGGTTGCTGGGTGGCACATGTACATGTATACCACAGTGAGTCAGTGAGTGAGTTGGGTTTAACGCCGCTTTGAACAATATTCCGGTTATATCGCAGTATGTCAGCTTAATACCGCTTCCCTCACTATCGTTGCAAACACAAGAGCTATGGCGTTAAATTGTATCATGGTAGAAGGCCCAAGTAGAAAGCCCGCGGTGCGCGTTCGGTTCCCACCTCATTTAGTTCTACTCTGGAAACACAGCATGTTTATCTCCGAATTGAGTGGATGACTGATATCACGGTGTTTACATTAATACAAATGGCTTTAATTTTAAAGTAATATTGCCCACTAACACAACAAAGGCAGTTTTCAAATCTATATTACAACACGTATAAGTGGCTGTTCGGTAAAGTAACACGTAGCGTTTACGGAACAGAGAAACCAATCGTTTGTATGTGAATACCTCGCACCAGATCGACACGACACCTGTAGAAATAGAAGAGGGATAGGGTAGCTGTAGGGATTTGGCAAGGATGAGACTAATACTAATACTAACTGCAACCCCTACAACACTGCATGTACGTTCTTAACTATGTTTAAATAATTACAAAGACTTAGCCCCCTATACATTGCCAGAGTGAGTGAGTGAGTGAGTTGGGTTTAACGCCGCTTTTAACAGTATTCCAGTTATATCACGGCGTGTCAGCTTAATGTGGGAGGAAATGAAGTGATGCAGGTCTCAGACGTTTACCAGTTTGGTGAAACCCACGAGCACGGGTATGGTGTTGATGAACCAAGAAAGATAACCGGGATTCGAACCCACGATTCCAAGGGACGCAACCCTACACAGCGAATTGTGACAATTACCAGTGCTTCTCCATGCTGAATAACATGTGGTTATAAATGACAACCGTGGTATATGAATGATAATATTAAAATATCCATGTAATATTCTCAAAGCAATGGTCGATGTAACTGACTATTTTGTGATTATACCCGTTTTCACTAAGGCAAAGCCACGTTGATAAAATGACCACGAATGCGGTGAATTGAAAAGTGGTTTCCCTGGGAAAATTGCTACATGAATTGAATTTGGAAAAGAAGAGCCGCCTGATGGTTGTTGTCAAGTAAAGAAACTTAGAAGGGGATAAGAAGTTATACTGAGAAGTTTATATCTTACTTTGTTCAGACCCTACAGATTGGTGTGCAGAGAGTAAAGGCTGGGTTCAGGATGAGGGCTCCACAATCTGCTACAGCATGTCAGAGGACGAAGCCATTTGGGAGAATGCAAAACGAACGTGTGAGGACAAAGGGGGGCAATTGATGATGTTCAAAGACGAGGACAAAACAAATAAAGTTTTGGATATTATCAATGGATGTAAGTGTCTGAAATTTTAAATAAGCGAGAACAATGGGCACTGAAGTGATCAAAATTCAAGTTCGCAATTTGTAATATTCCCATTTCGTTTAGAGTTTTAAAAAAATGTAATAACTGGCCTTATGTTACCCTCATATACATAAAACAAGGGGTATTGTTACCCTCCTAAAAGGATATTATGATTTTTTCGTTTCTTTTAAGTTCGCAATTTGTAATATTCCCATTTCGTTAAGAGTTTTAAAAAAATGTAATAACTGGCCTTATGCTACCCTCATATACATAAAACAAGGGGTCTTGTTACCCTCCTAAAAGGATATTTTGATTTTTTCGTTTCTTTTAAGTTCGCAATTTGTAATATTCCCATTTCGTTAAGAGTTTTAAAAAAATGTATTAACTGGCCTTATGTTACCCTCATTTACATTAAACAAGGGGGGGGGGGGGGGGGGGGGTAAATGTTCAGGGGTCAGGCATTTCAAGCCGTGGTCTGAGAAGACACATGTCCAAGTAACCAAGTCATAATTATGGTCGAAAACAATGGTAAGCCAGTTTCACAATTTCAGACCAAGCCTCAAGCAATTACTGTAAATACAATGTTATTATATATATTAAACTTTAAGTTATTCTTTGGCATATAGAACAGATAATTGTTTTCCCCCATGTGTGTGTTAGTTCACCTGTACAGCTCACCTTACCATACATGCCCATTAAGTTCAAATCTTAGCCTGGTTTGGAGTTATGATTATCTCTTTATAAGTTAATTATCGTTTAAAATGAAGAGACATTTAATTGTTTGCTTTACTGAACACTGAGACAGCTTCTCATCTTTTTCAGACAATCTGCATTGTGTAAAAAAAATATAACAAAATAGATTAGAGAGAATGAAACAAACCAGAATTAAGATCACAAGAGACTTGGTTAATACAGGCGCGTTGCAAGCCACGAATCGCTTAGAGTAAGCAAATAATCGCTTATTCCTGGATCAGCAATAGCTCAAATGGCGTCGCGACTATCGTTGGTTGCCTTGCCCTAAAGAAGAACGTAATAAACATGTATAATGCAAATCTTTTTCAAAACTAATCCATTCCATCTTGCCTTGCAGTCTATTTATATAGCACCAACGTGTGGATTGGCATGACCGATGTTGAGACAGAAGGAGTCTTCAAATGGATCGATGGGACAACGCTGTCAAACGATCATGGGACCCGTAGTCTAATTAATGGAGGGACCGAAGAAAACTGTGTTATGTTGCATCAAGGCGGAATATATGATAGCGACTGTGGAAGCGAAAAAAGGTATCTCTGTGAAAATAGGCAAACCTAAAATCATTTGATTTGACGAACTTATTTAATTATTACATTTACAGGTTACATGTATGTCTGTATTTTCTTTGGTTGAGTAAGGGTCAAATGACATGGTATTACCCAGAGATCAAAAGTGGTAGTGCACTGCGTAATTAAGCTAATAGACTCAAAGGAGAGCCATACTTTCAACCAATCAGCGAGAGTCTTACGCAAAGCTTGTTGTGAAGCAACATCTCCAAGGTAAACAATATGGCTGCTCATTTCGCTGTCGTTTGCGAAAAAGAAAAAGACGCAATTCTCAACTTTTTTATATTATGCAATAAAAGAATTATTGACCACAGTTGTGATAATATCATGTTTTATGGATTATAAAACGGATATTGACCGAGGCCAGCTGGTCCATGAAAGATGGTATTGCCTTCACGAATGGTCAATAATTGATAAATTGATAAGTAAATAGTTGTTTTTCATGCTAATACATACGGTTTTAGTTTTAGCTGCTCAATAATTATAAATAATTATTATTACCCATATGGGCTCAAGTATGCAGTGTAATAACTTTTTGATATTTTGCACAGTGTACAATTAGTGATTTTTCCGTAATCACTCGTACTTCGTGGGTTATTCTATAAGTATTTCATTGCAACTGCCTTTCCCAGCTACCTGTCACGAATATCACGAATGTTTTATATCAAGAAGATGACTGCAATGTTTAATACGAGATTATCAGGTTGAAATTAAAAGGGGACGAACATGCTAGTCTTTACTTTTACCTCTGTTTGCAATAAAACGGCTCATGACTGTCGTTTCTCTCTTGTTCATGTTCTCTTAAATATGTCTTTGAATGTGTTGTATGTTGTCTGTTATTTTGAACCTGGACCAGAGGCCTTAACACAGAATAAATTTATATGATGGATTAATTCTGTTATTGTTTTGTTCGATGTTTGTGTCCTGCTATTTGCAGAGTCGTGTTAGTGAAAAATGTTGAGTCTCAAAAAGTATTCAAATCCGTATCTCTCCACGTGAACATCTCATCCGTAAACGAATAATGCTTCATATGTAGGATTATTCATATTTGTTATTGATTATACAGTCAGGCATAACTATTTGTGTAAGCAGTTCAGTAGTATATAAGTCGTAAGTGAGTGAGAGAGTGAGTGAGTTGGATTAAAGGCCACAGTATTTCAATCATAATGAAGACATGTGTGCAAGTATTTGACGTTTTTATTTGTTAAAAACCATAAGCACGCGTATGGTTCTGACAAACATCTTATGCACAAACCTGAGTGAGTGAGTTGGGTTTAACGCCGCTTTTAACAGTATTCCAGTTATATCGCGGCGTGTCAGCTTAATGTGGGAGGAAAGCCCGAAGTGATGCAGGTCTTAGACGTTTACCACTTCGGTGAAACCCACGAGCACGGGTATGGTGCTGAAAAACCTAGAAACATAATTGGGGCGAACCGGGATTCGAACCCAAAATCAGAGGTTTCTGGCGTGCCCAAGGGACGCAACTCTGCACAGCGAATCGCGGCGCCTTAGACGACTGGGCCACCCGTGCCCCCTGTACAAACCTGAATGTAGCGGGGAACACATTATACTAATAAGAATACCTACCCTGCCCGATATTTACAATTAACAGAGCTCAATATGTTTAAATGCAATCAAAGAACAGATGGACAGAAGATTGGAAAATATATCTACAGGAACAGGACAAACGTAGTCAAGCCATGCATTGTCAATTAATAATTATAAAAGCGACAAAACCTTTGCCATATTCATAAAACATATCATTTGTGCGATTGGACTACATCATGAGCATGTGCTTATGAATCACTATGAAATGGTGATGGTACCAGGTGTTCGCGAGAAGGTGAGCGTATCCTACCCCGCCGGTGGCATCTATCACAAACACATGCAAAGACAAGTCAATTGTTCACCCGAAAAAACACGAGAACACGGAAGAAATGAATGGTAGATAATAGGGAATAGCACCGGACATCATTTTTGTCAATGATGCGTCAAATTTAGAAATGTCCTCCACTTGTCTACCATAAAACCTTCAACGTTCTAGCCTTGAGGGCGGTCGGGTAGCCTAGTGGTTAAAGCGTTCGCTCGTCACGCCGAAGACCCGGGTTCGATTCCCGAAATGGGTACAATGTGTGAAGCCAATTTCTGGTGTCCCCCGCCGTGATATTGCTGGAATATTGCTAAAAGCGGCGTAAAACCATACTCACTCACTCACTCTAGCCTTGAGCAAACAACAAGAGTCGTATTACGAAATCTTGGTTGAAAGGGCATCCTTGATTGTACCTCAAAAATTGTTAAATGTTAACGCCAAAGGTTGGAGCTGCAAGAATATTGCTCGACATATAGAGAAAGTTGACTATTGGAAAGTTAAAGTCGTCCCTCTTGACATACAGTCTTGTGGAGAGTGTTTGGTCACTCTGAATCTTTATGCATATATCTGAATATGAAACAGATGAGGCAGTCTCCATAGTCTCCTTTATTTCTAGTTCAGTTGGGTAAATCATTTGACGGGAATTGGCTGTTTGATGGTTATTGAACGATATCAGATCATTGACATACTTTAAGTTTCATTACCTTGTTGGTTTTGCCAATCCGAGCAAAAATTTCGAATCGATGCTTAAAGAAACAGATATATCAGGTGCCCGTAGGGATGCCTAATTCTTGCCTAAATGTCTTATCCCCACATTTCCCATAGATGTTATCAATGAGGAGGTGAGGTAAAATGGGCTACAACGTCGCGATTATCGCACTTATATAGCGACGTACATGCACACGTGTGTGTGGCTGCTTGTACTAGTCCGTAGACTTTTTAGTGCAGCCCACTGAGATACCATGCCGCAGTTGAACATGAATACCCAACACAGACACAGTATACTGACTCCAAGCCGACCAGTCCTTGGTTTAGCCCCTTAATGCCGAGCGCCAGGCGGGGTAACAACAAGTACCATCTTTTAACGTCTTTTGGTATGACGCGGCCGGGAATCGAACCCCCGACCTTCCGCTCTCTGGGCGGACGCTCTACTACCATTTTATTTAGAAACGTGAGGATAGCGATTAGTACGTTTTATTTTATTATTTCTATAACACATCTACTATTTTTTAGTATGTGTACATAAACATGAAGTACAATGAAGCAGGGATAGGTGGCCAAGTGTTAAAGTGTTCTGGCTTGGGATATATTCAAGCAGACAAAATATGTTTCCTCCCTGACTATAGAGCACATAGGATTTTCTAAACAAAACATTAAGTTAAGATCCTAACGTAAAGCACCGCACACAAGTATCGGGTCGTTTTCATCTTGAAATCCACCCACTTCACCACATTTAAGAGGTGAGGTGAAATTGGGTTTAACGTCGTGTCCAAGAGTATTGCACTTATATAGCGACGTGCATGTACGTGTGTGTGTTTGTGTGGCTGCTTGTACTAGTCCGGACTGATGCCGATTTATAGTGCTAGCTCACTGAGATACCTACCGCAGTTTAACATGAATACCCCACTCAGACACAGTATACTGACTCCGAGCCGACCAGTCCATGTTTTAGCCCCTTAATGCCGAGCGCCAGACAGGATAACAACAAGTACAATCTTTTAACGTCTTTTGGTATGACGCAGCCGGGGATCAAACCCCGGAACTTCCGCTCTCCGAGCGGACGCTCTACCACAAGACCACGGAGGCGGTCCCACATTTAAGAAGCTAGACCCAAACGACTCCATTCCGACACGGGGCGCAGGTGAAAGAAGCCGCAATTAGCTCTACAGAGTTGCGTCCCTTGGGCACAGCAGAAACCGATAAATGTGGGTTCGAATCACGGTTGCGTCCCTTAGGTATTCCAGAACCTATGATTGGGCCCCGATTATGTTTCGGTGCGAGTTGCGTCCCTTTGGGTACGCCAGAAACCTATTGTCATGGGTTCGAATCACGGTTGCGTTCCTCGAGGCACGCCAGAAGCCTATGACGTGGGTACGAATCTCGCTTCGTCTCGATTATGTTTCCAGGTTTGTCAGCACCACACTCGTGCTCTTAGGATTCACCCAAGTGGTAAACGCCTGAGACCTGCTTCACTTTGGGCTTTCCTCCCCTACTGAGCTGACACGTCATGATATACCTGGAATACTTTTAAAAGCGGCGTTAAACCCAACTCACTCACTCACTTATCACTCGAAGATAATACACACTTCTCATGTGATTACCACCCGGTTCTTAGATTGATTTTTTAAACATTGATGCAGATGCATGTGTTTACCTAGTTTAGATAAACTTGTTTTACTTTTAAACACTAATAGCATATTGGCAGCAGCTATTAGCAGAATGTTGAGACGTAGGCTTTGTTATTAGTTAATTATTGTCATTTTACAGACGCTTCCTTAGCAACTTTGAACGTTAAAGAACAGATATTTTAATACTTATGGTGTAATGTTGACTCTCTTAATGAACGTATAATGTTATAAGTGCCTTTTACGTGATTAAGGCTGGGCACATATGTGCTTTAGTGATTTTGCATACTACAATGTACATATTCTGTAGGCATATTTACTGAACAGAACAAACATGTTTGAGATAATATTTTGGGGGAAATGTCCTTACAATACAAATGTATCCCCAAAACTATTAATGATCCCTCGGTTCAGTATATCGTTATACATATCAACACTTGTACATAATATTCATGTGCGTGACACTTTAATGAACCATATTTCTCTCTTCTTCTTATCATACCAGACCATCTCCGTTGTCTAGTGGTAGAGCGTCCGCCCTGAGTGCGGAAGGTCGGATTTTCCATCCCCGGCAGCGTCATACCAAAAGACGTTAAAATATGGTACTTGTTATTGCCCTGCATTGATGGCCTAAAACAAGTGTCTGAGTGGAGTATTCATGTTAAACAACGGCACGGTATCTCAGTGGGCGAGCACTATAAAATCGTTTCATCTCACCTCATCTAAATAGTGTACTGTATTCACCTGAGCTCTGACTTGAACAGAGAAAAGGTTTCTCTGCCTCAGCTGTGTGGTTATATGGATGTCTTTAGCATTTCTTTCACTGGACAACAGAAGCCTTTCTTGCTTCTTACGCAGCAACCCCAGTAGACCTGTTTCGTCGCTGCTGACTTCAGTTCATAGAATCTGGGGTGCGGTCGGGTAGCCTAGTGGTTAAAGCGTTCGCCGAAGACCCGGGTTCGATTCCCGACATGGGTACAATGGGTGAAGCCCATGTCTGGTGTCCCCCGCTGTAATATTGCTGGAATATTGCTAAAAGCGGCGTAAAACCATAGTCTCTCACTCACTCACTCACTCACATAGAATCTGCTGTAGATTCGTTTAGAGATGAGTCACTAGGGTAGCCTAGTGGTTAAAACCTTGGCTCGTCACGCCGAAGACCCGGGTTCGATTCCCGAAATGGGTACAATGTGTGAAGCCAATTTCTGGTGTCCCCCCGCCGTGATATTGCTGGAATATTGCTAAAAGCGGCGTAAAACCATACTCACTCACTCACTCACTCACATAGAATCTGCTGTAGACTCGTCTAGAGATGAGTCAAAGCTGACTTCGAAATTACCAATGGCATCCTCAGGTGGTGAACACAGATGGCATGATGATGTGTCATATAGTGTGTCTGTCAGTGGTTACCCAACACAGTAGTTAAGTGTAAGCTCTGGTGTAAAAACAAGGATGTGATTTACCGAAAACACGTTTTACTGTTTTATTCATGATCTTGCCAGTGAGGTTAATCACCTATCAAGTGGTATTCATGCGGAAGAAGAAATGTTGAGTTTGTTATATATTGATGATAAGCAAAAGTTAGATTGTACCGCCCTTAAGGTGACAAAATGGAAGACTAGCTGTAGATTTTGAAAAGACTAAAATTGTCTATTTCAGTACAATAAATAACGCCTTATCTGATTATATTTTTATATAGTCTAACACCAACATTGTTTATTCTCCATTGTATAAATAGTTCGGCTTGTGGCTTAATGATTTTTTAGATATTAATTTTACTGCAAAATCAGCTAGACGAGCGTTATTTGTTATCATTTTTAAGTTGGCGATATGGCATTTGGTTATCCAATAGTTTTATGACAGACTTGTACAACCTATTTTATCATGTGTTGCTTCAATTTGGGTTACTAAAGAGCATCAATGTATTAATATTGAGTGGGGGAAGGAGGGGGGGGGGGGGGGGGGATTTTGTCTGGATATACCTCCCTTTGACTCGTGGCTAATTGCATAAGAACTCATAGAAATGTAAATTTGGGCAAGAGTTATCTCCCCTGATTCATTATTTTAGGTGTATGCTGTGTTGATTGAAAATAATTTGAATATCCTCTGGTAACATGTTGTTTTTATTTTATAATTTTATTTTACAATGAATAAACATTAGAAATAAGCCAGTTTGATAAATATCTTGATTTTGTAAAATGCATTTTTAACTGATGAATCTTTTTTTTTGGAAAATGTGCTTTTTTTAAAGTCAAATGATGTGTGAAATTAAAAATGTTTTGACTTGAATTGTCATGTTTCTGTTTTGTGTCATATCAATACTATAATATGTCTGTTTAAAAACACTCATTTAATAATCAAACTTTAAAATGACCATTTTATTGGCAAAATGATTTTATCATCCGGTGCCTCTAGATGGCGCCTCTTAATCAAAAAATGCCGTGGTGACTTGGTTTTTTTATTGCGTAATTTGATTCAGGACATATTTTCTTTCAAAATGATACCAAATATACCCATTTCTTGAATTTTTTGGGTTTTTTGTATGCAACCTCTTTAAGTGCACCTGTAAGTGCGATTGTACTACGTGCTTGTTAAAATGTTATTATGACATCATATTCCATGGCACCTGTGAAGATCCGTGTTAGAATTGGTCTTCAGCAATGAATGCTTAATTGTCTGAGGCGACTATGTTTGTCGTAGGCGGCGACTAACGGGATCGGGTGATCAGGCTCGCTGACTTGGTCGATTCATGTCATCGTATCCCAATTTCGTAGATCGATGCTCATGATGTCAATCACTGGATTGTCTGATCCAGACTCGATTATTACAGACCGCCGCCATATAGCTGGACTATTGCTGAGTGCGGCGTTAAAAAACAAACAAACAAACAAATACTATTCCATAGTCTGACCTATGTAATACAATTTTGCAGAACCTTTATAAAAAAAAATAAAACTATGATGGTATTATATTGTTATGTATATGAGTTTGAAAAGAAAGTCTAAATTTAAAAAAAAATACGACTTAGATTGTTAAAGATTCTTACAAAATGTGTTTAAACATTTCATTTGTTAGTGAAATAAGTATTTAAATCCATTTATGAAATTACGAGATATATTGTTTATCAATTTAGGCATAATTACAAACAATACAATGAAATGCTGTTATAGCGTTTGTGTTGATACATGTATACTTGTTTGTGCATGTGTAAAGCAGTTATAAATAGTCATGTTATTATAGTCACTGTTATAGTTTAGGCTATGGCAAGAAAAGTTGGAAAATTTGAATGTTCATGAAAAGAAAATCAAAACGAATAGAGAGGGACAGGATCAGTCTTCGCGAGGTGCCTGTGCTTCTCCCTGTCCTTTGATTAAATGAAGCGTCAATAAAAGGTGAAAACTTACATTTGTGTTGTTTCTCCTGCGGCTCTCTGTCACAAGGTTCGGTCAGGGTCTCTGTCACTGCTTAGAGACTCCGCCGAACACGATATGTCATTTTTCAGCAATCGCATATTTCACGGGGAACATTTTGCCCCTGGTACCGCTCTCTCCAAACTCCACACAACAGCTCGTTCGTTGCTCTCGATACCGAAAACGTAAGAAGACGCTTGGCGTTGTCGTGGAGCTTTGAGGAACTATTTGCGATGTAAACATGTTTATAGTAATGGGCTTGTCGGGCAGTTATGTTAGTATGCATACACTACTTGATGTATGTCACTAGTTATATACATGTAGCGCTTAAAATGCGATTATTACTATGGGCTATTTCGATCATCACATTTCATCTCGGGACTCTAATACTACCAACAGGAGGTAAGAAACCATTTATACCGTTGAATCACCATCATCAGATGGAGCCCGGTTTAGACGCATCTTAGTCGTGTGAAAAATATGGTACCACAGAAAAAACTTTAACAATTATAACCGATATAAGTGTGTATATATAGATCCATACCGTATTTGTTGGATCATCTTCTATAATGTTAGCTAAATTCCTTTCCCCGGTGTTCGTCCGAAAACAGCCTATAAAATATCCGTCCATGCATTAAGGGTTACAATTTATTTAACGCTGCTTTGAACTGCGTTTCATTTAGTCCAGCGTGTCTGCTTGATATGGAAGGAAATCAGTGAGTGGAGGTCTTAGACTATCAGAGCGTCACATTGGGGTCCTTCAGGCAAGGCATCAGGTGGGGTTCCCGTGAAGATTCCGGCTTAGAATTGGTCTTCAACAACCCATGCTTGTCATCAGATATGGTGGTCAGGCTGCTGACTTAGTCGATGCATGTCATCATATCCCAAATGCAACTGTCAATCACTGGATTGTCTGGTCTAGACTTGATTATTTACAGACCGCCGTCATATAGCTGGAATATTGCTAAGTGCAACGTTAAACAAAAACAAACAAACAAACATGATTTGGAGTTTATGTCTCTCCAGTCAGGCAAGCTCTCTCTACGCTTATAGACCTGTACCTGCCACTTCGGTTAATCCCAGGAGCACAGGTGACAAACCTCGAAACCTAATCAGGGCCAGCTGGGATTCTAACAGTCATAGGTTTCTGGCGCACCTAAGGGATGCAACTCTGCGCAGCAAATTGTGGCTCCTCAGACGACTGCAACTTGGCTATATCAGAGGAAAATACAGATAGCTAAAGGAAATTATGTTTGTTTGTTGTTTTACGCCGCTCTCAGCAATATTCCACCTATATGATGGCGGTCTGTAAATAATTGAGTCTGGACCAGACAAACAAGTGATTGACATCATGAGCATCGATCCACGCAATTGAGATTCGATGACATGCATCAACCAAATCAGGAAGCCTGACCACCCGATCTGTTAATCGCTTCTTACGACAAGCATAGTCACTTTTAACGGTAAGCATGGGTTGATGAAGATCTATTCTAGCCTGGGATCTTCATGGGTCTGAAGGAAATTATGATAGTGCCTTTGTATTCTGTTGCACTGGACAATGGTGATGCACGCAGCAGTATTTTAATTGATATCAGCGAAATTTGGGTTAAGTGGTGTGATGAGAACTGTCATGTTGGCCAAAGTACACTGTTACAATAACCAGTGCTGTAAAACATTTCCTACAACCACCGTCTTACAAGAAAATGTAAAACCATAGATTTCCTTATCTCCGGTGGAGACATAGTTCAATCAATCTATTGTTGAACATACATCACAGCACACTGTGATACTGTTGACAGATGATTACATGATTTTCAATGACTTGTGACAATGCAGTGATACAAAGTCACATTGACACAGAAAACCTCCTAAACAGTGAAAACACTGGTACAATTGGCATGAACTAGCCAATCAACATGAAGCAAAAATTATAATGCTAAATTATAATTTCTGAAATGATTTCCCTATTTCTTTTCGTCTATATGTTTTATGAAATATGTTTTACTACTCTTGTAAAACCAATCTGCACTGGTACAAGCTTGGGTTTATAGTGATTCCGGACCCACACCGATTCAACTTATTTTGTTGAGCATACTTCATTACAGCTCTATTTTCGTGAGCTCACAACAGAGTTGTACCTGGCACTGGATCTGCTTTTACTGTCCATCAACTGGTGACTTATACACATAGCTACAATTCCCTCCTACACTTTTGTTGGTTGTTTGGTTTGTTGTTTAACGCCGCACTCAGCTATATTCCAGCTATATGGAATGGTCTGTAAATAGTCGAGTGATTAATATCATGAGCATCGATCCACGCAATTGGGATCGATGACATGCATCAACCAATTCAGCGAGCCTGACCACCTGATCCCGTTAATCGCCTCTTACGACAAGCAAAGTCGCCTTTTACGGCAAGCTCAGCTAAGTTCACATTAAGGAATATTTTGGTATACCCCCTGATTCCCAAACTATACCTATACCATTACCAACATAAACAAAACATGTTGAAATATGTGAGGAGAGGTGCACCATGCAAACCTAGGTACATGCAAACCTGGGAACATTTTCAATATATTTTTGTTTAACTTCCAACTGATCTTAGGCATTGGAGTAGCCTAGTGGTTAAAGTGTTTGCTTGTTATTCCAAAGGCCCAGGTTCAGTTCCCCACATAGATGCTATGTGTGAAACCTATTTCTGGTGTCCCCCCACCATGTTATTGCTGGAATATTAATGGTGGTGTAAAACCCAACTCATCACTCACACACTCTAATCGGCCTTCAGCAACTCTTGCCTGTCATATGAGGCTTATGACAGGACTCACTAACTTGATTGATGCATGTCTTCGTAAACAATTTCATAGTTTTACATTTTCTTGTAGGAAGGTGGTTGTAGGAAATGTTTTACAGCACTGGTTATTGTAACAGTGTACTTTGGCCAACACGACAGTTCTCATCACACCACTTAACCCAAATTTTGCTGATATCAATTAAAATACTGCTGCGTGCATCACCATTGTCCAGTGCAACAGAAAACAAAGGCACTGATACAATCTTGCTGTACCATAATTTCCTTGACCTGTGAAGATCCGGGCTAGAATAGATCTTCATCAACCCATGCTTGCCGTTAAAAGTGACTATGCTTGTCGTAAGAAGCGATTAACGGATCGGGTGGTCAGGCTTCCTGACTTGCTTGATGCATGTCATCGAATCTCAATTGGGTGGATCGATGCTCATAATGTCAATCACTGGATTGTCTGGTCCAGACTCAATTACTTACAGAGAGTCGTCATATAGCTGGAATATTGTTGAGTGTGACGTTAAACAACAAACAAACACACCCTGTAATTGGTCTTTCTAAACTTCAATAGAAATAAAATGATACATTATGATACATGCAATAATATTGTCACAATCATGGTTTTACACAACTCAGAAATGTATGTTCAAAAGTCTAGAAATGATGCAGAAAGCATTTATGTTACATCTCGAAGGGCGCACAGTTAGATTCGTTGTACCAAATTCTTGACAAGAAATATAATGGTCCTGTAATTAAAGTAATTATCAAATCTTCCAGTGCAGTGCAGTGCACCATTTCAATGCTTTACAGGACCCTCATATTTTCTGGAGGACCCTTGAAATTAATTATTACGGGGACCCCAGGACCCCTAGTTTTGTCAAAACTCTGCACAATGTTGTAGATTAAATACTCAGAAAACCTCAGGTCCCCCAACATCCCCCTTATTTTCTGTATTAATGTCATAATATATTTAAGTGAGCCACAATATCATCTTTTTTTTAACATGTGATATATTCCAATTTCAAATATGTGTTTTGATTTCCACAAAAAGATAAGTTGTTAGGAATTTATTATTTGTAAAAAAAAAAGATATATTTACAACAGGTGTTGATTATAGTATCTTAAATAGATTATTTATATTGAATAACGACAGTAAATGATTTTTTAACTTATTTCTGGTCAAAGGAATAAATACAACACAGTACTTTATATTTGTTTCATTTTTGGAGTTGGCAGATTCTTAAAACTAGTTTAAAGAAAAGTCTGGGGTAATGACTGGATATTCAACCACTGATCATTGGCTCAAATCCCCTGTTGATTCGGGCTGTGGGGTAGCACAGTGGTTAAAGCATGTCACACTGAAGAAACAGGTTTGATTCCCCACATAGGTACAAAGCCCATTCCCAGTGTTCCTTGCTGTGATATTACTGGAATATTGCTAAAAGCAGTGTAAACTCATTCTTCCCCCACCTCACTCACTCAACCACCCACCCACTCAGATTGAACCTGATTTTGATCCTTGGTTTACCAGCATACCTGTGCTTGTTGGTTTTACCAAAAAAGAGAATGCCTAATAGCAGTGCCTCAAGTTAGCTTTCCTCCTGCAATAGTTCACAATGTGGTGACATAAAACTCACTCACTCACTCACTCACTCACTCACTCAAGTAGCCTCCCTGGGGGGATTCTGGCTCAGAGTAGGCCCTCAGTTCCTAATGTTTGTTATTAGAGGACACTAAATTGAGAATCAGTTGGTCAGGCTCTGTGCCTTGGCTTATTCCTGCCATTGTGCCCAAACAGCATACACATGTATCATTACTGATACAGCCAACAGCTGGGTTGCTTGCCACAGACTCCATGTTTTACAGGCCACTGTTTGGGGCGGTCGGGTAGCCCTGTGGTTAAAGCGTTCACTCGTCACGCCGAAGACCCGGGTTCGATTCCCAACATGGGTACAATGTGAGAAGCCAATTTCTGGTGTCCCCCGTCGTGATATTGCTGGAATATTGCTAAAAGTGGCGTAAAATCAAACACACTCACACTCACTACAGGCCACTGTGATAAAGTGAGAAATATTTCTCGCTGTGACATTAAACCTTTTTCATTCTTCCACGCTGACTTCATCCTCAATTACCCAGTGTACCATATCTCCATTCTGTTATTGAGGATTCAGCCATTCACACATTATGAATATTGTTTTCTTGTGCTGCCACCAGCATGCTTCAGTAGAAACTATGGCGATGAAGCTCATGAACCTGTCGTCCTGATGGCCAATGATGAACCTCAAACATTAACATCTCCAGGATACCCTAATTCATACCCACCGTGAGTACAGTGTTCTGTGTTGCAGTGGTGGAAACTTATTGTCAGTCACTTGCTCTTGACTTTGTTTGTTTGTTTGTTGTTTAAAGATGCACTCAGCAACATTCCAGCTGTATCAGTCAGAGACGAATTCTGCTATCAAATTATGCAGTAAAATTTCTAACTTCTGCAGTAAATTCTGCAATAAAAAAAACATTCACCCTAAAAAATGTATGCAAACTCATTTTTCAAAAACTTGAATCCAAATACGAAACGAAATCATTCCACAAACTGTCATTATAAAAAGTTATCTTTGGATGAAAGGCATTTTATTGGCTAATGAAGAAATTTCCTTTGCACATATCTTTCCGTAAACTTAAAAAGATTAGGCCACGCCCACTAATGGGCTACTCTTTTCTGATGGTTGATATTTAGAATGGGCAGAGCTTTAGTTACATTAGTGTGTTAAGTGATGTCACAGATATTGTATTACTGTCTACAATTTTCTTCTGTTCTTAAATATTAAAGTCAATTTTTTAAAAATCAATGAACTGTAAATCCACATTGATCATAACATGAAGTGAGAAATAGAGCCATGTGTTTCTGTGTGTCATGTGTTAAATGATATGGGGTAGAATAGGTCTTCAGCAACTCATGCTTGTCATAAGAGGCGACTATGCTTGTCGTAAGAGGCGACTAACGGGATCGGATGGTCAGTCTCGCTGACATGGTTAATACATGTCCTCGTATCCCAACTGCGTGGATTAATGCTCATGATCTCAATCACTGGATTGTCTGATCCAGACTCGATTATTTACAGACCTTCGTCATATAGCTGGAATATTGCATTGGAGTGTGGCATTAAACAATGAACAAACAATAATTATATTATTGAAAGCACATATTTTAAGAAAACAGCTTCAGATGTTATTGCATCATTGTATACTTTAAAATATTAATCATTGAAGTTATTAATTCATTGTTCATATCTATGTTTATTTAGGAAGATATTTAATTCAGTTGATGATTCAGTTGATAATTTTCACAATCAATAAAACATGAAATTTTTATACTTTTATATTTTGCAAATACTCTATTGACAACAGATTATGTACTGATACCGTATTCGACCCATTAAGCGCCCCTCCCCCAATAAGCTGATCGCTATTGCCGGGTATTATTTTTTACATGGAACCAGTCTGACAAGTCACCGTCAAGGCTCCCGTGCACGTGATCGCGTGATCGCGAGAATAACGTGTTGACATAGAATCGTCCAACAAAAACAAATATGACTTTTAACGAATCAAAGTATGGCATTTATGATATATGTATCCATTCTGTGTCAACTTAAGTTCGTTTCAAGGCGTCAATAGCGGTAATCTGACCGTGGTTGCTGTTAATAACGGTGAGTTGTGCGATCTTCCGATCGCTTCACACACGATTTGCCGAAATTAATTAATACAATATTAAAAGGAATTTTGAATAAAATTAATGAAATAAGTTACAAACAAAAGTCCAGATATACAAAGAACCCTTTTTATAGCCAGACAGTGTAATTACATGACTAATTTGCGAACTTCAGTATGGATTTGTTGACATGGTATTTCCGGTGTTACGTGCTCACAGTAATGTCTTTCCTTGGGGGAAAAAACATCAAAACTCAATAATTCGTGTATAATGCGCACCCCCTTCTACACAGCTGTGTTTTTTGGAAAAAAAGTGCGCACTATTCTCAAGAAAATACGGTAAGGCTTACTGATGAATTTACGCCAATTTGACTCTGAATTGGTCCCAATAAGCGCCCACCCCTTCTGTCTTTTTTTAAGCGCCCTGGGCGCTTAATGGGTCGAATACGGTTGTTATGAATTTACTGAATATTCTTCTCAGTAGAGATTATTGATTTTCTGGTTGCATCAGGGACTTGACATTTATATAATTTGATAGAAAAGACTGAATGTATGTACAGATCACTTGATCTATGCTTGTTTAAGAGGTGACTAAATTGATTGGTTGGTCAGGCTAAGTGACTTGGATGATTGTGTTTCACTGTACTAAGATGGCATGATACATTGCTCATAATATCAACCACTGGTTGAACTTGTCCAGATTATTAACCTGGATTATTCCGGCACTCCTGTAGCTTTATCAATCAGTTAATTTTGATCTAATTAAGATTTATTTATCAGTGCACAGTGGATTTTACTTCGGAATGTATCTTGTGTACAAACGCATACAATTTTTCAATCAGTATTTTGTATCTTTTTTATCCCCCGCCCAATGAAGTGGGCGGGGGACATAGAAACGGGCTCCGTCCGTCACGTTTCGTTTCTGGAGCATAACTCAGAAACCGTTAATATTTTTTCATGAAACTTTGCAGGTCTGTCAAGTTCATGCTGTACTGGTGCCTTTTGCTATTTAGAAATTTTAGAAATTTTAGTTTTTACGTTTCCATGGCAACCAGATGGACTTAGGTTCCAAACTCTTCTTTTTGTTACAATTTCCATGACAAGTTCCACCTCGGTTAAAAAAGGTTTGGGTTTGTTTAGATTTAATTATGTCATAAATTCTGCAACAGGGCCGGGGGATATAGCCACGTTAGTGGCAAACTCTTGTTTAACTTTTTATTACCTTTATAATTGTACTCAATTACCAAATGGTAACAATACAACTTTTTGGCTCACCTGGATGTTTTGCATCCATTGTCCCTCTGTCTGCCACAAACCTTTGCATTGTCTACATATCCTCTTGTGAAGATCTGGGTTAGAATTGGGTCTTCAGCAACCTATGCTTGTCATGAGAAGGGTTTATGCTTGTCGTAAGAAGCGACTAATGGGATCAGAGGGATCAGGCTCGCTAACTTGGTTGATACGTCATATCCCATTGAGTTGATCGATGCTCATGGTGTCGCAAGCTCTGACGTCCATACAGTTTGTCCCTTACGCAATGAAGGTTCATATTCAAATGACCTCACACAAAGTGAAATTCAATTCTGAAACATTTTCCTGGGATATTTTATGATATATCGGCACCTCATATATATTCCTTATGAATTTCCTGAGCCTAAACAACTGATCCATTTAGACAAGCCTCTGGAAAATTTCTGAATGTAACGATTATATGCCCCTGGGGAATTTCCTGATATACTTCTTATATACTCTATGGGAACTTCCTGATATACCTCTTATATACCCCTGGGGAATTTCCTGATATACTTCTTATATACTCTATGGGAACTTCCTGATATATGGGCACCTCATATATATACTCCTTGGGAATTTCCTGATATACCACTTATATACAATGATATATCCGATTGGCCTAAGTACCTTATAAAATTTGCTTGTCAGAATGTTGAGTTTGTACTTTTGGCTCACTTTGACATTGTCCTGCTACATGGCAATATGATGCAAATTACTGGTACCGCATTTTACATTACAGAGGAATGAAATGCATGTGGGAAGTGCAGGCTCTACATTTCTCTGCCAAGATCAGGATCACAGTGCTTAACATGGACCTTCTTCGAACAGTACCAAGGACTTGTTTGCACAACGTCAGTCTATTTGATGGAAGTTATCGTAGGTAGCATTAACTTTGGAGCTCTCATCAGTAGGGACTGGTCATTTATTATAGATGGGTGTCATAAATAAAAGTGACACAGCGGAAGAGGGGTGTCACCAAAATTGAACACTGCTATAGGGGCGGAGGGAGGGCAGTTCTATTTTTTCAAATACTACGGTAATTTTTTTATGGGGTGGGGGAGGGAGTAATGAAAAATATACTACTACAAGGGTCATGATAAAATGTTACATATAAAGGGGGGGGAGGGATCGGCAAAGTATGATACGGTCCTAAGACCAATACCACCCACACCCAGACCCCTCAATAAATTACCAGTCCCTTGTCATTATATAATAAACATGTTTCAAGGTCCTTGTTTTGCTGTTAATGGAGATGTATTAATTTTTTCTGCAGTTATTTGACTGGTATTTTGATTTCTCAACCATGCCGAAATAACAATCGTTGGATACAGCTACCCAATAATCCTCTTACATAGCCATGGAGAGTTTCATGATACTGGTGTACCTATTATATAGTGTTGCAAATGTACTGCCAACAGTTTGGCAATCTGAGCTGGAATATAAGAAATAACTCACATGTTAGCGGGGTATATTGAAAATAATAAGATAGGTTTCAACCAATCAGAATCCAACATTCATATGTAAGGTTAGATAAGAATGGTTGTGACCACCATGACCTAAATTTGAGGAAAACTTTATGTATATACATTGATATATGATCTCTAGTGTGGACTCCAAATATGATTAGAATATAGTTTATATCACAAATGGCCATTGATAAAGAGGTCTTGTTTATCATTCTTTTTAAATTTTTAGTCAAGATCATATCTTTTGGCGAGGTCATAATATAGTTCATATGTTTCAAATCAAAGAATTGTTTAGAATTCAGAGTAATTATATGCTTTGCTGTCGGGATCATCTGTCTAGATGCATAGAGAGGGCTGTCTTGAAAAGCCTTTATTTTTAGTGTCACCCTTCAAAAGCCTTGAAAATACACAAAATAGCTTGAAGAGCATTGAATTTGTAGAAAATAACATATACTTGTCAATAAAAGTATTAAACTAATGACATACTTAATACATTTTATTTGTTGGTTGTGATACCCAACTAAAAAAGCCTTGAAAATGACAGTTGAAAGCATTGAAAAACCTTGAAAAGGACGTGAATTTTCGTGTTCCATGTCTGTATGAACCCTGTCTATAGCTATATAGGTCAGCCCTCTAACTCTAGTGGTATCAGACGATAACAACAGAAACAACATCTGTCCACACTGGACAGATTGATTACAAACAGATGACCGACAACATAAAATGATATGATTGTACATTGTGATTGCTCTTGTTCGAACCTTTTCTGAATATCCAAGTTGAGAACAGATGTATCACATTTTTGGAAGGGTATTCAGAATTCAAAGGTCATAAAAAAGTCAATTTTGAGGGACATATGCACTAAAAAGTGTAATTTCATTTATTGTGCACACAAAATGCTGTACCCTGAAAAATATTCCCCATATTTATCCAGTGGAATATGTCAAAACAAAACTTTTTGACTGATCTGGATCTCTGTCAAATACTTGCTTCAGTCCCAAATGCATTACATTAATTTATAACAAGTGAAATATGTCTACCACAAGAGGGATTATACACAAAAGTCTGTCAGAATAAACTTAAGGATTTCTGGGTAGCTGTGATACCATTGATATCATTATCAAAGGTCATCATCGAACACTCATTATTAGCACAGCTTATCCTCATAATCATGATAATGAGGTGTACATTATTGTCATAACTGTTTGTTTTATTTACAAATAACTGGTAGTTGTAACACTGTATTATGTGCAGAAAAGGAATTTAGCATGACATAAATAGGTCACATGTTACTGTTGGCCTTCAAGACTCTGTGCATCTATTGATGGCTTCCTTTAATGTCATTTCAGGAGCTGTTTCCAGGAAGTCTCCTGATGTGTTTTTATGTGCCCAGGACAAGACAGTGTTCTTCAGCAATGGGCGAGAAGCAACCATTGTCTTTGTAACAAATGAGCTTGGTTCAGGGAGAGGCTTCTTGTTAGAATATAATCAGATTGCTACACTGGAAGGTAAGTCAGTTTCGGTTTATACACATTCAGATTCACATCTTAGGAGTCTGTCCACCTTATTTATACAAGACAAACTGATAGTTGCCTGAAGAAAGTTAATAAATCTTTGTGCAATATGAATTTACAGCTGTTTCAATATATATTTATATAAGCTATAGGGTCATGTACAGTTATCAACATTCTGCAGTATAATTACTAAAATTCTGTGGCTAAAATTACAAAATTCTCCAGTAAAAGGATAACCATTTCACCCTAAAAAATTAATACAATCACATTTTTCAGAAACTCGAATCCAAATCCCACACGAAATATTTCCTCAAACTGGCATTATTAACAGTTACTACTGCTTTATATTTATGGTTAGATGTAAACATAGTATTTGTAGTCATAATACCACAAGAATGTTTAAAAGTGAGAAATATTTATTTCATATTTTGTATGTTTGAATTTTATGTTGAATGTTTGGGCATCATTCGAGATAAAAAATTTCGATAGAAAAGCTTGAAAATAATGAAAATTAGTGTATTGATTGATAAAAAAGGAGCAAACTCTACAATTTTCCATGTTAAAACCTTCATGTCGGAGTAACAAAATTTGCCATAGCCAATATGGCCTTTTAAATATTTTAGATGTGACACAAATATTTTTACTACTAATTAGAGCTTGGTGTAACAGTTATGAAAGCAAACATTTAAGGGAAATCAATATTTTTAACTTAGTGTGCTACTGTGATCAATATTTGTATCAGGAAGTAAAATATTGCGATCCACCAGTGCAATAATAGGATCATTATATTGGCATTTAGTACCTGGAGTATCAGTAAAGACAGAGTTGACTTAAGGATTTCAACTTTCTTATGCAGCATTTCGCTACAGTTCCAGTACTAAATGGTCACTTGATAATAACTACTAGCACCTCTACTAAAATATTGAAAGAAAAGAAGCTTACTGTGAAAGGAAAGCCCAAATGATACAGGTCTCAGACAACTTTGGTGAAACCCGTGAGCATGGGTATGGTGCTGACAAACCTAGAAACATAATCAGGGCGAACCTGGATTCAAATCCATGAACATAGGTTTCTGGCATGCCCGTGCAAATTGCGGCACCCACCTTAAGCTGACACACTGTGATTTCTAATCTTAATAACTATTTTAGACTTGCCAAGTAATATACATGATATATGACATATAACAAATAAAAGCATCAGTTGTATGTATGGTATTGTATAGCAATAGGTATCGGATACCTTGAGTAAACATCCTTGAATATATGTGATATAAAGGTTAATAAATGATTACATATGTAATAGTATACATATTCATAAAAAAGGTGAGGGGACAGTGGGGTAGCCTAGTGGTTAAAGCGTTCGCTTGTCAAGCCGAAGACCCCACACAGGTAAAATATGTAAAGCCCATTTCTTGTGACCCCCGCCAGGATATTGCTAGGAAAGTGGCATAAAACCATACCAGGAAGACCAGGGATACTGCAGAGTTTCTTTGCTTTGGTATTTTAGGTTAGGTTAGGTTTGTTGTTTAAAGCTGCACTCAGCAATAATCCAGCTATATGACGGCCGTCTGTAAATGATCGAGTCTGGACCAGACAATCCAGTGATGGACATCATGACTCGTTGACTTGGTCGATGCATGTCATCGATCCCAGTTGCGTGGATCGATGACATGCATCGACCAAGTCAGCGAGTCTGATCACCCAATCCCGTTAGTCGCCTTTTACGACAAGCACAGTCGCCTTTTACGGCAAACATGGGTTGCTGAAGACCTATTCTACCCTGGATCTTCACGATCTCTTTGGTAATTTATTAGCTATTTGAACACAACAAAGGCTTATACATTAGCTCAAATAGTGAGTTAGGGGAAAAAAACACTGTCTCACAAATAAAGGGCCTCTTAGGTATTATATGCTTATTCTAAGAGCAGACTAAGATGGATATTGGGTGGTCAAAGTGGCTGATTGTGGGTCATCGACCTTCTCTGATGACATTGATCATGCTGTCAACTACTGCTTTGCCATGCTCAGACACGATTATTTACATATATATGGTTGTATGTCTGTGACTGCTACATTAACAGATAAACTAGGCACATTTATAACAAAGCATGAAACTGTATTAGTGCAATGGTCACATACAACCATCAGGTGATGTGACTATTGGGCCCTTGTCAGCACAGGTACTTCAGAAGTATACCCCAGGTACCTTCATGTATACTAGTCCTGGGACGGGTAACTCGGGTACACAGGTTGGGTGGGTCCTGAGTAGGACCGGGGTACCCACAGGACTACCCGGACCCGCGGTTATTCACGTAATATATTGTTAAATGACAAAAATTATCTGAAACTCTATGGTTACACTACAAGTCACTAATGTTCCCATTTCTTTCTGACAATGCTCCCATTCCTTCTGACTTTTATATATTTGAATTAAGATAAAACTTCATGCAGTAAACTTCAGTGTATGCATGACCAGATCGCTTTACATGTGTATCTAAATACAGTCTGCAAGGGCTACGGTCAAACTTTTCCAAATTGGACAGTTTGTACCTATCTCTAAATATCTGCAGGGGGTATCTGGGTAGGGTCGGGTAATAGGGTGAAGGGTACCCGGGTAGTAAATTTAGACTTGTCCCAGCCCTAATGAAAACACACAAATGTACACTAGCTGGGCAATATTTATGGCACTTGAGCCGGGACAAGTCTCTTTACAGAACACACTAAACCTGTTTCAGTCACCAAAACCAAAATTGCCCAGTTACTGAAGTGTACCATGTCATTTAGAGGGAACCAGCTGGAAACAGAGCTTGCTGGTCATCCCAAGAGGGGGAAAAGTCATTCTGTCCCAGAGCTACAGATAAGAAGCGTATTTGTGTAAAATACCCCCCCAAAATATTCAAATCCCAATTACTTTTGATTAACTTGTGTACAGAAATGCATGCATTAAATGAAAAACTCAAATGTATAAGAACAGCTCATGTAAATACCCAATGAACCTTTTTCAGCATGCGTTCAAAGGAGCTAATTTCCTAAACACAATTACGAACTAATTTACTTTCTGAGTCAAGCCTATATATATAGAACAGTTATATACGTCTTAAACATTATTTCATTTTTTTTAAATCTTAAAATGTTAACTAATTTTGGGGAAAACCCAATAGAGTGATGAATAGATGAGTGAAAAAACATTGGTTACCCAATGAAAAATGTGGTAACCCAATTAAAATAGAAACCCTGGAGTAAAAACTCAATTGCTCAAAACGTTAACTGGAGCTAGGCTGTCCAGAAACCGTTTATGTGTATTGTCAAATGGACTCGTCATGACTCCAGTACCAATAATGTTGCCATGCTAGTGTATATTTCTGTACTTTTGGGTACATTGGCGTAAAGAGAAATCAGTCATATGTTCAAAAAGGAACAAAGATGTACATTTTGTCATTAAAAATCACTGTATGTCCAGAAATTGTAATAAGTTTGTTTGTTGTCTAACACCATTCTCAGCAATTTTCCATGTATGAGAAATCGAGTAGGTAATCGAGTCTTGGCCAGACAATTCAGTGATTCATATTATGAGCATCAGTCCGTGTCATTTTATTCGGGTAAGATAGCACGTAATCAACCAAGTCACATAGCCTGACCTCCTGATCCTTTATGATTTGTTTGTTTGTTGTTTAACGCCACACTCAGCAATATTCCAGCTATATGACGGCGGTCTGTTAATAATCGAGTTCAGACCAGACAATCCAGTGATTGACATCTTGAGCATCGATCCACGCAATTGGGATACGATGACTTGCATCAACAAAGTCAGCGAGCCTGACCACCCGATCCCGTTAGTCGCCTCGTACGACAAGCACAGTCACCTTTTCCGGCAAGCATGGGTTGCTGAACACCTATTCTGACCCGGAGCTTCACGGGTGATCCTTTATGATCAGCATAGGTTGCCTCTTGTTGGTGTAATTCTGTGAAACTGAAACATTGTCCTTGTGTATTTGATCATGAACTACTGTAAAATTTGAATTAGTGCACATATATGATATATTGAATGGCATGTTCCGGTGACAATCAAAATAGTCCTGTGTATCCTGGTACGTGTTTTGATCAATACAAAGAGGACTGCAAATGTTTTGTCTATATTTTCAGAAAAGTCGGATCCTGTGCCAATTTTTGTCGGAGTGTTTGGATTCTTAGCGGTCATAATGTTCGTAGTTTGCTGTTATGTGTTCGATAGAAGACGAGCTGACCGCAGGTCCCAACGGATGCCACAACCTCGTGCTCTACGGTCTCATTATCCAAGACCTCCGACCAGAGACTTGGCAAGCCCTTTCCTCCGAAACAATAGTACGACTGAAACTAACGATACATCTGGTAATGCAAGGAGTACAAGTAACTCCAGGAACACTAATAACCTACCACCAACATACCAGGAAGTGTATGTTGGACCTTCACCTGACACTGATCGCAGATCATCTGCCCCTCCGATGGCATTACCCCCAAGTTATGAAGATGCAGTTAGCAAGGGGATGATTCTTGGTGATAGAGAAACAACGCTTTGATGTCACTTGTAGACAAACATTTTGTCTAAAAATGACAATATTTAAAGAAAAATATTTAGGTGTTGTTGACCTGACACTGTTGCTTGTGATGTTTCAGAGTAAGCTATGTTGACCTGACCATGTTGTTGCTGATGTTTCAGAGTAAGCTATGTTGACCTGACCGTGTTGTTGCTGATGTTTCAGAGTAAGCTATGTTGACCTGACCGTGTTGCGAGTGATGTTTCAGAGTAACCTATGTTGATCTGACCGTGTTGTTGCTGATGTTTCAGAGTAAGCTATGTTGACCTGACCGTGTTGTTGCTTGTGATGTTTCAGAGTAACCTATGTTGACCTGACAGTGTTGTTGCTGAGGTTTCAGAGTAAGCTATGTTGACCTGACCGTGTTGTTGTTGCTGATGTTTCAGAGTAAGTTATGTTGACCTGACCGTGTTGCGAGTGATGTTTCAGAGTAACCTATGTTGATCTGACCGTGTTGTTGCTGATGTTTCAGAGTAAGCTATGTTGACCTGACCGTGTTGTTGCTTGTGATGTTTCAGAGTAACCTATGTTGACCTGACAGTGTTGTTGCTGAGGTTTCAGAGTAAGCTATGTTGACCTGACCGTGTTGTTGTTGCTGATGTTTCAGAGTAAGCTATGTTGATCTGACCGTGTTGCTTGTGATGTTTCAGAGTAAGCTATGTTGATCTGACCGTGTTGCTTGTGATGTTTCAGAGTAAGCTATGTTGACCTGACCGTGTTGTTGCTTGTGATGTTTCAGAGTAAGCTATGTTGACCTGACCGTGTTGTTGCTGAGGTTTCAGAGTAAGCTATGTTGACCTGACAGTGTTGCTTGTGATGTTTCAGAGTAAGCTATGTTGACCTGACCGTGTTGCTAGTGATGTTTCAGAGTAACCTATGTTGACCTGACCGTGTTGTTGTTGCTGATGTTTCACAGTAACCTATGTTGACCTGACAGTGTTGTTGTTGATGTTTCAGAGTAACCTATGTTGACCTGACATTGATGTTGCTGAGGTTTCAGAGTAAGCTATGATGACCTGACAGTGTTGCTGCGAGTGATGTTTCAGAGTAACCTATGTTGACCTGACAGTGTTGTTGATGTTTCAGAGTAAGCTATGTTGACCTGACAGTGTTGTTGTTGATGTTTCAGAGTAAGCTATGTTGACCTGACAGTGTTGTTGTTGATGTTTCAGAGTAAGCTATGTTGACCTGACAGTGTTGTTGCTGATGTTTCACAGTAACCTATGTTGACCTGACCAGGGTTAAAAAACTAACAGTTTTTGTCCACTAGTCCTTATAATGATAACATATAGCAAAACCCTTAAAATGGGCCAATTTCTACTAGTCCTTAGGATACCTTTACTATTGGGCAGTTTGGTAAGGACTATAGGACTAGTGCCAATTTCTGCTGCTGACAGTGTTGTTGCGAGTGATGTTTCACAGTAACCTATGTTGACCTGACAGTGTTGTTGTTGATGATCACAGTAAGCTATGTTGACCTGACCGTGTTGTTGAGCTTGATGTTACACAGTAACCTATGTTGACCTGACAGTGTTGTTGTTGATGATCACAGTAAGCTATGTTGACCTGACCGTGTTGTTGAGCTTCATGTTACACAGTAACCTATGTTGACCTGACAGTGTTGTTGTTGATGTTTCAGAGTAACCTATGTTGACCTGACAGTGTTGTTGCTGAGGTTTCAGAGTAACCTATGTTGACCTGACAGTGTTGTTGCAAGTGATGTTTCACAGTAACCTATGTTGACCTGACAGTGCTGTTGTTGATGTTTCAGAGGAACCTATGTTGACCTGACCGCGTTGTTGCGAGTGATGTTTCACAGTAATATGTTGAATTGACAGTCTTGTTGTTGATGTTTCAGAGTAACCTATGTTGACCTGACCGTATTGTTACTGATTTTTCAGAGTAAGCTATGTTGACCTGGCTGTGTTGTTTCTGATGTTTCAGAGTAAGCTATGTTGACCTGACCGTGTTGTTTCTGATGTTTCAGAGTAAGCTATGTTGACCTGACCATGTTGTTGCTGATGTTTCAGAATAACTGAGCTGAGCTGCCAATGTTGACCATGAATTTAGTTTCTATGGATAGAGGCAATATATTACTTGTGATCTAGATCAATGAATAGCATTTATTAGCACTTACTAGGACATTTAATAGAACATTTCATAGCACTTTGTTTTGTATAGCTTGACAATCATGATTTCCTGTCTGCCACAAGGTCCATCAATGGGCAGTACTATGTCACAGAACTGCATCAGTTGAGAGAAGCTATCAAGGAAATAGGAGGAGTGCTACTGCTTCGGAGAGGTGAGCCTGTATACAGATTACAAGTGGCATCAGTTGCAGCTGCAGATTGTGACTTTGAGTTGCTTCTCCCAACCAAAATACAATGATAGAGTAACAAGATGATTGCCACCATCAAGGCATCTTAGGTAGATGGAGACTTCTACAGGACAGTGATACCAAAACTGGAGCTTCACTGGAATAAGTGTATTGAAGTCAAAGGAGATTATATTTAAAAAGAATGCAATTGATTTTGCAATTAACTTTTTCTGAGGATACATTCCTTGCTTAAAAGTAATGTTTTCACTGCCTCCTGACTAGTCATAAAATTCAATCAACGTTTATATCAGTGCATACATGGTAGCAAAATATTGATGCTGACAAAACCTTGAATGGCGGCTTCTTTCATGTGTACAAGCTGTTACATGAATGTTCTATTCAGTTGTCAGTTAAGTTACTTTGACATGACATAGTTTGTGGCAGCCTTACATTGATATAGAGCTGAAGTCTCTACATGCATCTTGAAGCTCAATCATGTCCTTATAAGATATATTACTATGCCAAGAAAATGTTGAGGTTCTTTATGAAAATAAAGACTGGTGGGAGTAAAATGTGTATGTTATTGTATGACAGTTTTCATATCCTACCCCATATCATCCCAAGAGCCCGATATCAGCCCTTATTATCCCTCAAAGTGAGATCGACCAATCAGAGAGCAGAACTACTAAACCCATATGAGCCTGTATACCTTCAGTAAATACCCAGGATGGCTGTCACTGATCTAATGTGAGACCTTATGCATCAGTAACAGCAATCTTGGATTTTCCAACACCCTCCTCACATATATCATTTGAAAATTCTGCTACAGAAATTTGTTATTTGACCCTGTTTTGTGTCTTTATATCATTAGTTGTGATGTGCAAGGACATTAAAAAGAAATTTAAATCACGTTCATGATTTTATTGATAAAGATAATAGTTAAAATAGTTAAAACATTTCGGCATAATATATTTGTTATAGTGTCTTTATATGCAGTACATGGTGACATATTAGGTTAGCAGAATAATCATGGCCAGGACTGACAGTTCTCAGACTGATATGGGTGGGGGGGGGGGGAAGGTCGAAACTGCCATATGATAACCCTTTTATCATCTGGTAATACCATAACATCAAATTGTAAACTGTATCTATTTCTAAGTGAAAGCAATATATTTTCACCTGTTTGGAAGACAGGTTAGCTTGCCAAGCAGACAAGAAAACCGCACACTAAGGGATGTAACTCCACTTTCTTAACATCTGAGCTGATATCAATCGCCCATTCAAAATACTTTGAAAAGCATTATCTGGCTGGCAGGGGGTGTAATACCGTCGGGTTATTGCTTCCCCCTCTATGTGAGCTCTATCACACATGCAAAATGCCTTATATCATTGATATGTGTATGATAATTTCATTTATCATCCAAGACTGGCTTCCACAGGAGATATCACTTGGGTGAGATGTTGCAATGAAATGGCATCACAATTCTTTGAAGACCATTGAGACTTGACATCACAATCAAATAACATCACAAGTCTCTCTGCCACTGAAGATGGTTAGCTGTACCTCTTACTTATATCACTGTTTTCAAAATGAAAAATTTTGAAGAATGATTTTGTGTGATAAGTAGAATCTTACCCTCATGTCTTTTTATGTCAAATATATCAACACTGGTCAATATAACCTTTATCGACAAACATCGATATTTGATATCAAAAGACATGTGGGTAATATTTTCTCGTTCACTTTATTATAGTTGTTTAGGTATTGCTATTTCTTTTTTTAAAGTGAACAACTTTGTACTTTTTGTAAGGGTAAACATCAAGAATGATGGGGGCCTAACAGAACTGCTTCTTGGTTATTGTTTTTGCTCAATTACACCAAAGATGTAGTGAGTTACTGTGTGGGACATTTTGGAGGATCATCCATCCTATGCCCATCATCTTACATAATAGAACTAAACTTGTGCTGCAATCACTATATTATCTGTGTCATATTTTATGAATTCTCATTAGTCTGTAAAAACCTCACTTTCTAGAGGGTTATTGTTGGGTATGTCTTTATATAGATTAAGGATATGCTGCTATGTACCCATGATTTAATAATCCAGAAAATTGTTATTCTGTGCTCTGGGATTAATCCAGTTAGATTAATTTGGTTTCACTATAGTTTGATATTATAAGTGGATGTTTAGTTCTGTGAAAGGAATAAAATTTGAAAGGTTATCTTATATGAAACTATATCTCCCAAGAAGTCCCAATTAGCTCTGATCTAAGAATTAGGTAAAGTAATTTTTTCAAAAAGATCAGAGTTGAAATGTTGTGTTGTTTATGTTTTAAAAGTTTTGCACCAAAGTTATACAATATTACATTTTACCTTTATTGTAGTAGATTAAGAAACATTGTTGAAATTTCGTTACTTGTTTCGTCAAGTGTTTATGCAGAATGTGTTTACTTTAAGTGTTTGTCCTCGTTGACTTTTTATACTGTTGACTGCATATTTGCTTGCTCTATATTTAATACTTTAAACACTGACCCACACAATTTGTGTAAGGTTACATGACCTTTCATAATGTATCTTATTTATTCCTAATGGTGCTACAAAGCATGACTATGTATAACATTTTGCTTTCAGATTTTTTATTGTTGTTTTGACCTGTGTATGTATTGTTTCCATATTTTTTTATATATACTCCTTAGATTCCTGCATTCTCTTTATACATACCATTTTGCAATATCTAACCAAATGTCATTAAAATATCATCTTTTGAGCTGACCTTGTTTTGTTGTTCAAATTCTACAGTACAAAATTATCTAATCACAACTGGCATGCATTGAGTGATTTCAGTTGTGGTTTCAACTACAGTAAACTACGGTTATAACAAACTTAAAGGGACCACTAAATTTAGTTCGTAATAACCATAGTTCATTATAAGCACATATACAGCATATATACAGCAAGTGGACGGGGACAAAAAACAGTTCGTTATATCTGTCAGTTTGTTATAAGCGTGTTCATTATAAACGTAGTTTACTGTATATGGAGTGGTATTGGGGGTAATAATATAGATCCCCAACAACCCATGCTTGTTGCTTGTAAGAGGCGATGAATAGGGTGGTCAGGCTGGGTGACTTGGTCAATGCATGTGGTTTGATCCCAATGCATGGACAGGTGCTCATGATGTCAATCACTGTTTCATCGGACTTGGCTCGATTTTTCCGTCACATATATGGAATATTGGTGCACGTAAAACAACATTCATAAGTAAGTATGTTACAATGACCCTTCTTGTTGAGTCTGTACTACTCATCACACATATGTATGTAGTAAAACAGCACTGCCTGTAGTAAAACAGCACTGCCTGTAGTAAAACAGCACTGCCTGTAGTAAAACTGCACCAGTGACTTCTGGAAATGATGACCGCCTCCGTGGTCCAGTGGTAGAGCGTCCGCCCCTAGAGTGGAAGGTCTGGGGTTCAATCCCCGACCGCGTCATACCAAAAGTCGTTAAAAGATGGTACTTGTTGTTACCCTGTCTGGCGCTCGGCATTAAGAGGCTAAAACAAGGACTGGTCGGGTCGGAGTCAGTATACTGTGTCTGAATGGGGTATTCATGTTAAACTGCGGTATGGTATCTCAGTGAGCTAGCACTATAAATCGGCATCAGTCCGGACTAGCACAAGCAGCCACACACACATACACGTGCATGCACATCGCTATATAAGTGCAATAATCTTGGACGCGACGTTAAACCCAATTTCACCTCACCTCATGTGCAATCGGAAGACAATTGGGTGGTTTATTATGTCTTCCCCAGAATGGAGGGAGACATATTGTTTTTGGCACGGTTCCTGTCGGCGTCGGCGTTCCCAACGTTTCCGGACCATAACTCAGAAACCGTTTAATATTTTTTCGCGAAACTTTGTATACACATTAACCCAGCACTGAAGTGGTGCCTTTTGCTATTTAGAGATTTTTGACATTTTTATTTTTTCTCGTTTCCATGGAGATAAGTTGAACATAAGCTCTGAATGGGGGTAAGCTTTGTTTCCTGACCATAACTCAGAAACCGTTTAATATTCACTTAAATTGGCATGGGCGGTGACTGTGCACAAAGTGCAGGGAATGACCACAGACAAGGCTGTTGTTTCATTAGACAGAATATTTAAAGCAGGGATGGCTTATGTTGCGCTAAGTAGAGTAACATCACTCAATGGCTTGTTCCTCATTAAGGACGATTATAAACCAAGTGGAATCTATGCAGACAGCAGGGTAGAAAATGCCATTTCAGAAATGCCGCTTGCTACAAGTTTGCCAAGATGGAATAACCTAGTACCACCAAACATTCCTGATTATGCAAATTCCCTGGTGCTTGTGGGCCACAACACTGAAGGATTTCTCCCTCACTTGAAAGATTTCACAGCAAATAGATTTCTGCCAGCTGCAGACATCATAGCCCTTCAAGAAACATGGCTTCTTCCAAATCAGTCATTTACTAACCCACTGCCTACCCACAATGTTCTGACATGTAGCAGGGGAAATCAGTACAACTCAGCCTCTAGTGTACCAGACTCATTGAAAACGAGAGGAAAGGGTGGAGTAGCTATGTTCATCCATCAGGATCTTTCCTACAAAGTCATTGACACTTCATGTGTAGGACTGGAATGCCTTGGCATCCAGTTGCAGTGTTCATCACTTTCTGTTTTCTCTGTGTACAGACCACCAACCCTTCCCATTCCCTACTTCAGACAAGAGTTGAACAGAATGTTGGACCTATCTCCGACTAACAGTACAGTTCTGGGAGATTTCAACATTGACCTCAATACAAACAAAGCGCAACCTCTTCTGCAAGAACCCTTCACGCAGCTGATTGAAGTGTCCACTACCAGGAAAGAAACTGTTATTGACCATATTTATGTCAAGGATCTTTCACATCAGAGAGCTGGTGTGGTGCCTTGCTATTACAGTTTCCATGACATCACATATGTCATTGTGTAGAAGACCTGCAGAGTCAGATACACGGGCAATTACATCACAGAGACTTTCCTTTGTGCCATATAACATTGCTACATCATTTCTGATATGTTGGGGATATTAATATATTTGTGTCCAAACTCTATTAGTACTTTAAGTGGATTTTCTACAAATACTTCAGTAACAAGAAAACTGTGCTACTTAGATGACTACACTGTCAGGTGGGTAAATGATTGAGGGATTAGTGGTGTTGATTAGATGCTGAAGTGGTGCCCATTAGTTGTTTGAAATTTCTAGGAGTTCTATTTTTGTCTCTGTTATTTAGTAATGGAGGGTGGGAATGAAGAGATGGGGTTTAACGTGAAGTAAACAAATGAATGGGGGTTAGGGGAGTGGGGGGAGACATATGTTTTTATGAGTAAAAACACTTTCTAGTTCATATTGAAATTGTAAACATGTTTTATTAATTAAGTCAGGGATCATAACCTTGTACTTTAGCTAATTTGAGGGTTGCATGTAATCATCAGCTAGTAGGTGTAGATTAGGTCTTAATTTTAACTTTCTAAGTTTCTAAATTAAGTTTGTAATGGAGAAATAACTCGAATCGGTTCATTCCCTATGTAAAATATACAGATTCCAGCGATTTCTCAGTCAACCACAAGAGCAATAGCATGACGTCATTTTAGTGATTTAATATCAAAGAATTCGTCATTGGTCAATTAGTAACTCCTCCATGACGACCCCAATACAGTAAGTAAGTATATACATATACATGTACCAGGAAAGGTTGGGATCATATGTATTCATATGTGCTTAGTTACTCCTTGAATTTGGCCAAATATTGTCTACTGATATAACACCAATGTGAGCACTGCGGTCATTCGTCATTCTTCTCTGCGCATATGGGGCGGTCGGGTAGCCTAGTGGTTAAAGCGTTCGCTCGTCACGCCGAAGACCCGGGTTCGATTCCCGACATGGGTACAATGTGTGAAGCCCATTTCTGGTGTCCCCCGCTGTGATATTGCTGGAATATTGCTAAAAGCGGTGTAAAACCATACTCACTCACTCACTCTCTGCGCATACGCTGTGTATTCCAGGAATGGTGGGACTGCCAAGTAATTTCACGTGCCACATATGTATTACAGTAAAGGATCCCCAAGATTTTACCGAAAATCATTATGAATGCAACGTTTTACCTTCTGGACGTCGCTTATCAGCACGAATATCAAGAAAAGCCGAGCCCCCAAATCTCATCACATATAGCATTTGACTTTTTATTTCAAACAAGTAAATCGCCAAAAAAGAGAAGCGAAATTACAATGGTGAAAAAAACAAAAACAAATCTGACTTATGAATAATAAAAAATTAACGTAAAAAGATGAGGGTAATATTTTTAATAAATGCAGTTATAAATGTGTATTTGGGATAACAAATTCAAACAAATGCACCCAACCAATCATCGTGCAGCTACCGACACAAATGCCACAAGGCCACTTACAGAGCAGCATATGAAAGTCTAGGTTAGGAAAGCTCCGACAAAAAGCGCGCTGATGACATGAACATTTCAATTGCAGCATAGTTTCTTAATACAATCACCGGTACTGAAAATTGCATTCACCTAAATTCAAAAGAACCACCATATCTTTTTTGAATACGGTCAAGGGGTCGAAAAAGAAAATATACAGGCTTCCAACATCTTCCCGAAGCAAGGGTGTTAACTGACTATATAAGTTCAGATCGAAACTGGAGTTTTACAGTCAGTTAACCCCCCTTGCCTCGGAAAGATGCGTTTTCATCGGAATAATTAGACTTGGATCAATATTATTTTTGCTTTGAGACACGATAATTCTGATACGTTGCAATGTATTTCATGTTTGAATATATACTATGTGTATGTGTTTATAAGTAGCGTTATGCCTGATTTTAAAAATGCAAACAAGCCAGAAAGAAAATGAAATGATTATTCTTTTTACCCTATATCTTTGACTCTACAATGGAAACAGATTGGACCGTGTCAGGATTTAGCACATTAAACATTAATATAAAGCTTATTACATGGCAGTTTTCATATCATACCCCATATCAACCAGAGACCCCCTTATCCACCTGAAGGTTGCTATTGGGGTCGAACTTTCATATGGGGTATTAAAGGAAAACTGCCATATAGCAACCTGTTTATCATATACCATACCATCAAATTGTAAAATGTGTCTATTTGCAAGTGAATGCAAGACATTTTCACCTTATTTGGAATATATTTTAACAGAAAAGCTGGTCGAGACGACGCACTGAGGAAGGTAACTCCAATTTGGCGATATCAATAGCGATCGCCCTTTCAAAATGCATTGACAAGCCATATCGGCCAGGCAGGGGTCTATCGCGGGTTTGGTTACTACACTCCTGTGATATGACCGTCTCCTTGTTGACTCTATCGCACATGCAAAATGCCTCCTTGATCGGTATAGGATCTCTACAGATATATGTATTATGTTACAAGTGAATATTCATAACATTTGTTGAATTTTGATCAGTATATACACTATATACACTTGCACTTACATGTTTGAGTCTATGCAGGTGTGTTACAGTAGAATAGCGAAAATTACAGTACAGTAATGAACATTAGTTCTGAGCACTATTCAGGGGCGGTCGGGTAGCCTAGTGGTTAAAGCGTTCGTTCGTCACGCCATAGACCCGGGTTCGATTCCCGACATGGGTACAATGTGTGAAGCCCATTTCTGGTGTCCCCCGCCGTGATATTGCTGGAATATTGCTAAAAGCGGCGTAAAACCATACTCACTCACTCACTCACTGAGCACTTTTCGTCGGATCAGTCGCATGTCTGTTCATCTCATGTAGGTAGGACGTGGCTGCACCAGGCGTTTCGGGCTTAGAAAAGGGATTATGAATCTTTTCAGTTCTAACGCGTGTCATCATGTCCTTACTTACTAAATAGTTCACGAATATATAATTTCAGTGCATAACGTAAGATACGTGTTATAAATATTCATTTACTACAGCCATAAATTGCATATTAAAAAAGCCTGCAGCAAATATATTGTTCACATGAAAGACTGGAACACCACAATTCGTTGTTTGAAACGTTTATTATCAGTCAGTGAATAAGTGGTTTCACACCGCATTTGGCAATATTCAAGTCGTATAAGCTCGGGAGACACTATGAACGGGCTTCCACCGAAGTACGAATGTGGCCGATCTACGGAATCGAACGCGGGTTTCCGTGTTACGGGCGAACGCTTTAGCTACCCCTCCGCATCATTTTTATGTATTATTTTACCATTGACAATGGGATGTCAGTCGGACTAACAATGGCATGAGCACCCTTGCTCATATCGGCAGAAAAATAACTCTACAAAACACATGTACCTTACCGATTATATCGTCACGATACAAAAAAACTTGGGACAAGTAGCGCGAAACTCCAATATTTCCGTGTAGTTTTCCATCAGTAGCAGACTGTCGAATGCGGCGTTAAAAACGAATTCAGCTCACTCACTTTTGCCCTAAATGTTACAATATGGGAATTAGTGAATATGTTATACACTATGTTGCAACAATCTTAACCCGATGGATTAATGGGATATTTCTGTACCTACCTATTCACAACATACCAAAATATTCCCAGAAAGGTACTTGCAGTTGTGTCCCGTTGAAAAGGAACGTTGCCTTCGTGGATTGCCACCATAATGCACATCACAAACTAAACTGTATCGTTGCACCGCGAGAAATAGTGGAAACATCAATAATAAATGTCTTATATCAATCGTCATCTGTTTTAAAAAATGAATTCTTACCAGTTTGGTTTGCCATGAGTTTTTACATGGACCAGTGTAGTTGTTTAAAACGCCCCCACTGTACATGTCTTCTGCTTCCCTTCAGTCTAGAATGAACGCGCATTAAAAACTCGTGCAACGGAAGTGAGCCCTGATTGGTTTAACCCATAAACATGACACCACGTGACAAATCTGCCGAACACCTGCGCGAAATATACAACGCGTCAATACTGATTTGACACTTGTTTGTGGAAGTTGTCTGAATTGACGAAAACAACTTTAAAGAGATGTCTGGACGTTGTATTAAGCTCGTCTTTCTAACATAACAATGTATCTACATAATCAAAGGTTATTAGATTTATGTACAAGACAATGTATTTTGAAATGGCTTGAATGAACATTGTTAATTGGCCCGAGTCTAAAACGGCAAAATCATTAAAAAAGCATTTGATCTATTTGTTTCCTTCTAAATGAAAAAGACAACTTAAAAAAACAGCACAGATTTATAATCGGCTCAGCAATAACAGATATGCATGTTATTTCATGGCTTTAGGTGATAAGCAACGTAATGCCTATCCCTGAAGGGTGTGGGTGAGCGTGGGAAACGACAGAACTTCTTGTGGCAATGTGCCGCAACACCTAGGCATGTGTACAATGCTAGAGAACAACTTATAGGGATCAAGCTCATTCCACCACCGAAATCAGTGCCATCGTCCGGTGTTACAGATGTGGTAGTGAGTTTACTTTCAATCATCGTGTGTTGCTCGCAATGCTCAGTGGCATTACTGTCAAAAGACAGAACATTTCAAATCTGTCTACTGTAGCACCTATCAGTCAGTGACCCCTACTTGTATACAGGTTACGATAGAGCACGAACCACTTTCACACTGTAAAGCGACCTGTGCAGATTCGGGTTAGAATTGGTCTGAGAGGCGACTATGGTTGCCGACATATAGCTGGAATATTACTGAGTATGACAGTAATGAATGAATGAATGAATGAATGAATGGATGGATGGATGGATGGATGGATGGATGGATGGATGAATGAATGAATGAATGAATGAATGAATGAATGGATGAATGGACTGGAAACGGTACGATCCGAATTATAGGGGTTTAATTAAGTACGCTATCGAACCGTGAAGATGCGGGTTAGAAATGGTCTACACAGACCATGTTTGTCATACGAGGTGATTATGCTTGTCGTAAGAGGCGTCTAACGGGATCGCTGACCTGGTTACATGTCATCGTGTCCCAATTGTGTTGATCGAAGTCATAACATCAATCACTAGATTTTCTGGTCCAGACTCGATTATTAACTGACCGCCGTCATATAGCTGGAATATTGCTGATTGCGGCATTAAACAACAAACAAACAAGTATGATATCAGTCACTGTTTTGACTGTACCAGGCTCGCCCAGTTTAGGTCGGTACACATAGCCCTAGTCGTTTCAGTGTCATGCTAGTGTAGTTGTTGTTCGTATATGTTGTGTGTATGTGTTTAAATATCAGTATCAAAACGGCATGGGCAAGTGTTAAAAGAGGTAAGTTCACAGAAACAAGGTCCCTGACATCAGTACATCAATACCATAATCCGTTTTTTTAGTATTTCTTATACTCGTCCTATATTACCTCCGCGCGCATAATGTTTTTTAAATTGATCGATCGGCCCCACCCCCACCCCGCTAGAATATATATCAAACCGCCATGAAGATATTATGAATTTCCCATTGCTTAAACAAAATCCTCCCTGTATTTTTCGTGAAGATATTAAGTAGCCCTTTAGCGCCCTTCTCCCTTTTTCTTTAGCCCTTCTTTTTCCGCCTACAAAGCTCGATACCCTATCCGTTGCATTTGATTGGTTTGGTTGGTTGGTTTGTTGTTTTACGCCGCACTCAGCAATATTCCAGCTATATGACGGCGGTCTGTAAATAATCGAGTCTGGACCAGACAATCCAGTGATTAATATCATCAGCATCGATCCACGCATTTGGGATCGATGACATGCATCAACCAAGTCAGCGAGCCTGACCACCCGATCCCGTTAGTCGCCTTTTACGTCAAGCATAGTCACCTTTTACGGCAAGCATGGGTTGCTGAAGACCTATTCTACCCCGGAATCTTCACGGGTCCGTTGCATTTGAAAAATATGGAGTACAATATATGCATTTGAAAAATATGGAGTACAATATGGGTAAGTATGAACAGTTTGTAAACACATCTTAAATAACAACAAATCAGCTGTATTCTATTTAAATTTTATTTCAATTGATATATTTAATTTCATTTATTTTCATCCGACTAACCGAGATGACAAACAAACGCAATAGTATGGACGGCCTGTCGCTTTGTATTGTGCACTTGAAAGTTGACATAGTTGACGGGTCACTATTTTGCCTCTGCACATGTGCACCTGAACCGCTTCACTGCACATCTAGAGAATGGGTAATTCACAGCATCTGATTGTGTTTCGAGTTCCCGGACATGTTCGTATTCGTTACAAGATTTATGGCTAGGGAATATCAACAAGCATGTTCAAAACACTCATGCTATCGACCGCAGGTTTGTTCGAACTGCGCATGCTATCGACCGCAGGTTTGTTAGAACCATTCATGCTATCGACCGCAGGTTTGTTAGAATCGCCCATGCTATCGACCGCAGGTTTGTTAGAACCGTTCATGCTATCGATCGCAGGTTTGTTAGAACCGCTCATGCTATCGACCGCAGGTTTGATAGAATCGCCCATGCTATCGACCGCAGGTTTGTTAGAATCGCTCATGCTATCGATCGCAGGTTTGTGAGAACCGCTCATGCTATCGACCGCAGGTTTGTTCCAATCGCTCATGCTATCGACCGCAGGTTTGTTAGAACCTTTCATTCTATCGACCGCAGGTTTGTTTGAACCGCTCATGCTATCGACCGCAGGTTTTTTAGAACCGCTCATGCTATCGACCGCAAGTTTGTTAGAACTGCGCATGCTATCGACCGCAGGTTTGTTAGAACTGCGCATGCTATCGACCGCAGGTTTGTTAGAATCGCCCATGCTATCGACCGCATGTTTGTTAGAACCGCTCATGCTATCGACCGCAGGTTTGTTAGAACCGCTCATGCTATCGACCGCAGGTTTGTTAGAACCGCTCATGCTATCGACTGCAGGTTTGTTAGAACCGCCCATGCTATCGACCGCAGGTTTGTTAGAACTGCGCATGCTATCGACCGCAGGTTTGTTAGAACCGCTGATGCTATCGACCGCAGGTTTGTTAGAATCGCCCATGCTATCGACCGCAGGTTTGTTAGAATCGCCCATGCTCTCGACCGCAGGTTTGTTAGAACCGCCCATGCTATCGACCGCATGTTAGTTAGAATCGCCCATGCTATCGACCGCAGGTTTGTTAGAATCGCTCATGCTATCGACCGCAGGTTTGTTCGAACCGCCCATGCCATCGACTGCAGGTTTGTTAGGACCGCTCATGCTATCGACCGCAGGTTTGTTAGAATCGCCCATGCTATCGACCGCAGGTTTGTTAGAATCGCCCATGCCATCGACTGCAGGTTTGTTAGGACCGCTCATGCTATCGACCGCAGGTTTGTTAGAACCGCTGATGCTTTCGACCGCAGGTTTGTTAGAACCTCTCATTCTATCGACCGCAGGTTTGTTAGAACCGCTGATGCTATCGACCGCAGGTTTGTTAGAATAGCCCATGCTGATACAGCTGATACAGCTGGAATATTGCCGAATGCGGTGTTAAACATCCAACAAACACAAGCAGGCACGCTCCTCGGTAACACGTCCTTACGAGCGAGGTGCTACTGTGTGAAGGTCATCCTGACGAGAACCAGATAAACCAATAAAAAATAAACAACACGTTATTATGAATTATGTATCTTTAAATAAACGTATATAATGTTTATATAATATACATGTCCACATATGTCTCAAACTAAACAAAGCAGTTGCATTCGTCATCAAGTTTCTCACAAATGCATTTCTTGTGTGTTTGGTAGAGAATAGCAGATAGCTGGGATTTTATTAGCTTTTCTTTTTCCAGGAAATGCTTGAAAACTTGAAAACTAACTATGCTCCAGACTGTTAAAAATTTATAAATAGCCATCCTCATTTTTTCTAAACAAATATTTAGGCGAAAAGTTTCAATCAAAAAGATAATTTCTGGTATTCCAGCTGTAGTCTTATGCATGCATGCTTTGATCACGGTCCAAATCGGTAAGAATACCACAGTTAGGCATTTATCCACTTCGTTCATGTTTAACATACATCGGTTAGTCCCCCTAGATCTAGTTCATTCGGAAGATACCGTAAATATCCAGAGAATGGCGTCTCACATCATCAATTGGAGATACAAAATTGCGGTTGGTAACTATGCTAACAGTTCGGCAATTCAAGGGGGAACATTAGACATGTACTTTACATATTAGCAGGGTACATTGAAAATAAAAGAATGGGTCTCAGCCAATCAGAATCCGACATAAATATGTAAGGTGAGATAAAAAATATTTCAAATTTCAAAGTTATCGCACAGGTGCGTGTGTGTATCTGAACACAGATTCTCGCAATGGGTGCATGAATAGTTATCAATATGTAGTACATTAATCTGAACAGGGAGTCATGTAAATATAAAACGTCTACGCCAGAGAATAACCAGTCCAACGATTGTCCAACGAAACAGATTCCACTGTGTGTAAAGGGTATATTAGCGGTACACATTATGCGAACACCGGGTGTTCGCGAAAACCATAAGCATTTCCTGCCCTACCGGAAGCCCGCGCTACTCCCACAATCTACTTCAAAACGTGTGTTTGTTACCTGATACTGCACAGCAGTACTCCTGCCACGAGGGGGCGGCTTGTAAACAAACCAGACAATCGCGAGATGGACCTGAAATCCAGTCACACGACAGCTCATTTACTGATTTTGTTGAAACAAACGATAGCTTATTTTTTTATTGAGCCTGCTGTGTATAAGTGCAGACATTCTGAGCACTGCTAATACGTACAAAAAGGGTTTCAGAAATATGTTCATTAATCTGAATAGTGATACACGGGTTTTTTTTGTTCTGTTTGTTGTTTAACAAACCAGTGATTGACATCATGAGCATCGATCCACGCAGTTGGGATACAGTGGCATGTATCAACCACGTCAGCGAGCATGACCTTCCGATCCCGTTAGTCGCCTCTTACGACAAGCATAATCGCCTCTTACGGCAAGCATGGGTTGCTGAAGACCTATCCTAACCCGCACATCATCTGATTAGTGTTTCGCTAAGAGGAAATGCTTCTGAGTTACAAGTATAGAATGAAATGTGACCAAGGATAGACTGTATCAAATGATTCCCATTAATACAATTAACAAGCAGAATTGTTCTGTAAAATAATAAAATAAATGTTTCCTTTGCCCTTTAAACCCCGCCACCCCCACCCCCCTTCAGATGACATTATAAATGCAATGTAATTTGACCGTGATATTATCAAAACAGCAGCATTGTTGAATTTACTGCATTATTGTTCTTGTTTGTTTGCTGTTTAACGCCGCATTCAGCAATATTCCAGCTATATGACGGCGGTCTGTAAATAATCGAGTCTGGACCAGACAATCCAGCGATTAATATCATGAGCTTCGTCCACGAAATTGGAATCGATATTATGCATCGACCAAGTTAGCGTGCCTGACCCCCCGATCACGTTAGTCGCCTCCTACGACAAGCATAGTCGTCTTTTACGGCAAGCATGGGTTGCTGAAGACCTGTTCTACCCCGAGTTGACATTAATTTCAACTTCAGTATTCTTTCAATGCGAGGTTTCGGTAAACATGCTGGTAACATTATCCTGCATGTTAACATATTGCTTGAAAAAATTCGTAACATCTGTACCGAGTGAATAAAGACGTTAAAATCCATAAGTCGACTGTGTCTTCCTTCGTCTACAGCTTCTAAAATGCCACTAGAAGATATCAATCTATCAACAGGACTCGGCTGATGACATAAGCGACTGCCAAGATTGACAATACAGACACTACGCAATTGAAACTATAGACATGTCGCAATGGAATGTAAACACGCGGCGATGCAGAGGCGTCACACTCCTAGAAATAGGTATTGGTACAGTTGATAGCAAACAGACATTCCTAGGAATTCTTTCACACAATCAGTATATAACAAAAGAGACGGAACATGCTCCTGGAATGATAAGAGTTCAACACCTCCACTGTCTGCTGAATGACACATATGCTTCAGTAGCACCTACTGAGGTAGTCCTGGATTTAATAGATGCCTATAGGAAAATCCAGATCTTGAATACCACCACTATGTTTTTAAACCTATTTGCATTTACCTATATAGTTTGAGATATCAAGGAGATAAACACTCCACAATGCATTCATTGTACATGTCCACAGATTTGTCTGCAGGAATCATCCTTTGTGCGTGGGGGTCTATGTTGCCGTTTAAAGCAATATTCCAGCTAATTGACGACGGCATGTTAATAGTCGAGTCTGGACCAGATAATCCAGTGATTAGGTCGGGATACGTTGATACCTCATCTTCCAGGTCATCGAGCCTGACAACCTGATCCATTTAGTCATCTATTACAGGATGGGTTGCTGTGGGCCTATTCAAACCCGGGATACCACGGGTGATTCCCTTCTGAACAATACCCAGTCCGTCTGTTTAATTGTGACCAATACAATGTCTGAGTGCTTATTTCTGGCCAGTACGATGTCCGAGTGCTTATTTCTGGCCAATACAACGTCCGAGTGCTTATTTCTGGCCAATACAATGTCCGAGTGCTTATTTCTGGCCAATACAATGTCCGAGTGCTTATTTCTGGCCAGTACAATGTCCGAGTGCTTATTTCTTGGCAATACAATGTCCGAGTGCTTATTTCTTGGCAATACAATGTCCGAGTGCTTATTTCTGGCCAATACAATGTCCGAGTTCTTATTTCTGTCCGCCAGTACAATGTCCGAGTTCTTATTTCTGTCCGCCAGTACAATGTCCGAGTGCTTATTTTTGACAAATACAATGTCCGAGTTCTTATTTCTGTCCGCCAGTACAATGTCCGAGTGCATATTTTTGACAAATACAATGTCCGAGTTCTTATTTCTGTCCGCCAGTACAATGTCCGAGTGCTTATTTCTGTCCGCCAGTACAATGTCCGAGTGCTTATTTCTGACAAATACAGTGTCCGAGTGCTGCTTTCTGATCAATATAAGGTACTAAATGCAAGGTTGCTTCTTTCTGACCGTACCTTATACTAGATATCTGATCGCTTTACTCCCACATAAGTTGGCACGGCGTGATGTAACTGGAATACTGTTCAAAACCGCGTCAAACCCAACTCGTTCACTTTTCGATTTCTACTTTGTAATACACATCATAGTGAATGTTTCTAATTTGAAAACACCTTCTCAAAATGCCTCAAAACCTAGTTTCCGTGTCTTTTTCAATCATTCCTAGTGTCACGGCATCTTCATAACTGGGGGGCAGCATGGGGGGCGCGGACGGTTCAGTGACGGGTAGGTAGTTTAAATCCTGGTATGATGGTGGTGGTGCACTGGTATTTGTGGTATTGTCGGTGGTTGTGGTGGTGGTGGTTTGGAGAAAAGGGGTTGCCTGTTCTCTTGTCTGGGGAGGAGGATGAAGAATGGTTTGGACAACTGGAGGTTGTGGCATGCGGTCAGAGCGTCTTTTTCTCATAACAAAACAGCACGTCACCACAATCACTATGAAGATGATGACGCCGATGACGCTACAAACTGCCGCAATCATTGGAGTACTGGAGGAAACCGAGTGTGAGACACCAGTACCTTCTGAACGAACATTCTCTGAAAATGACAGATATAGATTACAATTGCTTTAATTGTAAATAACTTAAAATTGTATGAGATAACAGACTTTGTTATCAGGAATACAAACATCAAAGATCTTGACTGGACAGTCGTTTGCAGAAAATGATACTTGGTAGCAAACGGTGGGTGACTGTGCAAGGCTCGATTTAAGGAACTTGATTTCACTTGCACCAGGTCAATGTTCACACATAAAGCTAAGTGCACCAGACAACTGGTCCCATTAATTTATCAAAGTTCAAACTTATACATAATCTTCAAGTACCCACAGTTTGATGACGTCAAGCCCCCAAAAGCATGACAAAGTACACAAAACAGAGAGATTATAGATGTATAGCAAATAAAGTTTGAAGATATTGAATGTTTTCAAAGATCATGTTGTGGATATGTAAGGGTAAGACACAATTTGAAAGATTTTGACATGCAATTGGAGCATGTAAACATACATATTAGGTTTCAGTTTTCAATAAAAGGTTGCATTGGTGCATGTTTTATATAGCTACATCTAGCCCTGCTATGTATTTATGTAAAACGTTTCGTAAATGTACATACTGTATCTCTAGTATACATAAATGTTTATGTGGTACGTACTCTTTGCTGTTGACTTATATACGATCCTGAAGCCCTTTCCTATCCCAAAGTCATCCGTTATAAAGTCAATCGTCGCGTACCGACCATCGCTGTAGAAAACATTGCTCTCAGTGTGGCACAGAACCATATCCGGCGTCTTGGTCAAATCGGACACTGCCCCTGAAATGACGTCACGTCAGAGTAAGGATTATATATAATCGACATAACATTTTCTCTCGCATAACATTGTGTCACTAGGCTTTGTTGATACTATGAACAGTAACTTCCAGAAAGAGAACTGGTATTATCTGAAAAAAATATGTGCTTTGCCAGTGAAATCAAAGCTCCGTGAAAGGCTATTTAATCGCAATGAGACACCACCAATCGCCAGTACTTCACAGGTTTGTAAGAACTACGTTCCTCCACCACTAGTAAATATTTACTGCCAATTTGCAGAGACGTCATTACGCCAATATTACATCGCACAAAGGGCAACATTTCTCGAGCATGCGCAACGGTCTTCCGGCTATCTGCTCTACACACAGCTGCAATACCAGGCAATTCGTCACGACTACACCACAAAGTCGTCATGTGTATTCACTGGTGATTGAGTAACGTATGGTATATTACAGCGTGACGTACTGACGATGACCTTCGCTTCAAACAGTATGGCACAGGGGCGTGTACATAAGATACAAAGTTTTCTTAACTATGGATGATTTTCTCTTTGAAAGTTTAGAAAACGGGAGGAGCAATGATCGTATATTGCACCATTCACTTTTAGCATACTCCTCACAGGTTTCAGAAAGGTTGAGATAGGAGACAATTGACATATATTTTATGATCATGGTCATGTTTTATTTACATTTCATATTAACATGGAGACTGTTCGTTTCCATGGTTACAATGGTACCTACTGTATGTCAATCATGTGTTTGACCATGGTTATGAGTACCTACCATGATATATGCGGACACTGTCACCACATACCGGCTGCGAGTAAAGATTCAGTGTTTCAACGTTAATCATGACAATGTTCAAGTAATGGTCAGACCTCAGTTGCCACACGCATCGTATTCGGCTGTAACAAAAAATGAGAGCAACATCATTTAAAGACGTTTTGGAGGTATTTAAGATCTGGCATCTATTGGCATTTATTAAAATCCAAGGCAACCTCGGAAGGTGGTGTCTTTGGTTTATGTAAGGATGCACGAGTTGTATTTAAATTCAGTTTAAACTAATTTATTCGTGAATTATGGAAATTAATCTGGAAATATGTCACTTTATGTATTGCAGTGATAGTGAAATTGGATAGGTGTCAGTCCAGCACAATACATCTTGAAGCTACTGGAAGAAGTGTCATGTTATTCAAAATTTACAATTATATCAAACAAATCTACTTACTCCGGATATAGATCAGGATAGCCCGGGGACAGCAGTATTTGTTCGTAAGAATATGCGAGGAGGTAAGCCTTGTCTCCGTCATTTCCTTTCAGACGACATGCTGATGACAAGAAAGGAAGGTATTGTCAGTTGGGACTGAACTAGAAACGAGTGAATCAATGAGTTTGGTTTGACGTCGGTTCTCAATAGTATTTCAGTCAATATCACGCAGTGGAACCATATGCTGTGTGTCATCCCATGATATAGCCGGAAATGCCGTCGTTAATACTCTATAGATCCACAAAAGAGCAAAAATCCATCAATCACACTGTAATACGAATTCATATCAAGATCTTGCCGCAAGCGTTGGATCGGGTGGTAGGACTCCGTTGGTTGCGTGTCATCGGTCCCCGGCAGCATGGGTCGTTGCTCATAGTATCAATCACTAGTCTATTATCTCGATAGCTTAGATGCTTTGATGGCTTGCGTTGTTGAATGTAGAAACATCGTTAAGTTAAGAGATAGGGAAAAGGAATCGATAGATGGTGACTCACAAGTGACCATGGTCTGATATGTTTTAGGGGCGGTCGGATAGCCTTATGGTTAAAGCGTTCGCTCGTCACGCCGAAGACCCGGTTCGATTCCCGACATGGGTACAATGTGAGAAGCCCATTTCTGGTGTCCCCCGCCGTGATATTGCTGGAATATTGCTAAAAGCGGCGTAAAACCAAACTCACTGACTCACTCTGATATGTTTAAACAAATCAAGAGAATATCTCAGGACACCTCAGCCTCGAACACCTATAAAGAGCTTCTTATGGTTAAGCGAATAGTGTGGGCTTTGCTTCTTGAGATCGAGTCGGACCTCGGTCGTCCCAGCTCCCCATTTCGCATGTTCTGTCCAGTTGGTTGTGTATTCAGAGATGGACTTTTTTACAAATTAAAACGATATATCTGGGCACGTCAGACTCGAACACCTGTAAAGAGCTTCTCGTGTTTAAGCAAGTAGTCCGGGTTTTAATCTTGAGATCTACTTGAACCTCGGTCGCTCATTTTGTGACGAGCCTGTCCTGTCCAGTTAGTTGTTTATGTGAGTATCAAACCTTATGTTGTGTTAATTCATGTAAGCGTGGGCGACGGCACATTAATGTCTAAGTTTGTAATTAGGAGCTTCAGATCTTGGACCTACCGCTTCTGGACTTAGAGAACCTCTCAGGGCCATGGGAGTTGTGGATTAGCGTCATAGACTTCTCATGGCGACAACTACTGCTACGGTTTATACAACTACTGACACGGGAACTATAACTACTGCTACGAGAACTACAACTGCTGCTACGGTTACTACAACTTCTGCTACTGCTACGGTTACTACAACTACTGACACGGGAACTATAACTACTGCTACGAGAACTACAACTACTGCTACGGTTTCTACAACTACTGACACGGGAACTATAACTACTGCTACAATTACTACAACTACTGCTACGGTTACTACAACTTCTGCTACTGCTACGGTTACTACAACTCCTACTGTAAGTGCTGCCACCACCCACTCCAACTGCAAGATATACGCCTGCATGATTTCGTGTAAGTACCTACCTGTGTTGTTGTCCCCTCTATGTTTGATTTTGAAGGAGATGGGCTCTGCTGCGTTGCCCTGGCTGTTGAGTTCCACTAACATACCCGGCCCGGAAATCAAGTAGGTAGAATCCTCTCTGCCACAGATGATCCAGGTCCTGGTACTGCCTCCATCCCATAGCCCTAACGTAACAAAACCACCCAGAATCTGGAAGAGTGCTCTAACGAGCATTAGATGTAACAATTTGCTGAAAACAGGCGTAATGTTTATTCAAATGCATCGCTGTGGATAAAATAGAAAAAGCGTTTGCAAGTACTTGCAAAAACAGAAGCAGACCTGCCAGAGGTATAATCAACAATAGCAATAACCAACGACGATATAAATATCAAGATAAACAAGATTTTGGAGGTGAGGTGAAATGGGGTTTAACGTCGCGTCCAAGATTATTGCACTTATATAGCGACGTGCATGCACGTGTGTGTGTGTGTGTGGCTGCTTGTACTAGTCCGGACTGATGCCGATTTATAGTGCTAGCTCACTGAGATACCATGCCGCAGTTTAACATGAATACCCCACCCAGACACAGTATACTGACTCCGAGCCGACCAGTCCTTGTTTTAGCCCCTTAATGCCGAGCGCCAGACAGGGTAACAACAAGTACCATCTTTTAACGTCTTTTGGTATGACGCGGTCGGGGATCGAACCCCGGACCTTCCGCTCTCCGGGCGGACGCTCTACCACTAGACCACGGAGGCGGTCACAAGATTTTGGAAGTAGATGTAACGTTTGGTAGAAAGATTGATGCAATTTCCAATATGTAAAACCTCAACGCAAGAGAATAACCGACCGTGAAATGCAAAATAGCAGTGAAACTTATATGAATGGATGTTTCATGGGCAATGAGTAAAACCCTACCGAATGTAAAATCGCCCTTTTGTAACTCTTAATACAAGATGAATAACGCGTCTGGAATATTTTTCAATATTATAAAAACTAAACCTCAAAAGGGTATTCGCATCTTTGTCATCTTTATCAAAACAGTGCCACGGCACTGTAGCTCACTCGTAATTATAGTCATCCATTTAAATTGTAAATTTATATATTCCGCATACATACTGAGGACAGTTCTAATGATCTGAACGAAATATGATGCCACCGTAAAGAGAAACATACGTTCCAAAGTTCTGTCTGACAATTTCAGATGAGAAGATGTTTACAGAACCAAAAATGATCAAAACAAGGTAAAAGCGAATTACGCAAATAAAGGGAAATATATGTTAACTAAGTAACTGATCGGAATCAAAACAATTGAAGAAACTGAGTCGTATTAATTGATGGGAACAATTGTCCGCGATAGATTACGATGGATAACGCATTATGTTTCCAGGCAAGATGCCTCGAACAAACCTGGATCCACTGCATATGGTGACCATCTAGCAAACAACGTTACATGCCGCTGGCGCTTGACGTTTTGGAGAAGAAGATTGTTGAAGGCATTTGTAAAATAAAAGATGGCGATCATATTGAAGATCCTGTTTCAAATGCCTTGACAAACTCAATCCACTCTATTATAACAAACATCCACATTTTGAGTCCATCTTGCCATTTTTAAAAGCTGATTGAAAACGCCGACGATTGACGACAGACAGGCTTTTCAGGCCAGGTGAGCTAAATATGAAAATAACAAACCGAAAAATCTATAAAAGCCTAACATTCATACAAATAAAGACTCATGGGACATTTACAATAATTCAGGGATATGATCGTAAAGCTCTCTTCCCTGAGGCTGTCTGTATTTGTTTTCCATCTCCCGCCCGCCATGATGTCTGTATTTGTTTTCCATCTCCCGCCCGCCATGATGTCTGTATTTGTTTTCCATCTCCCGCCCGCCATGAATTGTTATGCCGACGTGAAATAATAAAGTGTTTGTATCTTAATTTTCCCAGCCTCTGTGTGATACAAAAATACTAAAACCATTGCATACTCGTAAAACAACAGGTCAGCTTGATCTTTCTTCAGTATTGTTTTATTTTAAAAATCTTTTCCAAGCAAAGTGACTGGATCTACGTCATAAATTAATTTAAGAATGGTACCAAGGGTTTTAAACTTTAAACGTTACACAATAAGTGAAAATCAGTAAAAAGAAATTTTTTAACATTTTTATTTCACCCGCCAATTTTCTTGCTGGTTGAAGTTGGAGATGAGAAACAATAGTGAGTGAGTGAGTGAGTATGGTTTTACGCCGCTTTTAGCAATATTCCAGCAATATCACGGCGGGGGACACCAGAAATGGGCTTCACACAATGTACCCATGTCGGGAATCGAACCCGGGTCTTCGGCGTGACGAGCGAACGCTTTAACCACTAGGCTACCCGACCGCCCCTGAGAAACAATAAAAAATGAATGGCCTGATGAGGTGACCTAACATTATGATACAGATGACATCATCGTGAGGAATATGATTATTTTGTGTGGTTCTACAAGTCTGACTGAAAGGCTACAGCACTCTGACGATGGTACATCGAGTACCTTACTGTCAGCCTAACGGTCTTGCATCGCTCAAACCCGGGGCGTTCTATCTCGCTGTTCTACAGATCACCAACCGTACGAGCGTGTGTTTTTTTCTAGCTGTAATCGATTGTGACCGAATCGATCGAAATCCAATAAATGTATACATCTGCGTCTTCTCGAACACATCTGTTGTGTTTGGGCGAACTGTTTCCTTCTTCTGAGAATGTATTGCAGTCATGATAATACACAAGTTTCAATGCATACCTTTTTTATCTTGAGTATAGACGTTTTAGATACTTAACATATACAATTTCATGGGACTGATAGTTTCTCACCGTCATACACTGTAATCCTACTTCTGGCGCAGTCAACTTGAAGATTTCTGAAGGCCACCAGTACGCTTGTATATCCGATGGTTGGTTTGATGTACCATTTGCATGTGATGTAACTGGCAAAACATAAAACCAATTACAGTTACGAGTGAGTGAGTGAGTAAGTGTGGTTTTACGACGCTTTTAGCAATATTCCAGCAATATCACGGCGGGGGACACCAGCAATGGGCTTCACACATTGTACCCATGTCGGGAATCGAACCCAGAACGCTTTAACTACTAGGCTACCCGACCGCCCCTACAGTTACGAGGTCCCGTAACTCACCCGTAACCCTCAGATATAGATAATAAAAGGCCACAATAAATTAATATGTTTTTCAACCAAATGTATTAAAAATGCCAGACGGAAGGTATCAGGTACGTTTTTCTTCTTTTTTAAATAGACATAATGTTCACTAAGGTACTATGGGACAGACTGTTGTTGAAAGAGAACAAAAATACAAAAATAGAAAAAATATTGTTTTGCATCAGAAGCTGACTAATTATCTAGTCTCCCCCTAATTGTCAATGGGTGAAATTCACTTGAAGCAGGCATGCCTGGTTGGACAACGACATTGCTGCGTTTCATCAACTCGATTTACTTCTTCGTCTACCGGTGAATATAGAATATAGAATAGGTCTTCAGTAACCCTTGCTTGCCGTGAAAGGCGACTATCGGGATCGACCCGTGAAGATCTGGGTCAGAACGGGTCTTCAGCAACCCTTGCTTGTAAAATGTCCAGGGCTAACCCAGTTGCGTAGAACGATGCTCATGACGCCAATCACTTGCTTGTCTGGTCCAGACTCAATTATTTACAGAACGCCATCATATAGCTGCAAAGTGCTGAGTGCGGCGTTAAACAACAAATAACAATCAAATAAAACTGCTTCGTCATTATGCTTGGCAAGTTGTCAGATTATCACCTGGTCAGTAGAATTAGTTGTCTTTATCTTGACACTTTGGTTGGCTGGTTTGTTGTTTAACGCCGCACTCAGCAATATTCTAGCTATATGACGGCGGTCTGTAAATAATCGAGTCTGGGCCAGACAATCCAGTGATTGACATCATGAGCATCGATCCACGCAATTGGGATCGATGACATGCATCAACCAAGTCTGACCAACCGATCCCGTTAGTCGCCTTTTACGACAAGCATAGTTGTCTTTTACGGCAAGCATTGGTTGCTGAAGACCTATTTTACCCCGGATCTTCACGGGTCTTATCTTGACACTACTGGGTCCAGCTCTCTTGTCGATAAACATACATACATACATACTTACTGTTGTTAGTTTGTTTGTTGTTTAACGCCGCAATATTTCAGCTACATGACGGCGATCTGTAAATAATCGAGATTGGACCGCCACGTTTATTGTCATTTATTGACAAAAGGAGCATCGATCTACGCAATTGGGCTACTGATGACATGCATCAACCAAGTCACGGTGCCTGACCACCCGATGCCCGATATGCGTCACATACTTACTGGTTAAATGGAGACGAATATCCAGGAAATACGATGTCATTTTGAAAGGAATGTCGCGCTAATGCTGTGCCTCCGCACATGGCTGAAACAATAAATATCACTGATTGTTTATAACGAACGAATGGATAAGCAATATCCCTCCCCACCGCTCCGCTCCACGTCATGGAACAATGGAATAACCGTTCTGGAAACACGACAATGACAATATTCTGGGAAGCCCGCATGCATTTTCAGCCTGTCTATATGGCATACCGTCTATGTTCTAATGCCACGTACACCTGTGAAATAACTGGAATACTGTTCAAAGCGGTGTTAAGCCCAATTCACCACTCACTCATTCTAACGTCATTCTAACGTTCTGACGAAACTGCGTAACTCAACTCCACTTTGAGCGCTTCACGAAGCTGAAGATATATTATCCATCATCAATAACATTCAACAAATTTGAAATCACCTTCATCAACAACTGATATTTCTTGTTGTTGACTTGTCGTTGTGTGTGTTTGAGACGGGTGCCACCGCTGAGACAGGATACGCTCAGCTTATTGCGAACATCTGGTATCATTTTGATAGGGAAAAAAGCGTAAATAATCAACGTTATGTTAATTGACAACAATGTAAAATACCGTCTCTGTAATCTGCTCTGAACCCCTTGCGTCCGCTGCTGTTGTCTTTGCTCACAAACACCACATAGAGTTCTTGTACCAGGCTACGGAACTTGGGTCGTTCAGAACCGCACCATTTTCCAAGTAAAGGCCCTTGTTCCGAGTTTCCTAGACGTAGAGAAACAAATGATCTATTCTGATATGCTGATTGGTACCTTTGCTCCCAGAAAAATAAGTAATTGTATGTGAAAGAAACACAAGAGAAATGGCATTCCCAATACCTCCCACCACCCTCGCTCTTCCGTCAATCGTTTATATTTACCAATCATAATGGGAGGGCGTGGTTTGCTTAACGTGGAGGCTCTTCTTGATATAATTGTAATGTGCACTTTTGCACATATTTATTTGTCTGATGATCCTCGTGTGAATCATGTAAAGACTCATAATGAAAACGAGGGAATTCCACAGTTTCCTTAAACGAACCAAGGATGTGGGACAAAATCTCAATGTCAGTGTTGATTTTGCTGATGGTTATGTACTGCTGGGCGGTACAAAAATGAGTGTCAACCAAGCGAAGTGCCATATCAAATCGGCCCAGACTCAGTTTTTTCAGGGAGAGGCGATCTGAACGACCACTGCATCGCGTTTATATGCAGTGTGTTAAGAAGATCAGCAACCCCGCAGAGTCCTCCGCTTGGATGAAGTCGGCTGGCCTGAAAAGTAAAACATAAGGCTTTCTGTTTGCTGCTCGGGACCAGTCACTTCCCACTCGAAACCGTCATTTTGTGATTAAGGATCAAAATGTAAATATGAAATGTAGAATGTGCAATACATTTAATGAGACTGCCCAACACATTGTCAGTGGAAGCCCAGCTTTGGCACAAACACAATATCTCAAGCGACACGATGGAGCGGCCCAAGGATTTTATTACCGTCTTCGCCATGCTTTTGGTTTTGACACAGAGGTCCATCCATGGTACAACCCAGAATAAGTTGAGGGCGTCATGGAAAATGCTAAATACAAAATTCTTTGGAATAGGCCCGTATACAGCATCAGACCTAGCCAGGCCAACAAACCTGATCTTGACCTTTAAGATAAATCCAATAAAATCATTTATATTGTTGAATTTTCTGTCCCTTTTGACACTAATGTCATTGACAAGATTCAGGAAAAACATGGGAAATATGCAGACCTCGCTTTCGAAATGTCACGCTTGCATCCCAAGTACCAAGTTGTCCGATTATAATAATAATAATAATAATAATTATAATTATAATAATGTGTTATTGTATTATTTTATTCCAACGGTCACAATATTGAAAAAAACATTTTCTAAAATTGAGCTCATCGTCTTTCAGCATCTTCACTGTCATGCAAATATGACTGATTAAATATACAATCATTTTACAATACTGATTTACTTACCATCATAGACCATGACGTATTCATCTCGACAGTCAGCGCTCAGCTCAGACAGTATGACCTTCAGCTCAGTATTGTGGTTGGCTGTACGAGTCCTTATGAGGTACGTGCATCTCTGAAAACTACAAGCCTGACCGTTGTATCCTGATGGAGTTGACATCTGAATGCCCTGATCCAAATCCAAACCGATATCTACTTCATGATGTACCTAGCTGGCGCATGCTTTCCCATGAAACACAATCTATAAGGAAAATACTACATGACGGCGCGTCGCTCTGTGTACCGCCAAGTCAAGATGACAATCATTTATAGGAAACAGCACAGAGATACGGTTACCGCAGGTATGTTCACAACCTTTGACCAACACATTGCTGCGCACACCAATATTCTTTGACTTGCATATGTATTTAAAGGTATTACTAAATAAAGTAGTTTGTTATATTAGTGAATAGATGATAGTTATCTGGGATATGGCTAAATATAGTTGACTTGGATATAGTTGAGAATAATTACCTGACACGCAGATGGACAGAGTTACCTGGGATGTTTGCCGTAAGAGGCGACTAACGGGATCGGGTGGTCAGGCACGCTGACTTTGTTTGATGTATGTCATCGTATCCCAATTGCTAGATGCTCAAGATGTCAATCGCTGGGTTTTCGGGTCCAGACTCAATTAGTGAGAGATCGCCGTGTGGCGTTAAACAACAAACAAACAAAACCTGGGATATGGTTGTGGATAGTTACCTGGGATATGGGTCTGGATAGTTACCTGGGATATGGGTCTGGATAGTTACCTGGGATATGGTTGTGGATAGTTACCTGGGATATGGTTGTGGATAGTTACCTGGGATATGGGTCTGGATAGTTACCTGGGATATGGGTCTGGATAGTTACCTGGGATATGGGTCTGGATAGTTACCTGGGATATGGTTGTGGATAGTTACCTGGGATGTGGTTGTGGATAGTTACCTGGGATGTGGTTGAAGATAGTTACCTGGGATGTGGTTGTGGATAGTTACCTGGGATATGGTTGTGGATAGTTACCTGGGATGTGGTTGTGGATAGTTACCTGGGATGTGGTTGTGGATAGTTACCTGGGGTATGGGTCTGGATAGTTACCTGACATATGGTTGTGGATAGTTACCTGGGATATGGATCTGGATAGTTAACTGGGATATGGTTGTGGATAGTTACCTGGGATATGGTTGTGGATAGTTACCTGGGATATGGTTGTGGATAGTTACCTGGGATGTGGTTGTGGATAGTTACCTGGGATGTTTGTTGTGGATAGTTACCTGGGATGTGGTTGTGGATAGTTACCTTGGATGTTTGTTTTGGATAGTTACCTGGGATGTGGTTGTGGATAGTTAACTGGGATATTGTTGTGGATAGTTACCTGGGATATGGGTCTCGATAGTTACCTGGCATATGGTTGTGGATAGTTACCTGGGATATGGGTCTGGATAGTTAACTGGGATGTGGTTGTGGATAGTTACCTGGGATATGGGTCTGGATAGTTAACTGGAATATGGTTTTGGATAGTTACCTGGGATATGGGTCTGGATAGTTAACTGTGATATGGTTGTGGATAGTTACCTGGGATATGGGTCTGGATATCTAGGTGAATGAATGGCACTAGTGTTGTAGTTATGTGAATCCAACCTCTCATGGCAGGATGTTTCTGAATCGAAAACAGAGGCCGATCATGCATTTTTATTTACATCTTAAAGCTCTGTTTAACACGTAACGATCCGGGTTAGAATAGGGTTTCAGCAACCCATGCTTGTCGTGAGCGGCGACTAACGTGATCGGGTGATCAGGTTCGCTGACTTGGTTGATGCATGCCATCGTGTCCAAATTGCAAAGATCGATGTTCATGATGTCATGATGTCACAAAAGTGTAGCATCGTATGGCAGTGGGCTGGCGCGAAAAAAAATGCATGAGTCCGGACTAGTAGATGCATTCTAAAACACGTGCATATACGTCGCTATATTTGTGAAATCTTTGGGATGGTGTCATCTGGTACACCATCTTAAAGCCTTGACGTACCATCAATCATCTGGTACACCATCTTAAAGTCTTGACGTACCATCAGTCATCTGGTACACAATCTTAAAGCCTTGACGTACCATCAATTATCTGGTACACCATCTTAAAGCCTTGACCTATCATCAATCATCTGGTACACCATCTTAAAGCCTTGACGTACCATCAATCATCTGGTACACCATCTTAAAGCCTTGACGTACCATCAATCATCTGGTACACCATCTTAAAGCCTTGACGTACCAACAATCATCTGGTACACCATCTTAAAGCCTTGACGTACCATCAATCATCTGGAACACCATCTTTAAGCCTTGTCTGCCCTGTGAAGGTTCAGATCCGGACTTGAATACAACCAGGAGGGACTCGATGAAGAACTCGTACTCCCTTTCAGTGTTGCCGCACAGCACCGCTAGTTTTGTATTGTTGGGTGATGTGACTGTTGACAAAGGGTAGGACATGCATATAGTACTCCCTGGTCCCTTGGTGTAAGCTGAGGCACTTTCAATATGATTAAAATGGTAATGGATTCTTCACCAACACTGACAGAAATCGTTTGTAAAGTTTGTTAACTTAGTTGGTGAACTTTACTGTCCACTCAGACACTAACATGTTAGTAGACTTTACAAATCAGTTAGTATTTATTTTACTAGATGGCCTATCGTCACTAGCTGAAAGAAAGTTCAGTAGTAATGAGATATTTTGTTATTATCAGCAACCTGTATGAGGGAAATACTGTTAGGCATACAGCAACAACATATTTATTAACACAAAGATTTTTGTACCTCGGTGAGATTCCAACCTGCAACCTCTTTATTTGGATAGTAAAGTCGCTGTTCACTAACCTTCTGGTCGCTGTGACTAATTAAGTTAGTAGAATTTACTAGACTTTTTTTCAGTGAAGGTCAATGTTCAACTTTTCTGGTAAACTGAGAACTTACTTATTTTATATTGGATCGAAGCATTTTCCTATTATCCCCTTGTTATTCATTAGGCTTAATGTCAGTCACATGTCTAGCCAGTTCTAAAGTTTCTTGATGGGTCAGCAAGACATGCTCAGCCTTTTCGCAAAAACTTCGTGTTGTCACTGATTTTCAGTCATCAAATTATATCATTTTCACCATTATCTTGCCTTTTACACCCACTGGAATCGCTATCGGCGGATAATCGAAACCGGATTTTTCTGGCGTTGAAGGTTGTTTTTTTATAGAAAATCTAAATTGTATATTTTATTCGTGCACATGCATGTCATGTGATCTTGCGAATTTTTAACCTTTGGCAAATGATGTTCATTGAACTTACTCGAAAACGTGCCGAGTAACTTACGAAGTCATTAAAGCGTGTGACTTCCTATCGGATTGATTATGACAGAATGTCAATCAATATAAAAATCCACGTTGCCATACTTACAAGGATGCACTGTCACAGATTCTCCTGAACAATCTGTAGAATTTTCTATGTCCACGATAAATTGCACTTTTATTGTTTTCTTCTGGTGAAACATTCTCCCTGCACGCAACTCCCACGTGCATTCTTTATTCCTGGAAGACAAGGACATATGATAACCATATTCGTCTATGCATCTCCGTTGGGAGATCAATATGTTTCAATTGGAGTTGGTATGGCTGCTGGTATGAATGGTATGTATGCTGGTATGAATGGTATGTCTGCTGGTATGATTTATGTCTACTGGTATGATTGGTATGTGTGCTGGTAGGAATGGTATGCCTGCTGGTATGATTGGTATCTCTGCTTGTGTGATTGGTATGTATGCTGGTATGATTGGTATGTATGCTGGTATGATTGGTATGTATGCTGGTATGATCGGTATGTCTGCTGGTATAATTGGCATTCATGCTGGTATGAATGGTATGGCTGCTGGTATGAATGATATGTATGCTGGTATGAATGGTATGGCTGGTGGTATGATTGGTATCTGCTGGTATGATTGGTATGTATGCTGGTATGAATGGTATGGCTGCTGGTATGAATGGTATGTATGCTTGTTTGATTGGTATGGCTGCTGGTATGATTGGTATGTATGCGAGTATAATTGGTATGTGTACTGGTAAGATTGGTATGTCCGGTGGTATGATTTTGTTGTAATCACTGCGCAACTCGGACTATAAAAAATGTTTGTTTGTTGTTTAACGCCGCACTGAATACCTACAAAAGAATGAGGCTGAAACAACAAGGGCGATAAGAATCAGACCGACAGTCAAACCAGTGATTGATAGCATACAGAGGCAAACCCCGTTAATCTGGATGGTACCGTCCCCAGTCATACCGGATCGACGTTATTATTTATTGTTGTATTCATGCAGTCATTCATTAGCGCCCCACTCAGCAATATTCAAGCTATACAAAGGCGGTTTGTATATTTTTTTTAATCTGGACCAGATAATCCAGCTATTGACATCATGGCCACCCGTGAACCCCTGCCTCTGGATCCGCACTTGCGTGTACGTACAAACCGAGCACCAGTCTGTACTTACCTGTACAAAAGGGGTGTGGTTAGACTACTTACGGTTCATATCCGGACGGGTAACCTGCTGATCTGATGGCTACTTACGGTTCATATCCGGACGGGTAACCTGCTGATCTGATGGCTACTTACGGTTCATATCCGGACGGGTAACCTGCTGATCTGATGGCTTTTTTCGCCAGGTCTGCCACGGCAACCACGGTTTTGCAGTCATTATCTGCGAGGTACAAACAATATAGTTACCATGGTGACGAAGTCATGGTATAACCAAATATAACGATAATAGGTCACAGCACCATGACCGCTGTCATAGATTTGACACAGTGATTGACGCTTGTTACCTGTGATAATCTCTCACACAAGAATCAAGACAAGACTCAACGCTCTCACATAATTCTATTCCAAGCTACCATGAACCCAAGTCACACGCTGACTCACCCGTGGGCTTGAAACCCCTCTCGTTTATGTATATTCAGCTCTTGTTCCGCCAATATCATCAGCTTGCTATCAACTATGGTTAACATTTCTCAGTGTGATTATGACAAATAATTTTCATTTCATGAGAACGATTGGAGAAAGACATGATACAGTTTCAGTCCCTGCAACAAGACAGACATTTTCTCATTGAAAGAAGGAGTCTAAAACTTCGTCTTTTTTCACACGTTTTTTCACATCCAGCATGTAATGCGAGCAAGTTTACATTTTTCAAGTATATATTCTTTTTAAAAAAAATTCTTTTCAATAACAATTTTCCGGATTTAGGGATAACGGTTGAGGAATGTCACACTGCATACATGACAGCATTGGCAAGCAGTGTTCGTACGGAATGTAAAGTTTCCGGATTAACGGGGTTTCGTTATATGTTTATCTCATCATAAACAACTTTTTGTTTTGTTTACTTATTAACACAAATTCATGATTGGCTGATCAGGAAATGAGCAAACTGCAAGTGATTACAAGACAAGTGATTGACTAACCAAGCAACTTGGTTTGCTTTTTTCATAAACCGAAAAGAACGCCCAATAACGGAGTACCGATACCTGATCAGCTGATGATAGAATGGGCGGGGCATTATTGCGCTGAATGATGTCACTGGTTTCGTATTGCATATAGTGGTTTTGTGTTAATGATTAAATATGTTGTCTGTGAAGTTATTATTGACGTGTTTATACATAAAAATTGACTTGATTGCTATATTTTTGCGTTTATGGAGTTTTAAACGTGAATAAACGTTAACGGCGGCGGACACACTTTGCTAAAATCCGCCATGCAGATATACCGCACGAACCGGTTTAATGTTTATTTACGTAAAGTAAACAGACAGCTTCTTTGATGATATTACCCGCTAAATAGTTACCCTTCATTCAATAATGATGACTCACTGAATACAATCCGATCTCGGCAATTTCGGACAAGTCCATTCTATGAACAAGGGGTGGGGAGTGGGGGAGTGTAGGGTGGGGGTGGGTACGCTTGGTATATCGTGGATATTCTCACAAACGTCCGAAGAATAACTATTGACAACCTTTATCTGTAAAACTTTTATCCAATTATAAATTGCCATATCTCGCCCACTTTTGGGTGCGATCGATGGGTCAGTGTGTTTATCTGCGTTGCCAAGCTACATCTTTCTATCCTCTCAATAAACATAGCGTCGTCCAATTTGCGAGCGTTTGTTCGAATCTCCAGAAATGAAAGAACACTTTTGAATTGTGAAATATATAACACTCCTAGCTCTTTCTTCGTTGTCCTTTGCGATTTATCACATAGCTATTTTGTATATCTCCACAAGCGCAATCAGGTCAATTCTAAAAAAACAAACATTTACCAATCCTATTTAACTAGGAGCGGCGCGGTGTGCTGTAGTATAAATTAGTCGACAAACCTGCTTTCCCTCCAGAGTCTACATAAAAACAAGAGCAGCACATCACGTCTGGTGGGTAGACATTATTTTAGGGGTTGTTGTCATACACTGACACCGACGCGCTTGACTTCTATAGATCGAATATATAACGTTACACCACAAGGAGCACAACAGTACTTTTGCTTATATCAGAACTTACATAGCCAAACATAGAATTGTATTTGCTTTGCTATATTGTTTTTGTACACAAGCCATGAGAATTGTGCTTATTTGATCAACAACCAAAGCTTACCTGTAGCAGGTTGACCTAGTATTCGCGTCCACAGAAACAATGTTGGTATCAAAACAGCCAGTTGTTGAGATCGCCGTGTTGTCTTTTTGAACATGCTTGTTGATATTCCCTTGCCACAAATCTTGTAACGAATAAGAACATGTCCGGGAACTCGAAACAGACTGTCGTATGGAGTGACCCCCTTCTCCAGGTGTGCAGTGAAGCGGTAAGGTACATAGGTGCAGAGGCAAAACAGTGACCCGTCAAATTATGTTAGCTTTCAGGAACACAATACAGAGCGTTAGGCCATCCATATAATTGCGTTTGTTTGTCATCTCGGTCGGTCGGTCGGATGAAAATAAATTATTTTGAATACACAAATTTAAAGAAAATTAAAGAAACTACTTTTTAGTTGACAAAACAGCTGATTTGTTGTTTGCTGTTTGAGATGTGTACACCAATTGTTCATATTTTGACCCCCTATTGTATTCCATATTTTTTAGTGAGTGAGTGAGTGAGTATGGTTTTACGCCGCTTTTAGCAGTATCCCAGCAATATCACGGCGGGGGACGACAGAAATGGGCTTCACACATTGTACCCATGTCGGGAATCGAACCCGGGTCTTCGGCGTGAGGAGCGAACGCTTTAACCACCAGGCTACCCGACCGCCCCCCATATATTTTTTTTTTTTTTTTTTTTTTTTTTTAAATGCAATGGATAGGGTATCAAGCTTTCTCGGTGGGAAAAGAAGGGCTTAAAAGAAAGGGAGAAGGACGCGATAGGGCTACTTCCTTCAAATAACCTCACGGAAAATACAGCGAGGATTTTCTTTACTTAATTTGAAATTCACTATTTCCATGGTGGGATGATACATATTCAAGCGGGGTGGGGTGTGGCTGGGCTGATCGATTGATTTATTTTTAAATTTATTTTATGCGCGCGGAGGTAATATAGGATGAGATGAGAGTGAGTGAGTTGGATTTAACGCCGCTTTTAACAGTATTCCAGTTATATCCCTGCGTGTCAGCTTAATGTGGGAGGAAACCCGAAGTGATGCAGGTCTCAGACGTGATGCAGGTCTGAGGTGAAACCCACGAGCACGGGTATGGTGCTGACAAACCTAGAAACATAATCGGGGCGAACCGGGATTCGAACCCACAACCATAGGTTTCTGGGTGCCCAAGAGACGCAACTCTGCACAGCGAATCGCGGCGCCTTAGACGACTGGGCCACCCGTGCCCCCGGATGAGATGAGAAACTCAAAAACACGGATTATAGTATTTTAGTATGTTTAGCCACTGATGTCAGGGACCTTATAACACTTGGCCCATGCCGTTTTAATACTGATAGTTAAACACACAGACATAACATATACGAACAATAACTACAATAGAATGAAACTGAAACAACCCGGTCTACGTGTATCACACCGACCTAAAACTGTCGCGCCAGGTCTGTAAATAATCGAGACTGGACCAGACAATCCAGTGACTGCCATAATGAGCATCGATCCACACACTTGGGATACCATGACACGCATCAACAAAGTCAGCGATCAAGTCCAGCGATCCTGGCCTCTTACGACAAGCATAGTCGCCTCGTATGACAAACATGGGTTGCTGTCGATAGCATACCTAATTAAGCCCCCATTAATTATGGTGGCCGAGAGGGGACATTGCTCTAAAGCGAGAAAGCGAGAAAGCGATGTCCCCTCTCGGCCACCATAATTAATCCTTCATACTCCGCAATATCCGTCAAATCTGCCAATGCAAGTAAGTGTGTCCCCTCTCGGCCTCTCATGATCATAGATTTGTTTCCTAAACCAAATACCACAAGAAAGGCGAAATCTTTCAGAAATAGAGCGAAAACTTCAATTTCCTGTACATCTGTCGATTTTAATGGAAATGAGAAAAACGATCTGGCCCGTTCGTAGCATGAGAAGGATTTCTCCAAGAAAAATGTTAATGTAGAAGAGTAGACCACCTGAAAACAGTCCGAAACACTGCAAACGTGAGGTCCAAAATAACTGTGATACCCGTTTCAAATACATCACCATCGAATATTCATGAAACATGGTTGTATATGTTCTTTTGCCCGGCGGTATAATAACGGCGAGGGGGTGGGATGCGTGCTCGGGGAGGAGTAGGGGTTGAAGGGCGGGGCGGGGCGCTGTGGGTAACGATGGAAGATCAGGGTCCACTTGCACAAAGCGATCTTAGCGCTACAATTATTGTAAATCCTTAAGATCGCGATCTTAGGCTTACGCTACAATTGTCATCCACTTGCACAAAGCGATTGTAGGTTAAGATCATTGTAAGCTACAATCGAAACTTACAATTGGTCCAGACCAATCTTAAGTAGCTAAGATCGTTGTAGTCCCTGACAAAATGGCGTGCAAGACAGGGCCAGTTTCACATTAATAATCTGCTTTACGATCAAACACTGCCTATTTATTTCGTTAGATTTTATGATTCGAATTGACACTTCAACAACACGAAGACCGCACCACAGATTTAACGTCAAAAATATCGTTAATTGCGATAGTGAACCACATAACTATCGAGTCGATAGTTAAAAGTACTATTCCCACCCGTGTCAATGCTGAAAGAAGTCTAAAACAACATACCTTATCAAGGGAAGGATAAAACCTAAGTCGTCTGTAAGCGATTTGTAACGTCCGTGACCTTTAAGATAAATCAAGGGCAGCTAATCATAGTTTATATTCTAGATGGGAGTGGTTTCCCTTTGTATAAGTATCGTAGAATCTTCCTTGCCCAGTTAGTGTATTAATGTTGTAGAACCGCCGAGCTCCCCTTGTATATCTTTTGGGTCACATTCGTGTCAGTTATTTTGTCTTTAGTTTATCATTAAATAATCTACAAGTAAACACAAGTTGAAGTGCAAAATCATACGTTTATATCCAAAATCGAGTGGGACAGTCACGAGCGGTTGTAATATCTGAATTTATAAGAAACTAATACAAATATTCACCAAACAAGCAAATACACATGATGAGACATTTGAAATTTGTGTAAAATATCCCATAAATAGCAAAAGTAAAATTCACACTTTTTAAAAAATATAATTAATACCAAATGAATATATATTAAACAACTTCTTTCTTGAAACATTATTCTTATTTCCCGTACATGCATTCTTGAAATCTCCCGTCTTATTGTGTTTTGAAAAGGTTGTCATAACATCCTTTGTAATAGCGGCAAAACTAAAACATGAAGGATATACATGTATTTAGGATTTTACGGAAAGCTCCCCCAAATAGATGACGATCATACATTTACCTGTTATGTTATTTGGACATAGAGATCTATTATTATTTTCTTTTTTTACTTTCATAATAAGAATGTCACTAAATCTATATGCCAACATTCTAATTATAGTTTCCTTCAAATAGTTGAGACCTTTCAACTGTGCAAGGTGCGTCGAGGGAGGTACGTGTTGTATGTCGTAACCGGTTCTACACGTTGTATGCGCAGCAAGATTTGCGCGTTTGCAGACAACCATAGACAGGAGTCTAGTTTAAGATATTTGTACCTCCACCATTGAAGATTTCAATCTTAGTTAAGATCGCGATCTTAAATCCAAGCCGTCTTACAATCGCGTTAAGATCGGTTTGTGCAAGTGGAATAGGACAATTGTAGGGTGATTATAAAGTTGATTGTAGCCGCCTAAGATCGATTGTAACTAAGATTGTTCTGTGCAAGTGGGCCCAGGTGGTCCCGTCGCTTTCACGACCATTACCATAAGGTAACGTAACGTAAGGTAACTGAAAATCAAAGGCATTGGCTATCGGGTTGTATTTGTGGAACGTTCTGTTTCCGTCGTCTTTGTTTTTTCATTCATTTACCGAAAAGTGTCCGGACGTTTTCCATTAATCTTGTATCTTATTGTAACCTTTTGGAATGCATGATATATACTATTTATTACTTGCCCGTGAAGAGATCACCCGTTTAATAAACATACAGCTGTATTACACATTGTGTAATACCAAAACGCGTGCTTATGTACTCTCGGAACACGTTTTACGAACAATTGTAGCACGGGTTGCAAGCGGTACCTTTGATCCTACCCGTGCTGTATCATGGTAGTAAGAGCACGGTTTGTTAAAGATTATTACCATTGGCTGATGCCAAGATCAGCAAGCCCCGCCTACTGGCTTGAGAAATTTCAAACTAACGACAATGTTTCTTCAGTGTTGTACAGTGTTCAAGAGTAATAACGTAAATCAACCAAAAAACAATAGAAATGTTTAAAACTTTATTAAAAGATTACAATGTAACTGTCAAACATAAAAACAACTGGACACAGAACGCATTTTGCTAAATTCGGAAAATTAATAGTTGAAATTTCTAATGTGCCTTTGAAAATTCCAAAGGTTACACTTGATTTAACAATTAGATTAAAAGTTAAAAACGTTTCGAAGACAGAAAGCATGTGACGTCATATTTCGTTGTTTGGGCAGTAAGAGCACGGATTGGCATGGCATTTGATTGACAGACAAAAGGATCACCTCGGGGCTCCGCCCCTCGGTCCTTTTGTCTGTCAATCAAATGCCATGCCAAACCGTGCTCTTACTGCCCAAACAACTCGTCTTGGTGTGTTGTAACTATAACATTTTGAAAGCTCTCGACATCCCTTGGCTTATTCAACGACATTGCGGGTGGAGATGATAGATCACTCAGAGGAGCTTATGCACACTCGATGACCCCCAGCAACCTTGTTGCTAGGCTGACGTCACATGGCATTGTTTCGCCGATGGATCTTGCAACAAAATTTCACAAATTACGTCATCGGGTACATGGGACGTGATTGTAAACTTTGAGGTGCAAGGCCCCGTTCCACAAGGCGATCGTACTGTAGCGCAACCACAGTCGTTGGTCTAAGTTAAAGTATGTGAGTTGCGATAACCTTAACGCTACGATAATTTTGTGGAACGGACGCCTGAATTCTAAAGGTGGACCGTTGTATGGTATTAAATTCATATACGTTTCAACTTTTGACGTGTTTTAAGTATTACTGTGTTAAACTCAGTTGGATTATGCCGTGGATCGTGTAGGTGTCATCCTTTTCACACTCAACAGTATAATTCTAAAAACGTTATAAATGGCCAGTAATAAATAAAATACTTAACTCGCTCCCGTGTAAAACCAATTTTATGAAACTCGTGAATAGTTGTGGTATCTGACTCGCTTTCGCTCGTCAGATACTAGAACTATTCACTCGTTTCATTAAATTGGTATTACACGGCAGCTCGTTTAGTATTCTATATATCTAGTAGGTACGTCTTGTGGTGTAATGTACCACACCTTGTTTCAAATGTTCCAGAGCCGCTGAGATGGTGGTTGTTCGCTCTTTCCTAGCCATCCCTACATACATCTCATAAATACCCTAATGTTTCGATCCACTTTTAGATCTTATGTATTACTTGCTGATAATATAAGCAGTGCATCTTTGATATGTGAGATGGCAACACACGTCCGACACTACGTTGCTTATCACATAAAGCCATACAATAACATGAATATCTGCTATTTCTTAGCCAATAATGTTTTTTTAAGTTGTCTTCTTATTATTAGGAAACAAACAGATCAAATGCTTTTATTTATGATTTTACCGTTCTAGACTCGGGCCAATTAACAAAGTTTATTCAAGCCATTTCAAAATACATTGTGTTTTACATAAATCTAAGAAATCATGATTATGTAGATACATTGTTATGTTAGTAAGACCAGCTAATTACAACGTCCAGACATCTCTTGGAAACTGGCGAAAGGTCGTAACCCCTTTCAAGTCGTCTTAAAGCCCCGTTACACTATCAAAAACTTTGATCAAAAACTTGGTCAAAGTCCATTTTGACCAAGTTTTTTTATAGTGTAACATGCCGTCAAAAACTTTAACAAAGTTTATGACGGGAGTTTGATGGAATAGAAACTGATCCTTTATCTCGTCAAATTTTGATCAAAGCTTGATTTCGTTGATGTAATTTAGCCAATCAGACTGCAAGGAACATTTACCCCTTTTCAACCGGAAGTGCATAGAGTCCAACTATTTTGGACTGACGAGATGTTGGAAGAATTAATTGATTTGTTTCAACAAAGAGCAGCCATTCTCGGGACCAAATATGCCTTTGCCTACCCCGGCGCCGTCTTCTCTCAACGTGGTAATACACAAAAAACATATGAGCAAACAAGTAGCAGTAGCATCCACCTTGGAAAGATAATTCCCGCCAAAACTTTGACAGCCTGTCAAAAACTTTGATGAGTGTAAACAGTCCAACTTGGACCAAGAAAACTTGGTCAAAGTTTTCTTTGACCAAGCTTTTTATCAATGTTTTTGATAGTGTAACGGGGGCTTTAGTCGTTTTAGACTACTTACATCAACAAGTGTCAAATCAGTATTGACGTGCTGCATATTTCCAGCAGGTGTTCGGGAGATTTGTCACGTGCAGTCATGGTTATGGGTCAATCAGGGCTGACTTCCGTTGCACGAGTTTTTAATGCGCGTTCATTCCCGACTGAAGGGAAGCCGAAGACAGTGTGGCGTTTTAAACAACTACACTGGTCCATGAAAACACTTTAACCAAAGGACAGGGGCACACGAGGTTTTTGCTACACATGGTGTTGAAAACATGGACCTAATTGTTTTCATTTAACATACATGCAATGTCATGCATAGTGATTAGTGACGGCATTTTTAATGTAATTCGTTTAATATGGAGGATGTTATTCAAATCTCATTTTTGGCAAAGGAGAACTGCTGAAGACGACCTCTGAAAATTAGGAACATCGTAAATTTCATTATTTTTGACACATTACTACGTCACCATTCGCGTTGTTATTTAGTGCATGTTTTGAAATCAAAATATTGAATATTTACTCGTAGAATTGAATTTCAAAAATAACATATCGGTGATTTCGGGTATTTGTTGTTGCTTTTATTAAATAACCAATGATGATTGTGAAACGCCGCCGATACCCTACATTCGTTTAGAATGTTTTGGAAAATACGCAAACACGATCGCTAGGGTAACTTTGAGCAATATTGGACACTGTTTAAAAAATCACATTGAGCTGCGATACATACATCCCATACATTTTAGAATCAAATGATACATGGTCCTTATCACCTCTACAAACCGTTCTAGATGAACTCAAGCGAAATAAATTAAGTGTAAAAACGAACGATGTGGTCGGAAAACTGCACTTGTTTAATATGTATTCAGATTTTCTCCTATTTTCAGAGATACAATTCCTCTATATTTTTAGAATATGCATGGGAATAGTGTCCTAGCCAAAAATAGGATATTATGAAAATAGAAACATTACAATATTTTGGTAAATTCAACAGAAATTGTCAACGAGCAAAATAAATGTTACCAACCAACATTGTTTGTTCCTAAAACAAAACAGGACCAATGTCATGGTAGATACTTGTATTGTCAAAAGACATGAATTAACAACGTCATTACAAGTTATGCCACGAGAATCCAGTTGGCCTAAATTGTACCCTATTGCAGTTTGTGAGGATGGCGGATTTGTTTTGGTTGGGATATGCATGAATGGGGGCTGTTGTAAGGGCTTGCTTTTCTTTTCTATTGCCTGTTGGCAATTGTTGGAGCATTCGATGCCAGAAACGTTTGCTACATATTTGCGATAATACGATGCCAAACCTAAGAAATGACGCACGTCATGGACATTTTTAGGGGTGGGATCTGTGTGACTGAATCTATTTTTGAATGATCAACATGGATGCCATGTTTGCTGAAGATATACCCTAGGTAGGTGACTTGTTTTGCCGCGAATTTACATGTGCTTAGTTTTAGAGTGAGCCCTGCTTCTTTGATCTTTTGTAATACTGGCTTGGGGTGATTCAAATGTTCTGAAAACGTTTTAGAAAATATTACGATATTCTTAATATGTAACGCCAATTCATTTTTTTTAGTGCCTGAAATATCATAGCTGCATTTTGAGGCCTAAAGGGAGGCGACTCCATTCAAAAACACCATTAGGTGTAAAGAAGGCCGACTTGTGTTTTGTATCTAGCACAAGCAATGACAAAATGTTGGCATGGCTGTCGCCTCTATATAGCATCAACGTCATCTTCAAAACATGGTAGAGGGGGAAATATAGGCTTGAGCTGAATGATATTGGCTTTTGGCATTTCTTGCACCTATTTGGAATATTCTTTTGTAATGGCTGCGTTTTGCTTATAAAGAGGGAGTCTGATGGGTCTGGCGTCACCTGTTTCTAATTTGTGATGATGTACGTGAACATCTCCTAATCCTGACCAATCTGAGGAAAAAACTGATCTTTGTGATTGGAGAAATGCATGTTACTGTATATTGTGCTTTCAATATTGTCACTATTTTAAAAACGCTTTTGAGAACAAAAGCTCCACTATGTTCAGGGTTATCGTTTTAATGCAAACCACTTCAATAGGTTTCTTTAAAACTTCATTTATCCCAAATACCTAATTCTTTCAATATGTTTCACAGAAGTGCACAGAAATTCTGTCTCCTTTTTATGTTTAATGTATACAGCAAACAATCAGCGTCTCCCATCTAATCATATGCCCCCTTTGGGCGGGACCCTTAATCCCCAGCGTTATCTATAATAGGCAATTATAACGCCTCCTTACGTCGCGGGATCTTACGCATGGTCTTTTAGTGTATAAAAATGCTTTATTATACTGCTATTTTCATTGTTCTGTTTTCAACTACTCCTGTACAGTTATAATGTTTTAGTGAACAGTGAGAAAATGTTAACATTTTTTCCATATGTTGAATTTGAAATGTGCCATACAAAAATCTCAGCTCTCACTTAAGAAGATACAAAATCTCAGCCCCTAAAATGAAGAAGAAAAGACTCCATCCCCAAAAATGACGTCTCTCGGTCATGTTCCAGGCGTCCCAGAAACCAACCAATGAGAAGGTCGGGTTTTCGTCCAATCAGGAAACAGGGATTCAGTGCCTCTCCTTTAAAATAGCGAAGAGCGGATGCTCGTGAGGAGACCGGGATTCTGGTGACTGATAGTACGTACGGGTGCTTGTGGGCCCACATCTGATTATAAATACTTTAAAAAAAAGACTAGCCTCGTTTGAGGCGTGGCCGATACAGATGAACCAGATTGCTGAAGAGATGGCCCACGCGGGCTTCGTGTACACGAAGAGTGCCGATGGCGTTTACTGTTTCCAATGCGGCGTGCGGCCGAGAAGATGGGCGCCCCTCGACAATACTTGGGTGGAACACCACAAGTGGTCTCCTCACTGCGCCTACCTCAAGCTGACCAGGCTGGTGAGACACAAGAAGAACGTGACGACTACATTCTTGCACTATCTGTGCGAGGATGTGGATCAGTGCAGCAAGAATGAGAAAGCTTCCCCTCCTTCCTAGGATGGAGTTTCCGTTTCCGTCCCGTACCCGTTCCATTTTTTTGGTGGATTTTATTCTTCTCCAAACGGCCCTTTTCAGGGCCACCCAACTCTCCCGAAAGAACACTTTGACCATTGCTTTGCCAAACACAAACAAACAAACTATCCCCAAAAGAACCCCTCCCCCGTCGCCATCTTGGAGGCTTCAAGCTGTCAGTGAACCATGTACAAATTATTTCACAGGGAACTTCTTTGCCACCGCACCGGTACACTTACTGAACGTTACCCAGGTCAGGCCGTCACAGCTTACATGGCTTACGATTATGCTTCCTTTTCACCGGAAACAGGCATTTGTTAATAAGTTAATGGCATGTCAGTGCCAACACTTGAGTTAAAAATGCAGTCACATCGACCACAACTACTGGACATTGTTGTGACAGCAACAGTTTTTCTCTGTACGCGAATACTGGGTCAATCTGCAGGTACGTTGGACTTGGGCAGATTTCTTATTCGTTAAGCTGACATGCACACATCATAAATACATTGTAGCCAAGAAGTTTTTTTATTTTGTTTATGTCAACAAACAATGATAAATATATTTGCAGAAATTAGTACAACTGTACTCGTTGACTGTTCCAAAGCTAAATAAGTATAGGTGTTAGTATGATAACAGCCCCTGAAATAGTATCCCCCCATGCTGATTATAATACCAGGCGAGAGAACTTTCTATTTAGACACATATGACTAATTGTTCATTCAAAAGGCATAGCATTTTTCTATTTCCTTAATGGTGTCCTTCAATGTATTCAACCTAACTAGAAGAATATTATATACGTTGCGATGATTTTGTGGTTTCAAATAGATCTCTCCAGAGGCCAGAGCCAAGGACCCCACCCTACCCAACCCCCGAACCCACCCCACCCCACCTTTGAAAATCAAATGTGGTATGTTGTTTTGAAATTTTGGAGCCCTCCCTTTTAAACATGCCGAATCAGCCTTTTGTGGATATATGTTAAGGTTATGGACAAAAACAAACAAACTAAGTCTTCAAAAACCAGTAGCTTAAATGTGTGTATGTATGTATGTATGTATGTATGTATGTATGTATGTATGTATGTATGTATGTATGTATGTATGTATGTATGTATGTATGTATGTATGTATGTATAAACTAAAAGGAGTACAGAATTCACGACAAGTAGGGCTGGGATGAGTTCGAACTCACTACCCGGAAATCAGACTCTCTATTACCAGACCCTACCTGGGTACCCACTGTAGGTCTCAAGAGTTGGGGGTGGGGGGCGGTCGGGTAGCCTTGTGGTTAAAGCGTTCGCTCGTCACGCCCAAGACCCGGGTTTGATTCCCGACATGGGTACAATGTGTGAAGCCCATTTCTGGTGTCCCCCGCCGTGATATTGCTGGAATATTGCTAAAAGCGGCGTAAAACCATACTCACTCACTCACTCACTCAAGAGTTGGGCGCAAAATTTCTCATTGGGAATTGTTTTACTGGAAAGATTAGGAACATTAGCAACTTACAGTGTAACGTAGACATTTCTTGTATAAATATTGCCATAAAACAATATATCACGTGACTAACCACAGGTCTACATGGTCTAGGTAGTCTTGAGGGTACCCAGGACCTACTCAGGACCAGCCCGACCCGAGTACCCAGATTACTTGTCCAAGCCCTAATGACCAGGTGCATGAAAGTAATTTCACTATTGTTTTATTTGTATTGTAAATAGTGTTGATATTTGTAACGAAACATTTCCTATCAGTATGATAATATTGCATTTGTTTTGTACTTCACAGAAAGTGGCTGCAATACGGTGGTGGTCGTGTCAGACACAGCCAAACACACAGTCAAGTCAGCAGGGTACCCATTAGGGTATCAACAGTAAGATAATCGCTTGATACATCATTCTGGACCCGTGGTAGATTCCAGGGTAGAATAGGTCTTCAGCAACCCATGCTTGCCGTAAAAGGTGACTATGCTTGTCGTAAAAGGCGACTAACAGGATCAGGTGGTCAGGTTCGCTGACTTTTTGGATGCATGTCATTGATCCCAATTGCGTGGATCGATGCTCATGATGTCAATCACTGGATTGTCTGGTCCAGACTTGATTATTTACAGACCGCTGTCATATAGCTGGAATACTGCTGAGTGCGGCGTTAAACAACAAACAAACCAACCAAACCAATCTTATCTGTTACCATAAGTACCATCTCACAGGGACCAACCATTGAAATATTTGTTTTAGACTCAATGTTTTGCAAAACTAATATGATTCACAGTCGCTCTGAAAGATAATGTCTTTTGGATTAAAAGTAATTCTTTTGCTCCCCCTTCAGAGAATGCAAATGTATGTCTTGAAGACTTGACTAAAAAAGAAAAATCTCTCTCAAACCAAGTAAAAGCAGTTCTAAAACAAATATTTATTTAATTGTACTTTGTCTTTTTTAACCAATTCAAAGTACAATCTTCAATGTGTTTAAATACTTAACTGTCATGGAGTAGGTGCCTGCTTTGTAAAGTGTATCAGTTATATACCACCATAATGATGACAGCACACTTTTGTGACTGTGGGGTTCATAGGTTCTACTCTGGAATCTACAGATTCTCATGATTTCTCAACCCGTGAAGATCCGGAGTAGAATAGGCCTTCAGCAACCCATGTTTGCCGCAAAAGGCGACAAAGCTTGTCGTAAGAGGCGATTGGGTGGTCAGGCTCGCTGACATGGTTGATGCATGTCATCGATCCAAATGGCGTGGATCGATGCTCGTGATGTCAATCCCTGGATTGTCTTGTCCAGACTCAATTATTTACAGACCGCCCTCATATAGCTGGAATATTGCTGAGTGCAGCGTGAAACAGCAAACTCATTCACTCATGATTTCTCCGTTATGGAGTGTCAGCTTAATGTGGGGGGAAATGGGGGTCTCAGACCTTTACCACTGCAGTGAAACCCACGAATGTGCTGACAAACCCAACTCGAATGAAAACGTATCTGTTTAAGACAATGTCAAATGAAAGGTATTCCAGAAACTTTGAATATATCTCCCAATGCAGATGCATTGAACGTGGGTTTGTCAAAGATGTTCACCATATTTCTTTTGTCTCCCAGGAATACAGATTGCAAATGGAGGTTGGATGCAACGAGAATGTTTAACCAGAACAAAACAATAAAACTGCGATTTATCGTGGACATAGAAGATTCTTCAGATTGTTCAGGAGAATCTGTCACAGTGCATGCTTGTAAGTATGGAAATGAATTGGATTTGTTCCTTTCAAGTAAAATGCATGTTGGCTTGAAATATATATTGTTCATCTGATAAGGTGTTCTGTGATTTAGTTACTGTCATACAATACAAACATCTACATGTACAGTGTAGCTACCATCAACATATACATAATATGTAGCTACCATCTACATGTACAATATATCTACCATCTACATATACAGTGTAGCTACCATCCACATACACAGTGTAGCTACCATCCACATATACATAATATGTAGCTACCATCCACATGTACAATATATCTACCATCTACATATACAGTGTAGCTACCATCCACATATACAGTGCAGCTACCATCCACATATACAATGTAGCTACCTTCCACATACAGTGTAGCTACCATCCACATACAGTGTAGCTACCTTCCACATACAGTGTAGCTACCTTTCACATATACAATGTAACTACCATGTCCATACACAGTGCAGTTTTCATCCTCGTCATTGGTAAATAATACTGTACAATTATTGGTTCTGAAAGGCAGATTTTCAATTACCAACAATATTCCAAGTTGGTTTACAATAGCTCTTTGGAAAAAAAGCATGATATAAATCGATTGAGAAAATGAGTGAACTTGAAATTTGGTACTTTTTGGTGACGTCATATCTCTTGCATCACAGCGAGTTGTATGGCATCATGATAGTGACTAGGGAGTGAAATACTACATGTATATGTTACTCAAAGGGAGTGCCGTACTACATGTATATGTTACCCAAAGGGAGTGCCATACAACGTGTATATGTTATCCAAAGGGAGTGCCGTACTGCATGTATATGTTACCCAAAGGGAGTGCCGTACTACATGTATATGTTACCCGAAGGGAGTGCCGTACTACATGTATATGTTACCCAAAGGGAGTGCCGTACTACATGTATATGTTACCCAAAGGGAGTGCCGTACTACATGTATATGTTACCCAAAGGGAGTGCCGTACTACGTGTATATGTTACCCAAAGGGAGTGCCGTACTACATGTATATGTTACCCAAGGGGAGTGCTGTACTACGTGTATATGTTACCCAAAGGGAGTGCCGTACTACATATATATATATTACCCAAGGGGAGCGCTGTATTACATGTGTGTATAACCCTTTGTTAACAGTCACATCACCAAGGAATACAAAACTAGCGGTGCTGTGTGGCAACGTAAAGAAGAAAAGATATGAGTTCTTCATCGAGTCCCTCCTGGTTGTATTCAAGACTGGATCTAGTCCTTCACTGGGCAGACAAGGCTTTAAGATGGTGTACCAGATGATTGATGGTACGTCAAGGCTTTAAGATGGTGTACCAGATGATTGATGGTACGTCAAGGCTTTAAGATGGTGTACCAGATGATTGATGGTACGTCAAGAGAATGAGTCAGTGAGTATGGTTTTACGTTGCTTTCAGCAATATTCCAGCAATATCACTGCGAGGGACACCAGAAATGGACTTCGAACATTGTATCCATGTAGGGACTTAGAAGCGGGCCTTGGGCTACCCAACTGCCCAGGTTTTCACTAAATAGCAACGTAAATAGCAACGTTTCCACCCATGGTACATCAAGACTTTAAGATGGCATACAAGACGATAATAAGACAAGACACTAAGAAGATACCCCCTATGATTGATAATGGTAAGACAAGACTATAAGATGGTATCTCATATGATTGATGATAGTATTGATGACTTTGCGATTGGCCTACCAGACAATGATAAGACAAGACTACAAGATGATATCCCATATGATTGATGATGGTAAGATTAGACTATTAGATGATATCCCAAATGAATGTGGAAACATGCTTGAATAGTTTTCAGCATCTAAAACAAACAGTTCACCTAAACACATCCCAGCATCACCATGGTTACCATCCAACAACTGGTCCATGTACGTGATTCTGTGCACCCCGACCCTTGTGACCTGATCACATATCTGTCTCTCCCACATCTTTCTCTTTCACATTGCCTCTGTGTGAAGCCGTGTTTGTCTACAGAGAAAATTTATTTGTATTTTTTGCGGGTTTATCTATTGGGTTTGCGTTGCCTGTGTTACCTGCGTCCACTTGGAGATGGGTAAGAAAGAAAAACAGCATCCGGCTTGCATTCATTGCTGCCATAGCTTTTCAAAGCCTGACCCCACCTATGGTGTTGTGACTGTCGTGGGAAGTGCAGCTACCGTATTCGACGTAATAAGCGCCCTGCTCTAATAAGCGCCCACGGCGATATTTGCCAATATATTGGCTAGTGAACAATCTCAATTAGCACCCCTTCCAAGGGGTTTACGTACACAAGACTTATTTATTTGTGTATAATACGTACTCGTATGTTATATGCACCCTTAATTATGGGCAATTAAATCCTGGAAAATATTTCTGTCGTATATAAACATTTCAGGCTGTCAGCATAAACCACGAAATTTACGATTTTTCAACTCAAAATAATATTCTAATAAGAGCCCCCTATTTCTAATTTTGAGAGCGCCCTGGGTGCTTATTACGTCGAATACGGTAATTGTTTATTGTTCCAAGTGCAGCCATCTTTCAGATTCAATTTCTTTTTATTTGTCTCCAGGAATGTCATAGTCAGGAATCCGACCGAAATTGTAGCCTTTGACTCCAAAACGTTTCATCTCTTGTTTTCAAGAAACCGTCTTGCAAGTCATCTGCCTCCATCTTGAGTCCTGGCTGCCTGTCATAAAGAATAACAAGATTTATGTTTAAATAAACGGCGTATGTTTTATCTTTATCAGAGACATCATGCAGTGAGAGGCTCTTTTCTACTGAAAGAAAACTTGTCCTCAGTTCTCTTGGATATCCCCAACCCTATCCAAGGTAACTATTCTCTGCAACATTCAAGGTGCCCTAACTCATCTCACCCAAGGTACTTAATCTCAGTATATCAAGGATTCTGTATTCAAGGTAACTATCCCCAAATGCAGCTAAGGTAACTGTCGTTAACTGTCGTTAATCCCAGGTAGCCCTACTACCCTGAGCAATATATCTCTGGAAACTATTATCCACAATATTCAAGGTGCCCTAAGTCAACCCTACCCAAGGAAACTATTCTCCACAATATTCAAGCTGCCCTAACTCAACCCCGTCCAAGGAAACTATTCTCCACAATATTCAAGCTGCCCTAACTCAACCCTCCCAATCAAATCCTCTCATCATAATATCCTAAAAAATATGAACACAAACAAAACAACTTAAGACAAAACACCAAACCTTCCGAAATTTACACTCCAAAAATAGACACCTCACCTGCCTCCTCTCTAAACAAACAAACGGACCCAAACATCTCTAAAAACAACTCACTAGCATACGTCCACGAAAAAAGACCAAATTGGTGCAGAAATGAACCTAAATCTGCCAATCTCAAAATCAGAAATTAAAAGTATTACCAAACAAAAAATGGCAAACAAAATACCAAAACGCAAACTCCCAGCTCAAAAAAATACTTTAAAAAACCCTAATTAAACCTTAGAGTCTCCACACACCCCCCCCCCCCCCCCCCCCAAAAAAAATAGACAGGGCCATAACAAAATTACAAACAGGACACTACAGGTAGATGCCCACACTGCCCTCAACAAGAAACCACAGAACACGTACTCATTCACTGCCCACACTACAAAACACACAGAACAACACTCCAAAACTCACTAAACTCAAACCCCGAACTAACTTTAGGGACAATTTTAAACCCACAAAACAACACGTCCAACTTTAAAGCCCTAGGCAAATACCTAATCAAAACAGACTGAATCAACCGCATATGAACCCTCCAAAAATAAGCATATAATGTAATAGGAAAAACTCCCGAACTCCAACTACATCAACACATCCCTTATGCTTTCCACCCCTGGCATATATTCCAAATCTCCAAATTTCAAAATTCCTATATAAGCAATTCCTAAAAGCCCCCAATCGTATTGCAAAATACATCCGTCCTTTTCGGCAAATACACTAAATGGCACTAAAAACAGGGAAATGGCAGGCCCGTGTGCAACATACGCTGTTAGTCGTAAAATCTCCAACTTAAGTAAGTAAGTAAGAGGAGGGATTGTCGCATTCATGTTGAGTTGGCTAGGCTAGGGACCAGCGGTCGCATTCTTTTGGAGATGCATAAATTTCCAGATTTACAGTATCATTAAAAAACGTATCCCAGGTAACTACTGTAAGCAATATGTCTCAGGTAACTGTTCTCCACATACCTGCACCCAGTAATTACAGGTAATGAATATATCATGGATTTATACACTACAGGGTTGCAGGATTAAACTTTTTAAGTTTTTAGTTTTCAGAGATGCACATACCTGATAAGGACATCGACACCTGACTACAATGTCAGGCTGGACGTCCTACAGTCTGCTCTTGGCACCTGTCGAGATGCATATGTTATGGTATACGATGGTATGTAAACCAATACATGTACTCGTACTATTGTTAGAATGCTACTATATTTTATAAATCACATAACACTATATCATGGTGACAGTAAAAGTTTGAATGAATGATTCACGTATAACATCCTTTGATAAATGTGATGAATATTAATTGTACATGTACTTCACATATCATGAATATTCTTGATTTGGTCATTGAATTTTATACCTAATTGAATTATCCTTATTAAGTCATTCATTTCTTATACTTATTCATGTTGAGCATAGTTTTATTGTTCAAAGGTATCAATTAGGAGATAAACATACTGTGTTTTCAATGTAGGGCTAGGTTACCTGAAACACAGTATGTTTATCTCGATTCTACGATGACTAAAGAAAATTCAAACTCTTTGGTGTTCATGGTTTAGTGTTAGTGTTAGAGCTAATGTGATTTGATAACCTCTGATTGACCAATCAAAATCAGGTATTAAATTCATGGTAGAATTCCAGATACACCGTATTCGACGTAATAAGCGCCCAGGGCGCTCTCAAAATTAGAAATAGGGGGCTCTTATTAGAATATTATTTTGGTGAAAAAAAACCATAGTTGAAAGATAAATTTCGTGGTTTGGGCTGACAGCCTGAAATGTTTATGTACGACAGATAAATTTTTCCAGAATTTAACTGCCCATAAATAAGGGTGCATATAACACACGTGTGCGTATTATACCAAATAAATAAGTTTTGTGGACATTGATCAATCGGAAGGGATGCTAATTGGGCTTGTTCACTAGCCAATATATTGGCAAATATCGCCGTGGGCGCTTATTAGAGTGGGGTGCTTATTACGTCCAATACGGTATTAATAATTAAGTTTTGATTAACTGATCTGTTCCTCTGTGTCTAGGAGACTCAGAACAAGGGCCTCTACTTGGAAAATGGTGCGGCTTTCAGAAGCCCAAGTTCCTTAGCCTGGTACAACAACTCTATGTGGTGTTTGTGAGCCAAGACAACAGCCTTAGACGAACAGGCTTCACAGCAAACTATTATGATGGTACACCACACAGAGAAAATGTATCTTGTCCATTAACGTAATACATATATAGCCTTTCGATTTAACGTCGCGTCCAAGATTATTGCACTTATATAGCGACGTGCATGCACGCGTGTGTGTGTGTGGCTGCTTGTACTAGTCCGGACTGATGCTGATTTATAGTGCTAGCTCACGGAGATACAATGCCGCAGTTGAACATGGACTACCCCACTCAGACACAGTATACTGACTCCGAGCCGACCAGTCCTTGTTTTAGCCCCTTAATGCCGAGTGCCAGACAGGGTAACAACAAGTACCATATTTTTATGTCTTTTGGTATGACGCGGCTGGGGTTTGAACCCCGGACCTTCCGCTCTCCGGGCGGACACTCTACCATTTGACCCACAGAGGCGGTGTTTCCATCAAAGAAATAACAGGAATTACCATATTGTATGAGTCAGCTAGAAACAGGGAAATGACTGTTGCAGTCAGCAACACTCCAGGTATTTCATGGCGACCTGTAAGTGATCGAGTCTCATCACACACCTATGAAGCTCAGATTTGCCCTTATACTAATTCTTGGTTTGTCAGCGCCATACCTGTGCTCGTTGGTTCCACGATGACCTAAAACCATTCGGGGCTTTCTTCCCTGCCGTGGGGGCATGGGTGGCCCAGTCGTCTAAGGCACCGCGATTCGCTGTGCAGAGTTGCGTCCCTTGGGCACGCCAGAAACCTATGATTGTGGGTTCGAATCCCGGTTCCCTCCAATTATGTTTCTAGGTTTGTCAGCACCATACCCGTGCTCTTGGGTTTCACTGAAGTGGTAAACGTCTGAGACCTGCATCACTTCGGGCTTTCCTCCCACAATAAGCTGACACACCGCGATATAACTGGAATACTGTTAAATGCGGCGTTAAACCCAACTCACTCACTCACTCACTCACTCACTCTTCCCTGCCGTGATATAATGGGATAAATATTATTCTATGAGGCATTAAAGCTAACTCACTCACTCAATCTGTCCTCACTTGCAGCCATGTGTGGGGGCACAGTGCACACAGACTATTACAAGACGGGGGAAATTGTGTTTCCTGGATATTCTTCACCATTTAGCCAGTGAGTCGAGAGCTTATGGCTGGTTCAAGATATACTAATTTCACCATCTTTCTAACTTAGGCCACACATTTTCGATTTTTCATTTCACGGGCCCATCGCCCTTACTGAAGTGCAGCTGGAAAAGAAATAAATTAAACATAAACATATTTATTTTTATTATGTCCCCCGCTAGCAATACAGACCCTTTTATACAATATAAAATGTTATCTATGAATTCCATGTCTACATCACTATCAGTTATTCAGAGGGCAGGTGCAGTTTTAACTCCACGGCAGAATGACTTTCATATAAATAAATAAATGATTGACCCAGCTATTTATTTTTAGTTTTATTTTGATCGACCTTGTGTGGAAAAGCTGGAATGATTATGTGAAACATTAATAGTATAAAGTGTGGCCTCACATTTCTTCATGTTTAGCCTAGCAATAACAAAACTCTCTTCTAAATGTTCGTTTTACTCAGCACATTCTCTGGCCACCATTTTTTTTTATTGCTTTACTGATCCTCTGACTGAAATTTTTGTTGAAGTGGAAAAATAATAATTCATTATTAGCTCGTAATTTTTATCCCGCCTATAAGCCGGCCATATATATTACACACACAAAATATTTTCTAAACAAGTACCCATTGAAGTTAACATATATAAAACATTGGAACCAAAATATGGTTTGTTGTTGTTCCTGAAATTGATAGGATGCATAGATGCTTAACAGTAGTCCTGCTTGATTCATCAGGTTTGCGTTGCTTAAAGCAGCAGCTGTGGTGCAGGCTCTCCTCCCACATTAAAACATTGAAATTTTTTACACCCGCCAACCTGTAGTGGAGCAGAAACCTATCAATAAAATATAATCGCCTATTTTTTCACGTACGAATTGGTATTTTCCTTTAAAAATCTGTAAAGCAAGTTAAGAAAAAGTGTGGCCTAACTTATATTTCTACATGTTTAGCCCAACAATAAAAAAACTCTCTCATTAGTAAATGTTTTTTTCACTAAGCATTTTTAAGTGTCCATACGGTGACCTTTCTCTGATTACTTACACGTAAAAGTAATACATCTTATGTCGCTCTTGAAGTAGTTTATACAATGATGAACACAATTTATTGAACCCCTATTAAATTAGCATGGGGCTTCATCATGCTACTCAAGTAGCATCGTTGATTATTTTGCTTTTATTTCAGTTACATCAAATGCCGGTGGTACCTCAATGTTCCAAAGTCTGTCTCCAAATTTTTGGTGGCATTCAGAAATGTTCAAGTTGACTGCCCGTTTAGTAGAATTTCAGTGTATGAAGGTGAGAAACAGTTGGTTATTCATCAACATACAACCCTATGAACATTTGCAGTTCAATTCGCAGAAATTGCTGTCCTGACAATGTTTTTCTGGGTTCGTCCCCCTGCTCGTGGTCTAAACTACTTTTAGTATGTTGAACAAAGAATACACTTGCTACATGAGCTTTGAAAATTAAACACTTTTTTGCAAATGGCCAACAATATAATCACCTAGACCTTTATTCACAGAGTGATCTGTTAAGATCCGGAGTAGAATAGATCTTCAGCAACCCATGCTAGCCGTAAAAGGAAACTATGCTTGTCGTAAGAGGCGACTAACGATATTGAGTGGTCAGGCTCGCTGACTTGATTGATGCATGTCATCGTATCCTGATTGGGTGGATTGATGCTCATGATAACAATCACTTGATTGTCTGGTTTTGACTCGATTATTTACAGACAGCCATCATATGGCTGGAATAGTGCCGGAATATCAGGGTGGAACATTGAATTATAAGCTTTTTGTCAATCATATGAGGTCATTGTCACTGGAATTCGCCGCGAATAGCTGCAAGATTGCTGATGCTTCGCGTCGCGTCCACGATTATTGCACTTATATAGCGACGTGCATGCACGTGTGTGTGTGTGTGTGTGTGGCTGCTTGTACTTGTCTGGACTGATGCTGATTTATAGTGCTAGCTCACTGAGATACCATGCCGCAGTTTAACATGACTACCCCACTCTGACTCCGAGCCGACCAGGCCTTGTTTTAATGTTTTTTGGTATGACGCAGCCAGGGATCGAAAACCCGGACGTTCCACTATCCGGGTGGATGCCTTACCACCAGACCACGGAGGCGGTCAGATGTTTGTCAGAGCAAGCATCCATGTTTCCCAGTAGAATTAATAAATCATGTGATTGGCAAAAAATATGAGATATGTGAATTTCCATTTCAAAACTGTTATGTCATTATACTAGAAGTGCATATAAAGTCTTTGTCAGGTAGCTAGATGCATGGGACTTTCTGATTTAGAATCGCACTGTATATTGTACAACCAACGAAGACATCATCATTCAACCATACATTGAATGACTTTCTCACTATTGCAGCAAAAGGAATAGGACTTTCTGGTTTAAAATTGTTCTACATTGGGCGTGTGTTTCCCAAACTTGAAGTGATGTCATGAGAGTCAAAGTACTTTTGTCTGCTGTGAGGTTGTGGTCGGCATGATTTCACTGAAGGAAGTGATGGTGTGAACTGGAAACACATGTAAGAGGCAACTAACGGGACTTGGTTGATGCATGTCATCGTATCTCAATTGTGTGGATCGATGCTCATCATGTCAATCACTGGATTGTCAGGTCCAGACTCAATTATTTACAGACCGCCAGCATATAGCTGGAATATTGCTGAGTGTGGCGTTAAACAACAAACAAACAAACAAACATGGTGGTATGGGATGAATTCTCAAGACTTCTTTCTAGAAATGTTTGGGAGAAGCTGCTTCAGTCTTCCTAGTTATTTCTGAGTGGTTTTATTTTGATTAGCAATAAGCTTTTTTCAGCAAATTGTTACTTCCAATGTTTGGTTACATGTGGCATTGGTGAGGCTTCTAGAGCACTGGTTTTCTTATGTTGAAGGACCAAGTGATACAGACTTTGAAAGCACATGGGATATCTGTGACAAAGAGAATTATACCTTCTTGGTTTCCGGGCCGAGTATGTTCATCAAATTCAAAAACCAGGGTTCCTTAGCAGGACCCAGCTCCTTTAGAATCAACTACCGAGGGTACAGCAACACAGGTGAGTGATGGCATCAACAGTAGCTGTAGTCACAGGAGTAGTAGGAGTAGTAGTAGTAGTAGTAGTTGTAGAAGTAGTAGTAGCAGGACCCAGCTCCTTTAGAATCAACTACCGAGGGTACAGCAACACAGGTGAGTGATGGCATCAACAGTAGCTGTAGTCACAGGAGTAGTAAGAGTAGTAGTAGTAGAAGTAGTTGTAGTAGTGGTGGTTGTAGTAGTGTTGTAGTAATATGAGTGGTAGTAGTATTGTGGTATGCGTAGTAGTGGTTGTTAAAGTAGTTGTAGTTGTAGTAGTACTTATCTTCAGTCAACCATGATGGGATATGTGATACGTATCTTCAGTCAGCCATGATAGGATATGTGATACGCATCTTCAGTCAGACATGATAGGATATGTGTTACGTATCTTCAGTCAGACATGATAAGATATGTGATACATATCTTCAGGAAACTATGATAGGATATGTGATACGTATCTTCAGTCAGCCATGAAAGGATATGTGATATGTATCTTCAGTCAGACATGATAGGATATGTGATACGTATCTTCAGTAAACCATGATAGGATATGTGGTACGTATCTTCAGTCAGCCATGATAGGATATGTGATACGCATCCTCAGTCAGACATGATAGGATATGTGATATGTATCTTCAGTCAGACATGATAGGATATGTGATACGTATCTTCAGTCAGACATGATAGGATATGTGATATGCATCTTCAGTCAGCCATGATAGGATATATGATACGTATCTTCAGTCAGCCATGACAGGATATGTGATACGTATCTTCAGTCAGCCATGATAGGATTTGTGATACGTATCTTCAGTCAGACATGATAGGATATGTGATACGTATCTTCAGTCAGCCATGATAGGATTTGTGATACGTATCTTCAGTAAACCATGATAGGATACATGATACATATCTTCAGTCAGCCATGAAAGGATACATGATGCTGTTATTCCCCTTTGACAGGCCAGCCCAAATTGTCTACATCAAACCTTCACTTCATGCCATCTGTCGTTTGCTCGCCATTCCCCCGGAACCCAGCACAATGTTTCATAGGTCACTTCTTCTCTACACATTAGACAGTAAACACCCAGAAATAATATTTTCAGTAAATTTGAGTCAAGTGGCCTGAGTGGCTCCCAATGGCTTGATACCTCTTGTAAATTTGACTAAACTTTCATGTCTATTATTAATAACTTGCTCTGGTTCATTCATGTATTTGTTTCATATTATTATTGATTCACATTAAAAGATGTTGTGTGTTGCCAAGGCGCTACAGGGACTAGTTACAGCCATATTGTAAGCAATTATTCAAGGGTGATTCTGAATACCCTATCAAAAATAAAAGGAAAGTTGTTAAAAGCTGGGGTGTTTTTTTTCTTTTAAATATGCCAAAAATGTATGAAAATGGTGGCTGGGAATGTTTTTTTGAGAATAATTTGTTCCAGAAAAAAATTAAATTGATCATGTTGATTGTGTTGTGGAATTCCTGCTTTCACAGAATTTTTTTTATTAAATGATGGGTCCCTTAATGCCAAAACTTCTTTATTCTTGTCACCAGCGTGCTTCCAAAAAGGAGAATACGGCAAGGCAGATTTCAATACAGCGAAACGTAAAACACAAATATTGATGTCCCCAGGGTACCCTGAGATGTACCCCGAGTGAGTATCTAGTCTTGGAATGGCTTTTAGAAGTGATACACCTCAGAGAGAGAATTTATGGACGTCAACTTCTTTATAATGAGGAACACGTTCAGAGTAGGTGCTTACACCTACATCAGGTAAAGAATGCTAGGATGCAAAGTGAGTGAGTGAGTGAGTATGGTTTTATGCCGCTTTTAGCAATATTCCAGCAATATCACGGCAGGGGACACCAGGAATGGGCTTCACACATTGTACCCATGTTGGGAATCATGCAGGTCCTTGGCGTGACGAGTGGACGCTTTAACCACTAGGCTACCCAACCCCTCCTGCTAGGATGCATATATATGTATATATGTATGTACATGTAAGAACAACAAAAGTAATAAAATAACAAATCCAGAGTGTGTGGATTTGTTTCCGACCAATTTAGATTTATGTATAGATTAGGACAAGGTTAATGTTCACTTATAAAAAGTCAATATCAAGCCAAAAGTGTTCTCCATTATTTGGTTAAAAAGAGCCTTACAGTTGGCTGTCGGACAGAATGAATGAGCTGACTGACGAAAAAAGAAACATAATTAGTGATGAGCCTTTGGACACTGACTGAAATTTGACAAGGCTATTCAATATATTATCCATGATCAAATAAAAAGAAAAATAAGAAAGCGATACAAAATGTCAAAACTATTGTTTATCATGAAGTAACATCATCAATTATGTGACGTCATGAACAAAGAGTGACACGTTTTCATCAGTATGACCTAATTTGATAATATGACTAAAATGAAGAGTATCACTGAAACACATATGTGAAAATGTCGTAAATGTATCCGTGGGACACCGGGGCTGGTTCCCCACCAACCTATGCTTGTCATACAAGGCGACTGACATGGATCGGATGCCCCGGATAAGTGACTTGGTGGATTGTGTGTCATCATACCCAATGGTGTGTAGATCATATCACCCTGGTGAGGCCTCCAAGTTTGTCATGCAGCTGAACTACTGCCGACTGCAACATTAACTGACTCACTCACTATAATACTCTTATAACAAGTATGGGTAATCAGGTTTTCATTCCTGCCCACATCCTTGAGGCGTATAACCAATTACATGTCTTGTCCCTCAATTACACTCGACCCGTGAAGATCCGGGGTAGAATAGGTCTTCAGCAACCCATGCTTGTCATAAAAAGCGACTATGCTTGTCGGAAGAGGCGACTGACGGGATTGCGTGGTCAGGTCCTCTGACTTGATTGATGCATGTTATCGTATCCCAATTGCGTGGATCGATGCTCGTAATGTCAATCACTGGATTGTCTGGTCCTGACTAGATTATTTACACACCGCCGTCATATATAGCTGGAATATTGCTTAGTGCTTAATGCAATTGATAAAATATAATTCCTTCCACCTCACTTCATAGAGATTATAGAGATAGAACATTAGTTTTATTAAATGTATATAGTGATGGAGCCTCCTGTTTTGTGTTACAGCCGAATACAGTGTGTGTGGAAAGTGAGGGCTGATGATGATATGGACGTTATCATGGTTAAAGTTGTTGAACTTAACCTACATCCGAAGCCAACATGTTCTGACAGTGTCCGCTTATATAATGGTAGGTATTCTTATAAACCTCCAGTGAGTGAGTGAGTGAGTTAAAATTTAACGTCACATCGGCAGTATTTCAGCCATATCGTGACGAGAACATTTATAATACTTAAATTTAGACAAATAAAAACCTGTCATCAATGGACAGTATAATAACTAGACTATCACAGTTTATAAGTAAAACTAGTTGTTTGAACAATTAAAAGAATAACCTATGATTCAACAACACATTATAAAAACGGGCTATAGATCACCAGCAACCAAAGTTAGGCCACCATACTAGGGACCGAGGGGACTATACACCTCCAGTGACTTCATCCTATTCTACAGTCTGTTTAAATCTCATAAACAGGGATGTTATAATAGGGAGTAGACTCAGGGATTATTGGCTATTGTTTGCAAACAATGGTTCAGAATGGTCGACGTACAGGCCCATTAAGGTCTAGTAATGATAAGACACATAGTACCTAACCTGTCTTGTCATAAGCTTTGAGGTCAGATATTTCCCCTTGGAACACCAGTTAATCATAAGACACATACTACCCGATGTGTCTAGTCAAGCTGGTCGTAAAAGGCGACTATGCTTGTCGTAAGAGGCGACTAACGGGATCGGATGGTCAGGCTCGCTGACTTGGTTGATGCATGTCATCGATCCCATTGGCGTGGATCGATGCTCATGATGTCAATCACTGGATTGTCTGGTCCAGACTTGATTATTTATACACTGCCGTCATATAGCTGAAATATTGCTGAGTGCGGTGTTAAACAACAAACAACAACATAGGCTTAACACCAGCTAGGACAGAAGAGGTCAACAGTGCCAGGAACAGAGCCCTGGCTGCCGCATTTGTACCTCCTAGTTGTAACCTGACCAATGCCTATGTGGTGTGATATAGGCATTATAACAAGGGACCGACCATTTAATATTCTGGGGTGAGGGGAGGTGACAATACTTGCCTAAGGTTTGTTATGAAAAAACACATTCGTTTTCTCGAGGTGCTGGATGTCCCGAAAAACATTGCGTTTCAAAGAAGAAAGTGAAATCCCAATCTCATTAAAATCAGACCTTAGTAGACTAATCTCACTACCACTAAACAAAGATCTGAAGACATCCCATTAGGGGTCACGTCAGACATCCTTTCATCCGACCAATCAGAGCGTCACTTACCAGATCATGAAAGTGACAGTCGGAGTGTGATTTCTAATCATACAACCTCGAAAACATTAACTCAGGAAATTTCCGAACGATAGTTACGTGTTTAACAACTGAATCCATACAATCTAGACCATCTATTAGCCATTCCAGAATGTTCTTTTGCTCAGGTTTCAAATTTGTACCGGGTAATCAAGAATTTGTCAAAATATGTTTCGGAACGTAGTCGCCAATTTGAAATTAGTGCCGTAAAGCACGAGAAAGCTGCCTTTTGATTGGTCATTCCATTGGTCGGTCAAAGTTTTCGCAAGGTCGATCTGACGTGTCTGGGATGTCCTGAGATCTTTGTTTAGCGGTAGCGAGAACTAAGATCTGATTTTAATGAGATTGGTGAAATCCCAGATCCCCTCAGAATATGAAATAGCTGATCCCTACTGTTCTTAGTTCTGACATATAAGCCTTATACCTGACTGAGTCACTTTGGTATGATGTCATTTCAGGGTACTTGTCTGACTTGAACAAGAAGCCAGACATGATATTGTGTGACACTGAGAAAAAAGTTTTCTACAGCGAAAGTCCATCAATGACCATTGTGTTTTCGACCAATGAGGTTGGAATTGGAACAGGTTTCAAGATAGAATATCAGTCTACTGTAAAGCGTATGTATCACATAAACACTTGTGCATGGTAGAGTGAGTGAGTGAGGTTTTACGCCGCTTTTAGCAATATTCCAGCAACATCACGGCGGGGGACACCAGAAATGGGCTTCACACATTGTACCCATGTTGGGAATCGAACCCGGGTCTTCGGCGTGACGAGCGAACGCTTTAACCACAAGGCTACCCGACCGCCCCCAATATAAGACAACTTTGATATGTTCCCTCCTATGTGGCTCACGTTTAAACAATTTGATATTTTGTTATATTTATAAATATGAAAGTTTATTCGTGCCATTCTTTTGTAATGAGACTTAAATTAAAGCTAATCATTAGCAGGCAGTACTAAGTTTGACTAATCATCATCTGATGGACTTTAAAGACTGAAAAAAATGATTCAATATTTTCAAACAAAATATGTTGGAATGTAAATGAATGAGCAATTTCAGTTATTTACAAAATGTTATTATATACTACATTTGTCTTTTTTCATGGAACGCTTGTTCAGCAGAGCTTGAAAGGACAGCTTCAGTTTACATCCGTGCCACAATCATAGCAACAACCTGTGGCATCACCGCCGTCATCTTCATCATCATCGTTGTCATTATTTGGATAAAAAGACGCTCTGACCGCACGCCACAAACTCCAGTTGTCCAAACCACTTGTCATCCTCATCCTCCTCCCCAGACCAGAGACCAAGCAACCCCTTTTCTCCCAACCAACACCCCCGGCAATACTGTAGATCCTACTGCACCACCACCATCATACCAGGATGTCAACTACCTACCCGTCACTGACCCTTCCACACCCCCCATGCTGCCTCCCAGTTATGAAGATGCGGTGACAAAAGGAATGATTGAAAAAGACACGGAAACTAGGTTTTGAGGAATCATAATTCTGTACATCAATACAATTGGAGTGAGTGAGTTGGGTTTAATGCCGCTTTTAACAGTATTCCAGTTATATCACGGCGTGTCAGCTTAATGTGGGAGGAAAGCCCAAAGTGATGCAGGTCTCAAACGTTTACCACTTCGATGAAACCCACGAGCACGGGTATGGTGCTGACAAACCTAGAAACATAATCTGGGCGAACCGGGATTCAAACCCACAATCATAGGTTTTGGGTGTGCCCAAGGGACGCAACTCTGCACAGCGAATCGTGGCGCCTTAGACGACTGGGCCCCCCAATACAATTGGAACTGATGTGAAGCAACAATAGTTGGTGTATTAAGTGTTGCATTCAAAGAAGCAGCATTTTTTTATTTTGGGTTGGTTTTTTTTTTTGTTCAACACCACACTCAGCAATATTCCAGCTATATGATGATGGCCCGTAACAGGCAAGTCTGACCAACCAATCCATTACGTCACCTCATCAGACGAGCGTAAGATGCTGGGAACCAGTTCTAAGTCTAGATCTAACGCTGGGGTGAGAATTTAGAGCAGGGTATTGGTCTGAAGGACCTACTGGTTAATAAGTAATTCTGGATCGTGGTCAATAAGAATCATCAGACAAGTCATACAGGAATGGATCAGAAAGAGGTGGTACACACTGTAGGTCAGAAAGAATATCACTGATGTGTTGTACAAAATAATAGGTCAGAAAGAATATCCTGATGTGTTGTACAAAGTATTGGCCAGGAAAGAATATGACTGATGTGTTGTACAATGTATAGACCAGAAAGAATATCACTGATGTGTTGTACAAAGTATGGGCCGGAAAGAATACACCTGATGTGTTGTACAAAGTATAGGTCAGAAAGAATATGCCTGATGTCTTGTACAAAGTATAGGTCAGAAAGAATATGCCTGATGTCTTGTACAGAGTATATGTCAGAAAGAATATGCCTGATGTCTTGTACAAAGTATAGGTCAGAAAGAATATGCCTGATGTCTTGTACAAAGTATAGACCAGAAAGAATATGCCTGATGTCTTGTACAAAGTATAGGTCAGAAAGAATATGCCTGATGTCTTGTACAAAGTGTAGGTCTGGAAGAATATGCCTGATGTCTTGTACAAAGTATAGGTCAGAAAGAATATGCCTGATGCGTTGTACAAAGTATAGGTCAGAAAGAATATGCCTGATGTCTTGTACAAAGTATAGGTCAGAAAGAATATGCCTGATGTCTTGTACAAAGTGTAGGTCTGGAAGACTAGTACAATGAAAGACTAGTACAAGCACACACTTGGATGCAACAATCTTCAACATGACATTACACTGATTTCACCTCATTTCACTATTCTTTGATGTTCTTCAAAATTGCATTTGGAATAGTTTTTATGTATAAAGAATGAAGCTTACACTGTTACTCTTAAATACAATGTCATATGTCATCGTTTACATTTGATGGAATCGTGTAAACATAACGTGTGTTGATCCATGTGTGTATATTTCATAAATAAAACCTTTTTCTAAATAAATGTGCTTACTTTATAACCGCTTGGTGTTGATTTATTGTGGTTCTACATAAGGGAGAGTATTTTGGTGAGGTACTGAACAGTGCTGTAGAAGAGAGTGTCTCCCGGTCATACAAGTAATCTAGCTTTGATGGGTTTTGTATGTATCTTGATGGTGGCAAGAGCATTGGAAGGTTTCAGGTGTGAGACAGAGTTTGAAGTGCTGCTGGGTAGTGAGTGAGTGAGTTGGGTTTACCGCCGCTTTTACAGTATTCCAGTTATGTCACAGCATGTTTTTAACAGTATTCCAGTTATGCCACAATTCAGTTAAAACCCGAAGTGATGCAGGTCTCAGATGTTTACCACTTCGGTGAAACCCACGAGCACAGGTAAGGTGCTGACAAACCTAGAAACATAATCGGGTCGAACCAGGATTCGAGCCCACAATCAAAGGATTCTGGCGTCCTGGCGTCACTACCTGAACTTATTTAATCTTAGTTTGGACTGTGGAAAATACTCCTGTACTGTACCAATTCACAAGAAAGGTGAAAGGCTGACACAAATATGTATGAAGGAATTGCCCTGGGTGCCTGGTAAACTGTTATTATGGATTATAGCATCTATTGAACTAAGTTTCAAGCTACTGCAACAGGGTATAAAAGGCAAGGTTAACCATCCACTCACTAATATGTACCCAAATATACATTATGTTATACACACTTCAAAGGGGATATAACTATCTGTGGCCTTATATATTGATGTAAAACGAGGATGTACCTGTTATGACAAGCATATTTGCCTTTTACAGCAAGCATGGGTAGCTGAAGACCTGTTCTACCCCGGATCGTCACGGGTCTCGTCCTAAGAGGCGACTAACGGGATCGGGTGGTCAGGCCCGCTGACTTGATTGATGCATGTCATCGTACCCCACACAACGATGCTCATGATATCAGTCACTGGATTGTCTGGCCCAGCCTCGATTTTTTACAGACTTCCGTGATACAGATGGAATATTGCTGAATTTGGCGTTAAACAACAAACAAACAAACCATATGTCGGTACAGGGTCTCTGGTCTGTATGAGGCACTAGTGAAACCAATAGAAACATAAAGGTCGGAGGTGTAGGGCACTCTACTCATCAAGATATACAACAAAACTGGTCTAAACAGCAAGTGAATTCATTAACCATCAAAACTGCAAAGAGTAGTTTAGAAGTAACATGGGCTATCTTGTAGAACTTGGGACTCGGTCCTCTGAACATTTCAATGTTGATATCAATGTACAATTATTACCTTCGGGTATTAGATATGAAGAATGGCAGATAACACCATGCTGTCTTCAGTAAAGATGAAAAACTGAACTCATCGACATCTTTAATCAACATTCTAGTTAACTTTCTTTTCCATGGTCTGGCTCACGATAATATCTCTTCTGGAATAGAAGACTGTTTAAAGAAAGGTTCAAAGCCAATATATCAAACACTAAGTCTGGCCAAGCTCCATCCGCTATATCACATAAGCCCGGACACCTAGGGAATATATTAGATATAAATTCGAAATTAAAGCATATTTAAGCGTAACAACCTCCATAGAACCCCACAGAACCGTTACAAGGCTCAGACTCAGTGCTCACGACCTTCAAATTGAGAGAGGACGATACTCTTATACTCCATCAGCAGAAGGGATGTGTCCCTTCGGTAAAACCAACGACACAGAAGATTAAGAACACTTCTGTTCTCAACACAAAGATCATCTTTACGAGGCAAGGCGGTTAACTGACTGTAAAAGTACAGTGGAAACTGCAGTTTTAGTCAGTCACTATTAACTCCCTTGCCTCGGGAAGTTGTGCAAAGACCTGCGACTGGAACTACTGTTAATCTAGGATAAGTTGAACCAACTCATGAAACGCGTTTGAGACAAGTATAGGCACTGAACAGAATTTGGGCAAACATATTTGTTTTGGTAAAGGTAAAGATATCGTACACATGTCTTGCGCGTGCAGCTCATGACGATGACATTGACTACTCTCCTCTTGTCAGTGTGACAAGTCGATACCAGAATTCTCTAAGAGTCGTTTGATAGAAGTCAATTACAAACAGATAAACGTATCAAAGCAGGGTAATCATGGTCAAATTCTCATGCTCGAGAATTGGCATGTAATGCCATAAATTACACGGAGAAAGAAAGTACGAATAAATCTCAAGCAATGTCAAAAGTTAGCATTGCCACTGGTCTGTCTGTACCTACGCTAAAGCACATCAGAGCAGAAGTTATCGCTCGTCACAGAGGCGAGAGTAGTTTCCTTAGCCCAAGTAAGCCGCGAAAACTTCCAATGATCAAATCCTAGTCTGTCATACAGACCCTAAACTATGATAAATATATCCAATACAACCCATGCAAAACTATAATATGTGGGAAGTCTTGAACACTGCAGTATCTCTTGTCCCTTTTTATTACATTTTATAACTATAATTTAACAACTTTTGTTCAATATGTTCATTTTACAGACTAGATCTTGGTCTAATCAAATTCCAACTTGACAATTTCGACAAGTGCGCTGCTCGCCAATGTGTACACAATTCGTATGTAGTGCGAAAACAACTGCCAAGCCTAGACAGTATCTATGACATGATCATAAGCGATTTGAATTATTATGATGTGATGTGATGTATGGTATTTCATCGCACTCAGCAATATTCCAGCTATATGACGGCGGTCTGTTAGTAATCGAGTCTGGATCAGACAATCAAGTGATTGACACCATGAGCATCGATCCACGCAATTGGGATACGATGACATGCATCAACCAATCAGCGAGCCTGACCACCCGATCCCGTTAGCCGCTTCTTATGACAAGCACAGTTGTCTTTTAAGGCAAGCATGGGTTGCTGAGACCTATTGGGATCTTCACGCGTACTTGAGGTCTTTGATAGGTATTTAGAAGTTGGGAGAACATGAAGACATGACGCTTCTTATGGACGACAACTATTCACGACTGTGTATTCATAAAAAGTGTCATGTATTTATCTTCTCCTTCATACTTCTACAAGGCAAACACTTATGTTTTTGCATATTTATAAAAAACTACGTCAAGCTAAGTAAGCCTTCACTTTCCTGAAGAGCAGATAAACGATCAAATTTCATAGGACTACTCGAGAAGTTTTCCGACTTTAACCCTTTGGAACCCTTCGGAGCTCGATTAAATAGCCGAGAAGAAAACAATCATTAAAAACATGGACACACAAGGATGGAGAGTTGCGTCCTTTCTAACTGGCATCTGCCAAGTGCGTTACTCTGTGGGAATCTGAACTTGGCTACGTCAGGTGAGATATAACAGTCATATTGAAGTACAATCAACCTTGAATTACAATGTACTACATGTATGTATAAAGTTTGTTTGTTGTTTAACGCCTCACTCAGAAATATTCCAGTTGAAGTACAATCCACCTTGAAATACAATGTACTACATGTATGTATAAAGTTTGTTTGTTGTTTAACGCCTCACTCAGCAATATTCCAGCTATATGACGGCGGTCTGTAAATAATCGAGTCTGGACCAGAAAATCCAGCGATTGACAACATGAACATCGATCCACGCAATTGGGATCGATGATACGCATCAACCAAGTCAGCGAGTCCGACCACCCGATCCCGTTAGTCGCCTTTTACGGCAAGCATGGGTTGCTGAAAACCTATTCTCCTCCGGATCTTCACGGGCCGTATGTATAATGAGTACACAGATCATATAAATACATTAACTGCATGTGTAACAAATGTTATATTTGGGATAACACTTTCTCAGTAATGTACAGATTTTCGTACTTTTTTAGTTGAGTCTTACCAGGGATTCAAACCCACACTGCCAGAGTGAGGCACCTAATCGCCACAAAATGAAAGTCCGACAACTGGTAGTCTAGATTACGTACTTTGTGTACCTCTCTGACAAGTGTAAATTGGTTTGGCTCCCATGGCCGGAAGCTATGAACACAAAATGCCGTTTAGAAAGTGGTCAAATGTAACAAATGTTATATTGGGGATAACACTTTCTCAGTAAAGTACAGATTCTCGTACTTTTGGGGTTGAGTCCCGTCCGGAATTCGAACCCACACTGCCAGAGTGAGGCACCTGATCGCCAGCACACTAAGTCAGCGCTAACCCACCCAGCCACCGAGGCTTTCTGAGAAAGTGTTATCCCAAATATAACATTTGTTACATTTGGCCACATTGTGTGTCCATACATGCACTTACTGTGGTCAGGTTGAAAATAAATTTAGGTTATTCCACGACGGCCAGGTCTATTTATAGTAGTTATATTAAAAGTTTGTGGGGACATGGGGGTCTATGGGTTATTGTGCAGGGTTATATCGCATTTCTAATTTTGTCTACACTTGACTGTGTGTGCAATTCATTATCAGTGGGGGTATATGTTTCGCGCATTCTTGTTATTATGTTAGTTGTCCAGTTTTATTTTTACCGAAACCCCCGAATTCTTAAAATGTGTTAGAACATTTGTCAAAATAATGAAGGTGAGACCATTGACATAGATAGTCTACCGGGCTTATTCCACAGGGTTCCAACGGAATTAAGGAATTCGGTAGGTACGGGAGGTAACTGCACACGAGTGAGTGAGTGAGTGAGTGAGTAGGGTTTAGGGCCGCTTTTAACAGTATTCCAGTTATATCACGGCGTGTCAGCTTAATGTGGGAGGAAAGCCCGAAGTGATGTAGGTCTCAGACGTTTACCACTTCGGTGAAACCCACGAGCACGGGTATGGTGCTGACAAACCTAGAAACATAATCAGGGCGAACCGGGATTCGAACCCACAATCATAGGTTTCTGGCGTGCCCAAGGGACGCAACTCTGCACAGCGAATCGCGGCGCCTTAGACGACTGGGCCACCCGTGCCCCACTAACTGCACATGAGACAAAACAATAATGAAACATATAAAAGTTGAACTAGGAGGAGTATTTTTTTTTCTTCTAAATGTGTTTGGGTTGATATAACATTCTGAATAACTATTTTGCTATTTATAATTATTTTCTGAAAAGTCTAAGAGATATATAGGTAGCTAAAATGTGGCCTAATGGGTAAGTGAAAAGAAAGGACATTCATTTTTTTAAAACGATTATAACATATATATAACTTTCTTAAAATACTCGATAGTTTGTTGGTAGTTCAGTTTTAGTTTTACTACAACCCTGAAATGCGTGACATTTGCTATGATATGGAGGCAGCGCCGACGTGCCGATTAATCACAAGCGGAATGCAGCGTGACCTAGTTTCTGCCTCAATTACTGCGCTAATTTGTGGGACATTGTTTATCAAATTCCATATGTAAGGGAGGTAATCGCATAGTAGTCAAGAACATGGTTTAAGATGTAAGACAGGAAACGAATTGAAACAAATATTGTTTATATTGTTTTAAACATGCCTGTGTTGATCGGATGGTGGACTTTGGGGGATGGAAATCGCTACACATTTACAAACATAACATATAATGATATATTTATCTTAATACCGGTTGATATAAAGAATAACGAGTGATCGACGTTGTTATTTTAGGCCACGTCTTCTGTGACGTCATGAACAATGGATGCGATGTAACGTTCCATATGGCGTGCACTAATTAGTTGCCCCTGTGTCCAATGAGATATTGAATTTTATTTACTGATGGGTTTAGTGTGTTCAAGTTATTGTTGCGCAATGTTCAACACTGTTGATATGGCATAGTATACATTGTTTGCCACGAGATGCTACTGAATTCCTCTGAACAAAAAGGTGTTGCATGTGCTACATTGTGACAATCGGAAGACAGACATTGCACATGAAACATGTGCTTCACGCTAATCATATGACAGTTTATTATCATCTACAACAATGTTATGGGATCGATCAGTGACAGTGTGGCTCATTGTGTCTTTTGTCAAAACAGGCTGATATGAACTTCGTCTGTTGTTTTTGAGTCAGTGAGTATTGTTTTACGCCGCTTTTTGCAATTTCCAGCAATATCACGACGGGAACACCAGAAATGGGCTTCACCAACTGTATCCATTTGGGGAATCGAACCCCAGGCTATTAAATCCGTGTGTATTTCTCTATTATTTCAGTGTAGAGAAATTCATTTTCAAATCTGCTCTGTTTAGCGTACGAACACATTTTCGCCCGACAAACGCTTCGCCTGATGATCAAATTTCACGGGGAGCTGTTTAGCACTGCACCTGTATCCGCTTGACCGAGCACCGCGGGAGAAGGATTCCGTTTGTCGTATACAAGGATTCTTTGGAGCGAAGAATGTTAACAAGAAGAAGATTGTTTTCAAAGCGACTGAGTCTATGGGCGGCTTTGATCACATCGTTTTTATTCGTTTGCTCACTAGTTGTGGGTCGAACTGCAGGTAGGCTTTGACAAGCTGTCGTACAAAAATACACTGTTTTCTCCTTTTATGAAAACACATTTCCAAATTAATACAACTCCGGGTGGTAGAGAATCTAAGCTGCATCATGACTTTGGTGCAGACCAGATATGATCCCTGTCGGAGACCATATCGGTATATGGTCTCTGTCCCATTACAGACCTACTGGGCTTTCTCAAAGCAGATATTCGTCACGTCTGAACTACGGCGGTGTTAGTGTAAATAAGATCACTGTGAAATAGTATCACCCTGTATATGATCTGATTATTGATGACTATCTCGCCATATGTATACTACTCAAAATAAGTTAAGGACCATCTGATTCTTTCACGTTACTATAACTAATGTCATGCCATGACAGATTATCTATAGTTTGTTTTAGATTGTTTGTTGTTTAGCACCGCACTCAGCTATATGACAGCGATCTATAAATAATCTAGTCTGAACCAGACAATCCATTGATTGACATCATGAGTATCGATCGATGTAATCGGGATACGATGACATGCATCAACCAAGTCAGTCGCTAATAACGACAAGCATAGTTTACTCTCACTGCAAGCATGAGTTGCTGAAAACCTATTCTCTTCCCTGAGCTTCACGTTGGTTGGTTGGTTTGTTTGTTGTTTAACGCTGCACTTAGCAATATTCCAGCCATATGACGGCGGTCATGGACCAGACAATCCAGTGATTAATATCATGAACATCGATCCACGCAATTGGGATCGATGACATGCATCAACCAAGTCGGCGAGCCTGACCACCCGATCCCTTAAGTCGCCTTTTGCGACAAGCAGAGTCACCTTTTACGGCTAGCATGGGTTGCTGAAGACCTATTCTAACCCGGAATCTTCACGGGTCATGAGCTTCACGTGTCTTCCTAGGTCAACTATAGTAATGTGAAAGAATCGTGTGATCCTCAACTTCTTTTGAGTAGTATATAATGGGTGATTTTGGATCATCCTTGCTATCTATCTTTCCTTGGTGGTTTAATCTGGGAGGGTAGCATGTTGTCTCTTATTCAGATGGTTGGCCCCAGGGTAGCCAATCTCTGCAGTTACTGCAATTTGTCGTGCAGAGTTGTGCCCCTTAATCAGGCCAGAGTCCAATCATTGTGGGTTCCAGTCCTAGTTTCACCCTGTTTATTCCTGTGCTTGTGGGTTTCACCAAACACAAGTGATAAACATATATGACCTGCATCAATTTGGGCTTTCTTCACTCATTAAACATACATGTTGTGATATAACTGAAATACTGTTAAAAAAGTCATTAAATCAAGTCACTCACTCTGCTTTACAACTCGACTCTTCTGAATGATAACCACTAAATATATGTCATTGATAATATAGGATGTTTTTAAGGGAAATAAAATTAGGTGACACAAACCTACTGTTTTGTGAAATTTGAGGTCATGACACAACAGAATCTATATTTACGGTAATTTGAACCAAGCGCTTCAACATCATGGCAGAATAAACAGTGATTCTCTATTTATGTGTATTCCGTTGCTTTCAGTATTTACAGTTCATCTACCGTATGTAAAGTTTGTCATCAGTACTTAACAGATTTGAATTCATTATGAGGTACTGTAGATCTTGAGATTAATGCGAGCATTATTAAACATCGCATATATATCAACAATAAGACATTTTGGATAGCAGAAATACCATCTTAGACATATGCTGAAAACAAACAACTATGTATTCCACATCACTGTTTATTGAGCAGCACTTGTAAAAAGTATATAAACAATGTCATTCAGACACTAATTACATCCTGTGAATTGTCACTGCTGGGGTCAAGACAAGCATTCTACTCACTTATGTCATCACTGATCAAACCTGCAAGTCCAGACAGACGCCACCCAACTCGGTGTCTTTGTATTTTGCGACTGCGTCAAAGGCCGACATGAGCCAGCGCGCATGTATTGTTTCAGCGGAAGTACTCTACTTGGCGCTAATAAACAGTCCTATTTGGTCTGTGATTGGATTAATGTAATGTTGGATTAAGGTGAGGATTCTCCTGTAAACCTGACAGAGGACATTTTCTTTAGATATAAATCCACTGATGCTTGAGAGGAGAGGGGTGTCACATTCATATTGACTCGCAATTTTGGCTAGGGGCCAGCGGTCGCATTCTTTTGGAGATGCATTAAATTCATGATTTTCAGTATTCAGGTTGTCTAAATCTGAAACATTGTCTGCATGTTTCATCTGAAGATTTTCAGAGCTCATTGCAGCACATTTCAATCAAACGACTGGGGAAGGCCATTTCGTAAAAGCGTAACTTAAAGTCCAAGCAGTTAACGCTAATGCTGTTTCACTTTACGTCAATTATTCTTCAGTTAACGCTAATGCTGTTTCAGTTCATACTACTTGTTCCCAAGGCAAGGGAGATAACTGACTTTAAAAGTCCAGTTTCCACCCTTGTCAAACTAGGCTGGAATTTCTGGTCTTGATTGTAGGGCCTCCAGTGGGTATTACAAGTGATGTCCCTTCTATGTCCCTCCTTTTGACCAATCAGATTCAGCCTCTGATGTCCCTTGCATTTGCTTCAAACAAAATGGCAGCGCCCAGTCAAGACAATCTGATCGATAATAAAGAGCTTTGTTGTAATAAAATGGGTTTTATCTCACGAAGTGCATCATATCATGTGAGCACCTTGATTAAAAACATGAAAAGATTTGGAAAACTATGTGTCCAAACTGACGGTGCACTTGCTTTGCAAATCCTGGGGATTTTGATTGGACTATGCAAAGACTTGTTAGTTCTGCCCAAATATATATCTCCATAATTCCAGCCTATTCCAGCAAGGGTGGAAACTGAACTTTTAAATGTAGTTAACTTCATTGCCTTGGGAAAGATGTTAATGCTAGTGCTGCTTCAATTAAGACGAATACTGCTTCAGTTTACGCTAATCCTGCTTCAGTTAACGCTATTCATGCTTCAATCAACACTATTGCTGCTTCAGTTAACACTAATACTACTTTTGCTAGCTCTAATTCTGAGTCATGGTATGCTATGCTGCTTTAGTTAACACTAACACTATTTCTGCTAGTGCTAATTCTGTGCTAATTTTTTTGCTAATGCTGCTCCAGTTAACACCAATAGCATAAAGGGTTTTCAGTTTAGAAAATATTGAAATATTTAATCAACTAAGCAATTGTAGACCTGCAACAACTTCAGCACCTCTTAAGCAGTTACAGTATATGAAATGTAGTTATGTAGAATGTTTTATGAATTGTTCAGATAATGAATATTAAAGTTGGCAGTCATGTTAACATTACTTGCACTATTTTTGTGCTTTACAGATGCTGACTGCATGAAAAGACTGAGAGTGTCCGACACTTTAAGCTATGCAATCCGATCAGAAGGATATCCAAATGGATATGAACAGTAAGAGAGTTCCTTGATATGTTTTTCATCAATGTAGACTCCTGTGGGTGGTGGGGTAACCTAGTGATCAAAGCATTCTCTTGTCGGTCCGAAGCCAGGTTTGATTTCCCTTTTGGAAATAATATGTCTCACCTCTGGTATTCATAGACGTGATATTTATAGTATAGATCAGAATAGGTTCCCAGCACCCAATACTTGTCTCCACAAGTGGATTCTAGGTCAGAATAGGTTACCAGCACCCCATACTTGTCCCCACAAGTGGATTCTAGGTCAGAATAGGTTTCCAGCACCTTATGCCTGTCTCCACAAGTGGATTCTAGATCAGAATAGGTTCCCAGCACCCCATGCCTGTCTCCACAAGTGGATTCTAGGTCAGAATAGGTTCCCAGCACCCTATGCCTGTCTCCACAAGTGGATTCTAGATCAGAATAGGTTCCCAGCACCCTATGCCTGTCTCCACAAGTGGATTCTAGATCAGAATAGGTTCCCAGCACCCTATGCCTGTCTCCACAAGTGGATTCTAGGTCAGAATAGGTTCCCAGCACCCCAAACTTGTCCCCACAAGTGGATTCTAGATCAGAATAGGTTCCCAGCACCCCATGCCTGTCTCCACAAGTGGATTCTAGATTGGAATAGGTTCCCAGCACCCTATGCTTGTCTCCACAAGTGGATTCTAGATCAGAATAGGTTCCCAGCACCCCATGCCTGTCTCCACAAGTGGATTCTAGGTCAGAATAGGTTCCCAGCACCCTATGCTTGTCTCCTCAAGTGAATTCTAGGTCAGAATAGGTTCCCAGCACCCCATGCCTGTCCCACAAGTGGATTCTAGATCAGAATAGGTTCCCAGCACCCCATGCCTGTCTCCACAAGTGGATTCTAGATTAGAATAGGTTCTCAGCACCTTATGCCTGTCTCCACAAGTGGATTCTAGATCAGAATAGGTTCCCAGCACCCCATGCCTGTCTCCACAAGTGGATTCTAGATCAGAATAGGTTTCCAGCACCCCATGCCTGTCTCCACAAGTGGATTCTAGGTCAGAATAGGTTCCCAGCACCCTATGCTTGTCTCCACAAGTGGATTCTAGATCAGAATAGGTTCCCAGCACCCCATGCCTGTCTCCACAAGTGGATTCTAGGTCAGAATAGGTTCCCAGCACCCTATGCTTGTCTCCACAAGTGAATTCTAGATCAGAATAGGTTCCCAGCACCCCATGCCTGTCCCACAAGTGATTTCTAGATCGGAATATGTTCCCAGCACCCTATGCTTGTCTCCACAAGTGGATTCTAGGTCAGAATAGGTTCCCAGCACCCCATGCCTGTCCCACAAGTGGATTCTAGATCAGAATAGGTTCCCAGCACCCCATGCTTGTCTCCACAAGTGGATTCTAGATTAGAATAGGTTCTCAGCACCTTATGCCTGTCTCCACAAGTGGATTCTAGATCAGAATAGGTTCCAAGCACCCCATGCCTGTCTCCACAAGTGGATTCTAGATCAGAATAGGTTTCCAGCACCCCATGCCTGTCTCCACAAGTGGATTCTAGGTCAGAATAGGTTTCCCGCACCTTATGCCTGTCTCCACAAGTGGATTCTAGATCAGAATAGGTTCCCAGCACCCCATGCCTGTCTCCACAAGTGGATTCTAGGTCAGAATAGGTTTCCAGCACCCCATGCCTGTCTCCACAAGTGGATTCTAGATTAGAATAGGTTCCCAGCACCCCATACTTGTCTCCACAAGTGGATTCTAGATTAGAATAGGTTACCAGCACCCTATGCCTGTCTCCACAAGTGGATTCTAGATTAGAATAGGTTCTCAGCACCTTATGCCTGTCTCCACAAGTAGATTCTAGATCAGAATAGGTTCTCAGCACCCCATACTTGTCTCCACAAGTGGATTCTAGATTAGAATAGGTTCTCAGCACCTTATGCCTGTCTCCACAAGTGGATTCTAGATTAGAATAGGTTCCCAGCACCCTATGCTTGTCTCCACAAGTGAATTCTAGATCAGAATAGGTTCCCAGCACCCCATGCCTGTCCCACAAGTGATTTCTAGATCGGAATATGTTCCCAGCACCCTATGCTTGTCTCCACAAGTGGATTCTAGGTCAGAATAGGTTCCCAGCACCCCATGCCTGTCCCACAAGTGGATTCTAGATCAGAATAGGTTCCCAGCACCCCATGCTTGTCTCCACAAGTGGATTCTAGATTAGAATAGGTTCTCAGCACCTTATGCCTGTCTCCACAAGTGGATTCTAGATCAGAATAGGTTCCCAGCACCCCATGCCTGTCTCCACAAGTGGATTCTAGATCAGAATAGGTTTCCAGCACCCCATGCCTGTCTCCACAAGTGGATTCTAGGTCAGAATAGGTTCCCCGCACCTTATGCCTGTCTCCACAAGTGGATTCTAGATCAGAATAGGTTCCCAGCACCCCATGCCTGTCTCCACAAGTGGATTCTAGGTCAGAATAGGTTCCCAGCACCCTATGCCTGTCTCCACAAGTGGATTCTAGATCAGAATAGGTTCCCAGCACCCTATGCCTGTCTCCACAAGTGGATTCTAGATCAGAATAGGTTCCCAGCACCCCAAACTTGTCCCCACAAGTGGATTCTAGATCAGAATAGGTTCCCAGCACCCCATGCCTGTCTCCACAAGTGGATTCTAGATTGGAATAGGTTCCCAGCACCCTATGCTTGTCTCCACAAGTGGATTCTAGATCGGAATAGGTTCCCAGCACCCCATGCCTGTCTCCACAAGTGGATTCTAGGTCAGAATAGGTTCCCAGCACCCTATGCTTGTCTCCACAAGTGAATTCTAGATCAGAATAGGTTCCCAGCACCCCATGCCTGTCCCACAAGTGGATTCTAGATCGGAATATGTTCCCAGCACCCTATGCTTGTCTCCACAAGTGGATTCTAGGTCAGAATAGGTTCCCAGCACCCCATGCCTGTCCCACAAGTGGATTCTAGATCAGAATAGGTTCCCAGCACCCCATGCCTGTCTCCACAAGTGGATTCTAGATTAGAATAGGTTCTCAGCACCTTATGCCTGTCTCCACAAGTGGATTCTAGATCAGAATAGGTTCCCAGCACCCCATGCCTGTCTCCACAAGTGGATTCTAGATCAGAATAGGTTTCCAGCACCCCATGCCTGTCTCCACAAGTGGATTCTAGGTCAGAATAGGTTCCCAGCACCCTATGCCTGTCTCCACAAGTGGATTCTAGATCAGAATAGGTTTCCAGCACCCCATGCCTGTCTCCACAAGTGGATTCTAGATTAGAATAGGTTCCCAGCACCCCATACTTGTCTCCACAAGTGGATTCTAGATTAGAATAGGTTACCAGCACCCTATGCCTGTCTCCACAAGTGGATTCTAGATTAGAATAGGTTCTCAGCACCTTATGCCTGTCTCCACAAGTGGATTCTAGATCAGAATAGGTTCCCAGCACCCCATGCCTGTCTCCACAAGTGGATTCTAGATCAGAATAGGTTTCCAGCACCCCATGCCTGTCTCCACAAGTGGATTCTAGATTAGAATAGGTTCCCAGCACCCCATACTTGTCTCCACAAGTGGATTCTAGATTAGAATAGGTTACCAGCACCCTATGCCTGTCTCCACAAGTGGATTCTAGATTAGAATAGGTTCTCAGCACCTTATGCCTGTCTCCACAAGTAGATTCTAGATCAGAATAGGTTCTCAGCACCCCATACTTGTCTCCACAAGTGGATTCTAGATTAGAATAGGTTCTCAGCACCTTATGCCTGTCTCCACAAGTGGATTCTAGATTAGAATAGGTTCTCAGCACCTTATGCCTGTCTCCACAAGTGGATTCTAGGTCAGAATAGGTTTCCAGCACCTTATGCCTGTCTCCACAAGTGGATTCTAGGTCAGAATAGGTTCTCAGCACCTTATGCCTGTCTCCACAAGTGGATTCTAGATCAGAATAGGTTCTCAGCACCTTATGCCTGTCTCCACAAGTGGATTCTAGATCAGAATAGGTTCTCAGCACCCCATACTTGTCTCCACAAGTGGATTCTAGATTAGAATAGGTTCTCAGCACCTTATGCCTGTCTCCACAAGTGTATTCTAGATCAGAATAGGTTTCCAGCACCCCATGCCTGTCTCCACAAGTGGATTCTAGGTCAGAATAGGTTCCCAGCACCCTATGCTTGTCTCCACAAGTGGATTCTAGATCAGAATAGGTTCCCAGCACCCCATGCCTGTCTCCACAAGTGGATTCTAGGTCAGAATAGGTTCCCAGCACCCTATGCTTGTCTCCACAAGTGAATTCTAGATCAGAATAGGTTCCCAGCACCCCATGCCTGTCCCACAAGTGATTTCTAGATCGGAATATGTTCCCAGCACCCTATGCTTGTCTCCACAAGTGGATTCTAGGTCAGAATAGGTTCCCAGCACCCCATGCCTGTCCCACAAGTGGATTCTAGATCAGAATAGGTTCCCAGCACCCCATGCTTGTCTCCACAAGTGGATTCTAGATTAGAATAGGTTCTCAGCACCTTATGCCTGTCTCCACAAGTGGATTCTAGATCAGAATAGGTTCCAAGCACCCCATGCCTGTCTCCACAAGTGGATTCTAGATCAGAATAGGTTTCCAGCACCCCATGCCTGTCTCCACAAGTGGATTCTAGGTCAGAATAGGTTTCCCGCACCTTATGCCTGTCTCCACAAGTGGATTCTAGATCAGAATAGGTTCCCAGCACCCCATGCCTGTCTCCACAAGTGGATTCTAGGTCAGAATAGGTTTCCAGCACCCCATGCCTGTCTCCACAAGTGGATTCTAGATTAGAATAGGTTCCCAGCACCCCATACTTGTCTCCACAAGTGGATTCTAGATTAGAATAGGTTACCAGCACCCTATGCCTGTCTCCACAAGTGGATTCTAGATTAGAATAGGTTCTCAGCACCTTATGCCTGTCTCCACAAGTAGATTCTAGATCAGAATAGGTTCTCAGCACCCCATACTTGTCTCCACAAGTGGATTC